AACATTCCTGGATAGAATACTCCTCAGGAATGCCGATTAAACCGAAAAACCGAAACGAAATCCACTGGGTCCCCATGGAATTGTGATTTCCATCGCACAATCGATGTATTCATCTAAACACAATATATCAGTGACGGCTTGTGTTGACGGAGGAATACGAATCAGCAGATAATCAGAATCATTAGCTGAGCGTCAACTTCCATCGCACCAGCAGCGCGGGAGAACGTTCCAATCTCATTATTAGTCTGAAGGTGTTCACCAACTTCGTTTTAGAGCATAGAACAACAAACACAGAGTTGACCTTCTCCGGGCGGGAATCCGCAACAGGCGTTGAGCTTGCTGGTTCAAGCCTCGGCCACGGATGGTGGAGGTCACAAGTCACGACTCTTGTCCGCCAGTATCTCCAACTCGAGAAGAATCTCCAGAGAACGGTTTTCTCTGGACCGACCTCATGCTTTCGTGGGGAACGAGTTCAAGGCCTGATCGAAACGAAACTCACGGGATCGGAGAGAAAAAATTGAGGTTGTGGTGAGCGAGTCGATCTGTTTGCTGTTTCCCGTTCTCCTGCCCGAGAAGCGCGCGCGAGCCGGTTAGACGTTCATTCCAGCGACGTCGACGGTTTCGGCTGAATGTGCGTTTCGACCGTTATCTCATTTCGGTCGGGGGCATGACGCCAATTAGAACACGTCTTCGCCGGAAACGGAAATTCGGCTACATTTAAAAATTTCGCCGATGGAAAGGGAGGCCAACCGCGTTCACCAGGCTTACCCCGACACCGGCCCAAATGTCAACGGATTCGGATGTGGGTCAACCGGGCCACGCTCAGAGTGACTACTTTGTGTCGTTGGCCGCTCGCCCAGCTGATTGTGTTGTTGTAGAGACAAACGAGGGTGTGAGCACGGGTCTATGATTCATTAAAGATCGCTGTGTCTTGTTTCAATTAGCGCATCCGCCCGTTCGCGAGATTCGGACCCCTCGGTGCGTTGACGGATCTAAGCTCAGAAGAAAGCGACGGCAAACGATTGGCAAGTCGACGCGCGACGACGACTCCGTCGCGTTCCACGTGTCACCGCTTGAAAGGCACACCGGAACATATTCGGCGGGCTTTCGCTCGCTACCGGAATTTAATAAGTTTAGCTCGCTGATAAAGCACTATTCCGTGCGCTCGATTCGGATACGGTCTGTACGTTTCCTTTCCACAGAACCGCTATTGGTTTTAAATTTTGAACGTCGCACGCGCCGTACAGCAGCCGTAGTGTGCGTTTCCGGTCAAAGTTTCTGCCCCGGGTCGCCTCGAGCCTTGGACGCGAATGTATTTTTTTCTCCTCTTTCTCCTCCTTACATTCATGGAGCGACGGGACCGAGTTCTGAGCAGGGTCCTCTTCGGTGGATCCTCGTTCTCCTCGCCTCGAATGTCCCTCTGTCGCGAGAAGTGCCGAACGCGTTCGGCTACTCGATTCGAAATCTTTGGTATCGTGGCGGCAGTAAATCATCAAAACTCTCGATAGAGAAACTTTAGAACGCCTGCACTGGCATTCGAAGTCGCTTGCCAAACTTCTGACAGTTCTATAACATCCTGTGTTTAGCGAACATTGGAAGTGCCGACGAGGGGGAGCGCAGTCAGGAGACGAGGTCTTGGAGTTGAGTCGTCAGCGCCGTGTATCTAGTCTTCTCAAAAAGTTGCCAGATTCTCACCTGCCAAAACCCGACAGCAGGCAGACAGGCGCGCAGAACAAAGTTCTGAGGATCTGAAATCCGAGTGGGATTTTCCCAACCGGAACAAGTTCAGCTGTAGAGCTTCATCTCGTACGTTATTTTCGGCGCATCGAATCGAATCCCTCCGAGCCGGGGTCGGCCCTCTCATGCACTGAGGACTCGGAACCCCGTCTTTTATCAAACACTGAGCCGCGATACCGTCGCACAACGAATCCATTCGGGAAGGACTTGGGCCTATGATGCTCAAGCTCGGCTCGGGGCCGGACTTTTGTGTCAACGAAACCTCAATGGGGAAGAAGCCAGATGTGAATCACGGTTTTTCAGTTCTGCGAACTCTCCAACAATTTGTCTCCAGAAAAACGACGTCGAGGTAATCGCAGATAGTCCACAGGACGTTTGTTCGTTGTTTACTATTAATGGATCATGAATACGGGACAGCGAACGTCCTTCAGTAGATTTGGTAACGCCCGCTGGAAAAAGCCTTCTCGAAAGGTGCAAGACGAAACAAGTTTCATGACCCGACTTACTCGATAAGGCAGCAGGCGCACTCGCAGGAGCGTATAATTAGGCAATATAGGCCAGCGTTCGTCAGAGGGGGCGAAATAGGGGCGAGGAGGGGGGAGGGGAGTTCGTACTCCTTCCCCCTTCTCCCCCTCCCGCCAGGACTCTCAGTCGAGCACCGAATACTTGGGGAGTTCCCCTCACACACAAACTGCCAGACGCGAGCTCACACAATAACCCCGTACAGGAGCACACATTTTCCTTTCTGACGAAGAAGGAAATCGATTCAAAAACAAAGGGCCGCCAGCAGATGGCGAGAATAAATGCATTGCGCTCCCGTCCCGAGAAAGCCGATACAACAACTAGCCAATATATACAATATATCCTTATTTACTGGATGTGTGGCGGCGAGAGCAAGCTATGATCTCAGACTGAACAAGCCTAATGGCTGACCCAACGACAGGCGGACGGTCCGTACATGCGACCTGTGCCCCTGATCCTCCAAGCGATCGTCCGCCGGGCTTGTCTCGCGAGCACGCGGCTCGTTAATATCTTCTGCTTCCCCTCGAAGGTATGTCGGACAGAGTTATTGGAAAGTCCGATGAAGAGAAGCAGTCGTCCGCGCCTCGACGTGGGCGTCTCGTCCTCTTACGTTGGACGCACAACCATATCATCCTCACGAGGATTATTATTTTTGTAGGATGAACTCGAGCATGAGATTCGGCGGTCCCGATCACATCGAATCCACCGCACTGGCAGAGCGATAATCTGGTGGAGATCATGAGCGATAATCCCGATTGTGTCACCGGTTCCCCGCGTGCATGGAACCGCAGCCTTTTGCATGAGGGTCTACCGCTCCGGTCGATGTCGATGAAAATTGTCGATTCTGACGAGTAAGGAGACGTGACCAAGCCCATTGAGTCACCCCGTCGGATAGGGAGTCGCGCCGGTTCCTCAAAGCTTCGACTGTTGTGTTTTGTTCGGGACCTTCATCGCTCCTCCAGGAGAAATTCCCGCGGACTATTTTTTCAATATACAGCAAGGAAGGTATTCAGAAAAGGGGAAGCGTGATAGATCGAGGTGGTCACATACGGCGTCGAAACGACAGTGATCTCCAGCTCGATGCTGTTCCGTGACGTGATTGCAATCGTAAAGCGCGGAAAGCCACCTCCTCCCCGAGGTGGGTCTGCTCCTTTTTCCTCGGTGTCCGGACCCGGGGAACGACTCGCTGCCGAGTAGAGTTGGTCGGCGGCCGACCCACCAGCGTCAGACACCGTGGAATAGATTCGAGAACTTCCGAGGATTCGAGGGGAAGGAGGGAGAAAACTCACGAGACCTTGGAGCTCCGCTCGTTCGGTAATGAATAGGAGCCGGATGACCTTTGAAGTACATCCGCTCCGCTCTCGATGGACATCCGGGACAAGAGTCACGTATTTTAAACAGTTGCTTACGATCAGTTTCCCTCCTTCGGAAAACGCCGTCCGTTCGTAGCTGTCCCAGAATCTCTATGAGAACCGAGGATTTCCCGGACACGGGAAGCTCCCACCGTGAAGGTTCGATTCCAGTGTTAGCTCGTAAGCGCGGGAGCCAGTTTTTTCGTTAGTCGACGACGACTAACACTCGGGAAAGGGGTGACAGGTTAAGTAAAACTAACGAGCCCCTTCCACGGCGAAAATGCCGCTTCGCATTCTTCGCGAGAGATATATCACGAGGGTAGTCTCCAGGAATTTCCTACGGCCGGCTTGCCTGCAAAACTCTTTCTCTCCTGACGACGACGTTCGGATCGAGCTCCTGTTTCGAAAGCGGCGCGGGTTGCAATTCCTGTGTCTGCACGACCGACTCACAGACCGATTCCGAACTCGGAACGCGGGACTAGGAATGATTGTCTAAATAGTCATACGACGGTCAGTATGTATCAAAACGCGTTGCACGAGCGACGCGAATGAGGGCTCTGGGCATAGTGCAACGTGCCAGCGTTTTTCTTTATTCGATACGGAATTTTGAAACATTGACCTCCCCATAGAGGTACCAGCTGCAAGCGTCTCTACTAAGGCGAGAGGTGTTTATCATCATCAAGCTCACACTAGCCACCCAGTGAGCCTTCCGGCCTGCTTGGGAGTCTATGAGGCAGTCAAACGAGCGGGCCCGAAGGCGAGCTGGCAGACAGGCAGGCAAGCAGGAATGAAGTATGGGTCAGGCTCTCCCCCGACCCGGCCTCGAGTCATCGCTCAAAAAGCGGCCCAAAATCATCAGGCCCTCTACGTTGCCACCATTATATTCAAATTATCTCCTACTGCCGGATATTCTGCGCTGCGCCTCGTCGTGCCGAAGGCACAACGCCTTTCCGACGCACCGTATAAGCTCACAGCCAGACTGTCGCACCGGCGCATATCCTGACGGGCTGGCTTGTGTGTGATGACTCCAGATGATGCAAATTGGCCCGCGTGAATCAGCCTTGTCATGGGCGTCAATGTTTTCCCCGAACGATATCGGTAGCTTTGAAAAAATGATCTATCTCGTGGGGAATTCCTCCTCGTTCGTTCTCGTGATTAGCCACGGTAGAATTTCCTTCCGCGGCAGGGAGGAAACCCGAGCCCAACACGGCGGAAGGCTTGTTCCTCTCCACGCGGAACCCTCGTGGGGTACGGACGATCACAAGCCATAAAAATTCCTAGGTTTGAAGAATTCGTGTTCAGAGCATGTTTCGAACGAGGGCATCCGTAAAGCGGTTTGGCTGCGTCTGATCGTTCGAGATTTATCTGATGTCGTTCGTTTTATTTCAGAACCGTGCGAGAAGATCTACTGCCGTTTCGGAGCGGAATGCCACGTTAGCGATGACAAAGCGTACTGTCGCTGTAGGAAAACGTGTTCGGATACTTTTGCGCCCGTGTGCGGTTCCGACGGAATCACGTATTCATCGGAATGCAAGCTCAAAATGGCTTCGTGTATCAGTCAGAAACGGATCTATGTCGAGAAAATCGGACCATGTGGTAAGTTGCCGTCTTGAGTTTCTATTTTTTTTTCTTCATTCCGCCCAAAATCACCGTTGGAGTGCTCATCGATTGAGCCATTGAAGCTTGCCGAGAATGGATCCAGCTCGACCAGGGGAGATTTGAAGAGGGAATGTTTTAAATCCGAGCCGAGCGCCTTACCCGGAAACAAGACGGAATGCTTCCCAAAATCACGGAATTCCCTCGAGAATTCGCCGCCCTCGGAATCGTTGACTAAGCCTCAACAATCTGCGCTGACGTACCCATGCTTGCGCGTCCCCCACTCACTCAGACAGACACGCGAGGGTGAGAGCAGTCGATATAGAATTAGATTGAATTTGAATTATCGACTTTGTCCGTGTCGTCTCTTCTCCGCTTCCGTGTCATCTCGTTTCTTTACTCCCGTTGCTCCGCTCGTTCTTTTTTCCCTCCTCACGCACGCTTTCCCAAGAACGGGAATGTCATTATCTGTGACAGTTTCATCTCGACTGCGCTAGCTTCATCTGTGTTCGGATGTCCAAATCGTTTGTGCTTGTCGCCGTCGAAAACGAGAACGACCTTCTTTGACTTCCAAGTGGCAACAATGTTCGCTCGCGAAATCATATGCCTAGACAATGCCCTTCTGGAATTCCATTTGGCTCACGCACTATACTCATGGAAATCCGTACAAAGAGCCTAGGGCACAGATCGCTCCCTTCTCGAATAGATGCTTGAAACCGTTGGAAAACACATCGCAGGGTGACCATCAAAAAATGGATGCACCCCCGGTCGCACTGGAAAACTGAAGATACCTCGAAGGCCGTTCGATCCACCACCGGGCCGTCACGCGATTTCCTCCGACGCCATGCTTCGACGAGCCAGACGGTCGACGCCGTGGCCGGCTCGCCCATTTCGTCCCGATTTAAACGATCCCCATGCTTTTCGGTCCCCCCGTTTACCGAGAAATCCTCGCGATTCCTTCTACACTTCCCCGTGCAAAAGCAACTTCGGCGTCGGGCTGTTGTCTCCGCTCATTACGCGTGTACAGCGTCGGGTAGCAGGAAGCCGTGCAAGCCTCGGGATTGGCGACCAGCTGCGTTGCTCATTACTTGCGGTTCGCTAGGGTTTGAAGTTCGCCTGAAAGCTGCGGAGATCCCGTCAACACAGTGCCTGGCGCTTAGCCTGACTCTTGTTGAGCTGCGATTATCCGGCGGTTGGAATGTTATGGAAATATTTTTCCATTGATGTGGATGCTCAAAAGATAATCTCTTCTATTCTTTCCGGATTGAAGCCTCACGATATCAGATGAAAACCCCGAGAATCAGCCGTCGATTGAATTATTCAGAATCGTAGCGAGGACACTGATGAATTTACGAGTCCACGGATCGGTGTTCTCTGAAGATTCAGATTTGCCTTAAGTCACTCGACGCTACCCGCGGCAGACGGTCGCGGAGACGGCACCGGTATCCTGGCTCTTTGAAAATCCATTCTCGGAAAATTTTACCGTATAAATCTCTCGGAAGAGGGAACGATTATGATCGAACCCCCGGAACCTCGGTCTGACTCCCGGCGCTCCCCGCACTGGGAAGCTCAAGAGCGATGCGTCCATTTTGGCGCGCAAAAGTTGTAAACAAACCCCCGTTACCCCACGGAAGCACGTGTCGGGGGAGGGGGGAAATGATCTTCCTGGACCTCGGTACGAGTGGCGCCCTCTCCGGTGCGACCTGAGCAATTTCCAAAGCGGTTTCCATAGCAACAAAATAAAGTCGCACGCAGGCGCAACAACGCCGCCGTAGCGAGTGCTGGGGGGATAGGATGGCCGACCACCAGCTCCGCACAGACGACAGTGCGCGCAGCACCGAGATGTTGTTCTCTGGATCAGCTGCTTGGTCAGCGCGCTCTCGGCGCTGATTCCGGTCTCTCGGACGTGTTGTGCCTCAACGGATAATGTTATCGCATTGTTGAATTAATGCCAAGATGAATTTCCGAACAAGTGTGTTATTGCTGTGGGCAGCAGCGGTGTTGTTTAGTGACTCGGCTAATGCGTGCTACAAATTCTCCGCAGACACCCAGGACCCTTGTCTGGATAAAGAGTGCCAATTCGGTGCCGAGTGTAAGGTACGTCTCGACGGGAAGGCGGCAGAATGCGTTTGCCCGGAGAAGTGTACCTCCTACGGAGACTCAAAAGGATCCCGGCCTGTCTGTGGTTCCGATGGAAAAGACTATCCAAGTGTCTGCGAGCTCAAGAGATCGGCTTGCAAGGAAATGCGGCACATCACGACCAAGTACCAGGGATCTTGTGGTAAGTAAGATACTCACTCCTTCGAAAGGTATCGACGAAAACCGGATCAGAGAACATGAGGAGAGATCCCCGAAGAACCTCCAGATCTAGACCCTCGGGTTTACGTTCAATATGGATGTTATTCCTCTCCATGTGCGTTGCAATACTTCTCTTTTTCGCGCATCTCAGTCGCATCCGCCGCATATTCCCATCAGTCGGGGGAGGCATCTCTACTAGGGTAATCATGGGGAGGGGGAGGGGGGATTGGCGGTCACGGCCGCATGTGAGTTCTTGTTTTCGAGTGTGCTCTTGTCGTCGAGCTTGATGATCCTCCCCAAAAGACGAGGCCTCATTGATTTCTCGGCAGGACTCGGGCCCGACGGCTTTGGCTTGCTCGTCATTCCTCGGCTGGAGAATCCACCTCCAATCCCTCGCTGAGAAATCAGTTCCTCAAGAAGTTAGTGCTCTTAATCTAGTCCCTTGGGAAACTTTCTTCATCATCATAATCCGCATCCGAAAGGAAGCGGTCCGGAATTCCCGGCTCGTAACCGGCCGGCACCCGAAAGGTTTAGGATTCTTTTCCAAACGACCTTGGGAGCTGCGTTCCCCAAGGATAGACGCGGAGAAACTTTCCGAGTCCCGCGCATTTGTTCCTTGATGGGGTTTCCCTTGCGCTCGATGCTTCTCTAATCGAATGATACCAGATCGATTCGTTTAGTATCCGCGCCATGAGCTCCCATCGAGCCATCATCCGAGAGACCTTCGGTATACTAATCCTCTCAGGGTGCTCACAGTAATCTGGATAATCATCCTCGGGACAGCCCTGAAGGTTTGAGCAGAGAGCTATTCGACGCCAGATTCATTCCCGGCGGCCGAAATCCGGGCTGACGCTATCTCGGTCGAAATCACGAATGTTGGTGTGGAGAGCCGTTCCATCTCGAGCTTGTGCGATTTTCAGCGCCTCTTTGCGTGACGCGAATCTTTGTTCGCCGTCTCGCATGGTGCTTCTAGCGGAACGATGTTTGCCCCTCCAACGTTCAGTGTATATCCACTCTCGGCAAATTGACTCGGGCTCGCTCGCTTTCACGCGCACACAAAAAGTGCAGCTTTGCATTTGGCGAAGATCTGGATCTGCTGTTTTCCTTTGTGTGTCGCTCGGCTGGCAGTCCAGGTCTCAATGCGGAGCAAAGTAAACATTTTCCTTTACGCTTCGACTAAATTAGTGAAGTCATTATCCGAGGACAGTGAGCGTTATTTCCCGCAGCGAGCTGGCGTGTCCTCTGGTCGCCCGCGTGCACAGCGAGACTTCCCTCCTTCCTGGTCGCAGGATATGGGCTGCGGCAGCGGAGGCCGCGTATCAGTCCGGCGATGTTATTCTCGCCGAGGGAATTCCCTTGCTATCTCGCCGTTAACGTGTGATTGTTCTGGTCGATGCGTGAATCGATGAACACGCATCGTCCTTCAGTACAGGAAGTACCTATGTAATTGATTCTGTTCGAGTCCAGTGTTTTCGCGGGAAGACCTGCTCCCTGCGGCGTCGAGACGTTGCGTCAGGAACACAATGGATCTGTGCTCCCCGGAGACTAGGGGTTCCAGGAACCAAATTTTAATGGATTTTCAGCAGTCGTGAATCGAAGATGTATTATTGCCTTCGGACGCTGCCCTCCGGGTACCGCAGACGCAGGTGAACATCCAAAAAAGGCAGGCCAGTGACTTTCGGGTGCGGCATCGCAGGATTTCCGGATGACTCGCGCGGGCCGGTCGACAGCGCCGGAATCCGAGTGATACCCCGGTTACAGATCTTTCATATTCGGATACTGTTTCTGGAGACTCGTTAGCCCTCAGGGAAGTCACGAACATGGCCTGAATGTTCGCTGACTACAACTATCCAAAAATTCTCGCGGGCAATTATCGGCCGCTTCCTTTTTTTTTGTTGGAAAATGAATAGAAGCGGCGCCCTCGAACACTCGACGCTCACTGCATCCATATATAAATATTAGTGTGCTACTCCAGGTGGAAAATTCAGCTCAAAACTTGCGCCATGCAATCACAGCCCTGGCTTCTCCCGAACGATCTATCGTCGGCGAGAGCCTTGGAGCTCCCGGGCAAAGGCTCCGGATTAGGCCTCCGCAGCGTCCCGTCGATGGGAAAAAGTCTCGCATCGATTCGTGAGCATCAATCAATAATCCATTGTTCTGGGGAAGGAGCTTTGAGCGGATAACTCTTGAATCTAGAAAAGGATAGCCGTGAGAAATTTCCGAGGCGGGTCCACATCTTCCGGCAGGATCCCGATTCTTCTTGGGGACGATGTTCGTATCGGGTCATAAATTCACAACGACTTCTAGGCAGAAACCCCGTCTTATTCTGGTTTGCCGCCCCCGGAAGCTCCGAAGCGCCGAATTTGGTGCGACTCGAGTCAGCATTCCCCTCTAGAGACGAGCGGAAACGTCAAAGGGCGTAAGCCGGAGCAAACGGTGCTCGTCCGGAGGGGTGTTCCGGAATATTTGCCAACGGCAATATCTCGATCGCGTATCCGACGACTGACATTGGCTGCCGAAGAGCTTGGTGAAGCTCCCGAGAGTAATCTACCTAGCTGCTTGGAAAAGACCCCAAGGGTGCTCTAGTTATCGGAGCCTCGGTTTAGAAGAAGAACTAAAATGGATAGCCCAGAGAGGATTAAAAGAAGCAGCCATTCAATGCGGCTGGGAAAGTGAGTGGACGGAGGGTCGGCCGATTCTCCCTTCCTCGAGGCACCGGCTGACGCGACGGGTACGAAAAGAGGAAGAGACGAAGAAATCAGTTTCAGTTTGCCTGCCGAGCTCGTGCTCTCGGTCAAACTCTAGGTTCTCAGGAACAGCCGCGGGAAACTCGCCAGAGCTGGGAGAGAAGACCGTTTTTGCATGACCCGCTGCAGTCGACTGAGCTGGAGAGAACTCGCTGTTATCAGTAGACTTTGCGCTCCGACCGAGAGGTTGAACCGACCCCGTGATCGACTCGGAGAACACGAACTGCACCTATCCCGATCGAGGAACCCGGACCCTTCGCGTGGACCGTCTAACTCGCACCGAGCTCAGGCGCTGTGATACGGAGAGGCGGCTGCTCCGAGCGGAGTGTCTCTGGAGACGACATTCTTGACAAAGCCATTATGCCCAGGAGAGCCCATACACAAGTAGATAATGAGCAGAATAGCAAAATACCGCAACACATTCGAGGCATAGGTATGGCGGCGGAGAACTCGATGACCCTTCACGATTACCTACTGTAGGTTCTGTCGGGACGATGTCCCGGTAACCTCTGTCTGCCACTAACATTGCAGCATGGATGTGACGGATCCCGATAAATACTCAAAATGTTCCGAGAATCGATCGGTTGGTGAGATTGTGAGACACTCGCCAACGGAGATGGACCAGATGCTTGGTATCTCCTTACGCAATTCGAACCCGCAGTTCGAGTCCTTTGAACATCTCAAAACTTCCTCGGTCTGCCAGTGACATTGGAGGCAGAAAATTCCCCTCTCGGATACTGGTCTCGAGAGCCCCACGAAGAGAGGGTCCATGAAGGGGAAATCATGGGAGGAAGGAGGAAGAGTTCGGCTAGGAAAGAGTTGTCGAATGAACTTTCTCAATGCCTGGTACCCTCAGAAAAGTTGAGTTTCGAACTACCAGTATCATATGTTGGTTGGTTTCCTCTTCGCCGCGCACCTGGATTTCCCTATGCATATGCCTCCTTAGATCGGCTCGTGTATCTCCAATACCTCGGAGGACCCTCCCATTGGTTGATCACGACGATAAAACCACTATTCTTGCGAAGCAAGAAATTTGTGAGCAAGAGAATGAACGAACCAGCGCCAGACGGGGAGAATACTCTCGTCGAGTTTTTAGCTCCAGGGGAGAACAAACGACCCCTGGAAATTAGCGGACTGAGGTGAGGAAGCGGCGCACATTTTTACGATTATTCGATCACTATCCTAATTGACAAGGATGATTCTTTTCCCCGTCCGCTTCGTCTCTTTTTCCTACATCGAATGAGCTTGACGGCAGTGGCCGGACCCCAGGGATTCCGGACTCCGGAGCGGCCTCGAGGTTTGAGGGGGTGCCCAGCAGCCGATCATCTTTCACGGCCTTTGGGAAACACACAGCGAGCTTCGATGCCCTCTCGCAGTTGCCGAGTACTGGGATAAAAATAGACACCGAGCACCTAGGAATTGATGGAGTCGATAAGGATCAAAAGAAAGTATCCCGCAACCTATGTACAGCAATTCGGTGGGTAGGAACCCGGCCGGACTGCAGCGGGTATGAGTCGCGGACGCAGACGGCGGAGAACTCGACCCAGCAGGGCTCTGGGACCCTGAGATGATAGGGAAGGAACTCGGAAGGAATATATCACGGAATTCGCCCGAGAGGGCTCCCTTTGAGCTCCGGCTGCGTGGCTCGATCCCACGAGCGAAGATTACCGCTCCCGTGGCAATTCACATAACATTCCTGAGAGATTTCTCCAACCTTGACAAGCTCCGAGCTCCGAGTACATGATGTGACTCGTAGACTAGAGAGGAATAAGCCAACTGGGTATGGGAAAAACTTCACGGTCACGCCCATGCAGGAAGGCGACACGACGTTGCGTGTTGAACGAGGTTGGAGACGACGCTTGGCCGCACCGGACCGCTGAGCAGGATCGTTTTGTTCGGAATACCGAGCTTCATTACGGAGAGCTTCGTACCCGCGGTGACCGACCGTATGTGGAAATTTCTTAGCGGTTGGTCGTGGTTCTCAAGGCGCTTACCATACGGACCGTGCAAGTCCGGCCTGAGGAGGAATTATTAGAGATCGGTATCGCCTCCGCCGATTGCAGCGGCCTTGGTGCTCTGCGACTTAATATCGGGACCCTTAATTGGAATCCCACTTAGAAAAGCCGATAGTCGTCGCCGTTGTCGTCGTTGCTCGTTCGTTCATTCGTTCGTGCGTCTTGCCGAGGCGATTCGTCCAATCGGCGAGGCGCTCGTTCTGTGACTGACCGGCGGAGACTTCTAGCGGTCCCGGCAGTTTTTCCCCCATGAGCGAGCAACTGTAGATTTCCGAGAAGGATATTTTTGGATCCTCACTAGCCGACGTCGGCACCGTTCAAAGTGGCAGCTGCGGCGACGGCAATAGGCTCGTTCGTGTGCGAGGCGGTCGTGTGCTCTGCGAGTATTCCACTTTCGAGCTCGCCGGAGAGCGGCTTCATAATGACCCTATAGATCATGCGTATAAAGTCGCCTCCGTATATTAGCCCAACCTCTATTCGGGCACACCTTCCACAATGAGTTTTCTTCCGAGTGGATCTATCGCTCGCGCACAGATACCTCCATAGGGAGGCTTTTCTTCGTCGTCGAGACACATCGCATCCGAAGTTTTCAGACGACACATCACATCCGAAGTTTTCAGACGACACACACGATTTATGTCTTTTCTGTCCCAACATTAGATCGGTAATCCTCGTGTTCACATCGAATGAGCGACTTCTCTTGCGGCTGAGAGCCGCTATACCTTTGTCCTTGAGAGGAGGATCCTCGACGCAACCAAGAGCTTCGGTGCGCGGACTCTTCCGACTCAAACTTCCCAGGTCATCTAAGTCCTCTAAAATGTTTCAACACCTGCCGAAGGTCTCGAGACACATCGAATGTCTGTTTCCGATCGCAAGAACCTCTTGACAGGCCCAGTCCTTGGCGCTCCACCACAATTATTTCCCAGAGACGAAATGAGGGAGAAAACACTCGGGACGAAAGTCCAATGCTTCTAGGTACGGAAAGGTCTAATTGACTCCTGGTAGACCAGACGGCCCAGAGAGAGCTTCGAGATGCAATGTAGCTAAGTGGCCGAGTAATTATTTGCTTGTTCCTTGTGATGATCTTCAGACGAAGCTTCCCACAAAGAAAAAAACGAGACAAGTCGGAGAGGATGAGTAGACCTCGGTCTTTGTCGGCGGGAGGCTCCATTGTCTCCAAGCACTCCACTTAGTGGGAAGCTGGGAGCGCCGGTCACGTATTTTTGTTACGCGTCGTCGCCGCAGGTCAGCCTGCAGCCCGCTCTTCCGCTCTGAGATGCCGTTCCTGAGCAGCTCCCGCGAGACCACAAGCAGTGGAAGGGCGAATCCTGGCCATTCCGTGCCCTGAAGGCTGTCCTGGATTTCTAATGAGTCCTTCGATGGGGTTCGCATCAAGCTCGAGTTACCCGCTGTCTTGACTTCCGGAAAATCCACTCAGCGTCACTTCCCGATTCCGTAGTGACGTTTCGAACCACGCGCCGTAGTTTCATCCGAGTCCTCATGGATCCGTGTCATGATATTGTCCTTTTTTTCCAGACCCTTGCCAGTCTGTCGAGTGTCCTGAACATCAAGTATGTCAACTCGACAAGGCGCGGAATGCAGTTTGTCAATGCAACTCACAATGTCCTCGAGAGGTACGGCCGGTGTGCGGCTCGGATGGGAAGACCTATTCGAACGAATGCGCCATGAGGGTTGAAGCCTGTATTACGCGGAGACAAATCAGGGTCCTGTACCAAAAGGAGTGTGATTCAGGTGAGTGAGTCTCTCTAGACACGAATCTGTCTCTCCGAGAACGCTGACGGCGCCGGCGTAGGAGCTCCGCTATCGGGACAGGGAGAAATCGACTCCCTAATGCGCCTCGAGCGGAGTCTGAGTCGGCGTCGTTCCAAATTAACAGTGTGAAAAATGATTCCGATCAATCGAGTGGACGGTTCGACCAGACAAATCGGAGGTCGAAAGTGTCAATCGATTTCGCACCCGGGAGTAGAACAGGAAGACTGACGGTTGTCGCGTCGACTTCGAGCGACTCCTGAGGAAAGCTCAAGGGAGAGAACCACGGATTTCCTTGTGACGGGAAGGATATGAATTCGTAATAGTCTCCGATTGGGACATGAGAGCATCAGAAATTAATGGGGAAGTTTTCTCTAGGGAGTTCGCTATTCGACAATCAAGAAGACGGCCTCAAGCCGAGGTCGATTAACCTCCTAACCCTATTTTTCGGACTGAGGTCTATCCTCCACTGGAGGCGGGGGTTCACAGGACCGTATGCAAACCTGCATGGGTTTCCTTCTCGCCTTGGAGCTTTTCTCGGTGTGCGCGTCGGTAGTTGCTGCTGCCTACCTACCTCGGCTCGAGGAATTCCGGGAGCCTTGGAGGGTCCCAGGGGAATTTCCATCGTAATCCGACGCGAACGAGGCCGCCTACGCTACTTCAAATAAGGAATCCGCTGAATATTCTCGGATGATCATGGAATCCCTTGTCAACTGATCTCGAAACTTCCGACGCATTCCTCCGGGATTCCGCCTTCCAGGACTTCCCGGATTCATTCGAGTGTGCTGGTGGGTTTCCGAAAATTCGGGGGACTTCGATGAGCTCGGTACCCGAAGCAATATACCCAGACCATGGATAGCGGTGGCAGATCCAGCTGCCACCGTCTGTCAGAGCAGGGACTCCACTCGCTCACGGTCGCCGAATTCCTATAGAGTCATTCGGCAACAGCGAATTCGACCGTTTTCTCTTTCGTTGTCAAACGCCAGACCGGCCACAAATTGAAGCAAATGCGTTTCCGATGCTCAGCACGTTCCGTCGGCAAATGCGCGATGAGGCTCTCCCTCTCTTCTTGAGGTGTGGTTTTTTCCTTCCAATCGGCTGCTTGCCTGCCCGCTTGACTGAATGGATCGCTTCCAATGTTCTGCGGTAGCTCGTTGAAGGACCAATTCTTCCTCGTCTCCATCTATCGTAGCTCGACGGGAACAGCTATCGTCGGGATCGCCGCCGTATCGACGATGAGATGCGAGGAAACTCTCCGCTCGCGTGATGACGAAATCTCGATGAAACAGCCGGTGAGCGCCCCGGCGACAATGAGTTCGCCCGTCCGATTACGATATTTGTGGACGCCTTTCCGTCAGAGAGGGCCTCTCCAGGATTCCCGGAAGATATTCTTCGAAATTTCGGCAAGCGATCCTCTGAGACCGTACTCGGCGGGGAATCCTCAAGATTCTGCGTGAATGGCCATACGACGCCATTGTCTACAAAAAAACATTCATTCGAGCAGCCTGCCACCGTTCCCTGGAATCGACGGACTTTCGCCATGGCCGAGCGGCTCTGATGATTACAAAGAAGCGGATGAAGCGTACGATCGCTCTCGCGAAGCTGGAAATCACGACCATAAACAAGCGGCGTCATATTTCTCGCGGTATAAGCGACAGACCCAGAACGAACGATCCCAGCAGCAGCAGCAGTAGCAGTGGCGACGGCGAGCCTCGCCAGCTCGCTAGGGATTTGCTCCGAAAGCCAGCACCATCATCTCTGGCGCCTGACCTGCGTTCGTCGGCAGGCAGCGCATCTCGGCAGCACGAGATCAGCCGCACAGTTTCCCCCGTGTCAGGAATCCCACCTGCAGAATATGAGCGAGGCTGTCGGAGAACTCCAAGGAATGTGCGGATTCGAAAGTTGAGCTCCCGTCCGGCGTCCCTGGGATGACGGTAGCGAGGAAAGGAACCAGCCGGCCTTCCAGCCGGCCAGCCAGCTCGCCTGGGTAGCAGACTGATATCGACATCCTCGATCCAGGACGGTCAGTCCGTCCGTCCAGGGAGGATTCTCCCGAGGTCTCGCAGCGGAGCTATATCCGGGAAGATTATCTCGTGTTCTGCTCCGCGGCTCTGCTCGCCCGGAAATCGTTTCCAAGACGACCCGACAAGATATCCACAGGCCGCGATCGCTCGAAGACCTCATGCTGTGGGAGCGAGCGCTGGAAGCAGCTGCACTATCCATCGCGAGGAAAAAGGATGTTAAATGGAACGTGGCCTGCATTAGTCGGTCCTTTCCGTCCAGGCCGAAGGCGAGCCTCTTTTGCGTTCATCTACTTTTTCATCTTTTCGTATTTGAAGAATCGACTCTTAGTTAGAGGAGCGAGGGGTTCCGGGACATATCTGATTCGATTGACCACCACTAAAAGAAATTGCCCGGATGGATTTCGAGGAGAAGGTCACTGGAAGCTCGCAATAGAGCTTCGATGCTCCTCTGACCGAAGACCGGGACGATTGTCGTTATTATATGGATCCGTTCTCCCCACCCCTCTCCTCTGGGGAATCATCCCATCCCCGCAGCGCAGTCCTCTCGGCTCCGCGAATACATATGTATCCTCAATGCGTATCCTAGTTATACTCGTCTAGTGGAGAAAGTGTTGACCCCTCGTCTCTCTTCCCCAGTACTCAATCCATGCCGAGCTGTCAACTGTGGCCCGGCGCAAGAATGTGAAATCGACCGGCAGGGTACAGCTGTGTGCAGCTGTCCGCCTCCTTGTGAACAGGTGAGTAGCTACGTGGGTGAGAGAGCTCTTCGTCGACGGCTCTTCATCGCTCGATGGATATTTCCAATCTCGAGAGTGTCCTTGCAGGTGGTACGCCCGATATGCGGGACGGACGGGGTTACGTACGACTCTATCTGCGATCTGAATAGACAGGCTTGCCTTCAGAACACCGACGTGCAAGTTGCCTACAGCGGAACCTGCGGTGAGTGATTCGGAATCCCTTTTGAATTGAGCCGGAAACTTGGAGAATGTCTGCTCGGACGTCAGATAATGGACTTGTCAAACAGAGCAACGCACCAACCCACGCCCGGGACTCGGTTTCAGCTGGAAGCTAAACGGAGCAGGCTTACCGATGCCCATGTGTAATGAAACCATTTCTGACCCAGGCAGACTAACGGAGTGGACATTTTTGTAATTGCTCGACACACAGAGCTAATGTGACCATTTTTAACGAGGCGCCGAAATGTCTGTGGACACAACTCTCTCCCCGCCCCAGTCCAGAGCACTCGCTCTCGCTCATTCCGTCGCGACATTTGTTTGCATTAGATTGTTCGTATTTGACGCGAAAGCGTCCTGCGCCGAATCGGCCGCCGATTTATTCGTGTTATTAGTGTGGTGCTTCGTAATTGATCGTTGCGATTATTCAGCGCAGCCGATGCATGCAGACATCTCCTGAAGCTGGCCCGATGCATGCAACCGAGGCAATATACTATCGTCGGAGCATAGGGACACAAGATGAAATATTGATGTGGCATTTGCAAGTCGCTCTAATTTGAGGTTGATGGCCTCGGACGACCGGGCAGTCCAGCGATCGAGCCAAGAGGAAGACGAGCGGGCTGCCGAGAGACGCAGACAAGCAAACTATCACGGAGACGTTCAGCCCCATGGACTGGACGCCTATTGCATCATACTTAGCTCCCTCTGCTCCCGACTGACCCGGCGCATGCAAAAGACACGCTACGCTCCAAAAGCGGCAGCTTTGCACAAGTCAACAACAAGTGATGGATGGCCCCGAGTATGTTGCCTCGCCTCCGCTCCCAGAGAGTTTTGTCGGGTCCAGACGGAGGTGCTCGCGGTAAGGCGGGACCCCGGCCCGGAAACAACGATACTCACTGGATGAGGCTGCGCTGACAGAGGAATTTGCGTTAGGATACGTTACAGCGGAAGATATGGCTGCTTTGTGGGCCGCCTACATTAGGGCCTTCCGCGCAAATTGAAAGTAATAGCTCCCGGGGGAGCGCACACGTTTGGAAGGTTTATGAATGGGCGAACGAACGGATAGCCGGTTCGCGGTCTGCCGAGGCACGGTCTCGTATCGGGATGTCGGGCTGAGCTATTCATCCGCGAATTTTGAGCATCGACGGACGGAACGAGAGTCTTCCGTTATTCGAACAGATTCACAGTGGAATGAGTGTGATTTTCTTTGCCCTTCCTCAGATGAAAACGGTGCGTGCCACAACTACCCCTGCCAACTGGGAGCTTTCTGCGTGGTTCTACCGAATGGATTCCCATCGTGTGAATGCCCAACTTGTTCCGAGGAATTCGAACCTGTCTGCGGTTCCGATGGAATTTCTTATACAAACGAATGCAAGTTGCGCAAAGAGGCCTGCGAACACAAGAAAGATATCTACGTCGAGTACAAGGGACTCTGCGGTAAGTAGTGAATTTCCCTGCAGATTCCGAAGCTATGAATTCAAGCCAAGCGTGAAGAACACTATGCCAAAGGGATTTCCGAGCTCTGAGCCACGGAGCGGCAATATTCTGATCCGGAAGAAAAGGAGAACGCGATGTGCGCGAGCTTCTGCTATCGGTAGAAGGCGCTTTATCGGTCGGAGAGAGTCTTTCGCCGGGAGCCGGCCTATACGGCTCGTCGCAGAGGTCCGCGAGGACTATGGATAAAGTTCGAGATTGGGACCGGATTCGCGCAGTATTTGCTCGGAGGTCTTCGTTTAAGACGAGTCGTTTCCGACGACAAGCGGTTCCGCGAACAATTCGGGAAGACGGCGGCGGAGACTCCGACGCTCGTTCTTGGACGACGGCCAAGCTACTGTCGCTTCGCAGGTGATGCGCGATCATGAAGCGTGAATTAAGGGGGAAGAGGAATTCGGACGTCGACGGAATTCTTATGACGCGACGGCAGAAAATGAAAGCGCCTCTTGCTGGAAAATGTAAACCTCATTTCGAAGTTCTAATATGTTTCTTGAATGCTTGCAGCCGATTCGTGCGCCAACAAGAAGTGCGACCACTACGCCATGTGTAAAACGAACAGCGGAAACGCTTTATGTGAATGCCCCTCGGAATGCAAACCGGTAAGAGTTCTTTTCCGACTGATTCTTCCGACATGGAGTCGGGCGTATCGTCGTCCCTTCGTCCTATGAGTGTAGCTTTCCCTTTATATGACCGTCTCCTTTCGGCCGAGCGAGCGAGCGAACGAACGAGCGAGCGAGCAAGCAAGCAAGCGAACGACGGTCGGGCGGTCTCCTCAGTCGCGGTCCGTTCAGCACAGCGGAGCAATGCCGCGCCAAGCGAGGAACGACCTCTTTCTTCATTTCGAGTTATTTCAACAGCAGCCATTGCGGATTTTATACGTCTTGTGGCTATGGGAAAGGGGGGGGAGGAAGTAGCGACGGCCAAGTTCGCCGTCGCCAATTATATCACGATCTGACGTTTCGGGGAGCGGATTCTGACAGGGGCATGACGTGAGCCATTCTCTTCCTCGTTCCAACTCTTTGATTTTGAGCCGTCGACTTTTCCCGATGGGGTCGATTGAATATTTCTTTTGCATGACAAAGGAGCGAAGCTCTTGGCGATGGCGACTGCTGTTGGTTCTTCATTTTTCAACATCCTCCCTCGTTGACGATCCGCTCCGCTTCCGCTCGAAATTGGAACTCATTGTCCATTCGGCCGTGGAAGGGGAAAGATGAAGATATACAACGACGTCGCACTCGGCGATAGTGACGACGATCAAGGCGATAGTGGACTCGTAATTTCAAACTCTTCTCATTCGAACCGCCTCGAGCTGTTCCTCAGAATTTCACGATTCGTCCATTCTGTCGCTCCCGCCCCCCCCTCGTCTAATCCTTGAATACATCTCGGAAACTTCCACGATGAGAATGGGAACGATCTCCGACATTCGGAAACCTCGTGCGAGAAAAAATAATTACTAACCGGAAACGAGCCTGGAGGGCGTTTTGAAACGCATCGCTTCAATCATTATCACGTGGATTCCTCTGTGATGCGGGAAGAAAACCGCTGAAATCCCTCGATGCACGAACTCAAGGATTTGTGTTCGCGGGACGAGACCGTTGGCATCGGGAACAGCTCCTCGGTGTGCGAGACGTTGTCAGACTCGCGACTATTCCGAATAACATTTCGGATGGCAGCTTTTTTGGGTCTCTACGCTCGGCTTCCCCTCCAATGTCGATCCTCCTCGAGCCCGAGCTCTGCGGCGTCGTGGCGAATCCATCCATGTTGTTCAGAGCAAAAAAAACACACTGAAGTCGGCCGAAGATTTTCGGACGGATTCCGATAGTCTTATGAGCGAAAATAATCCGACACGTGGATGAAATCGGTTGAGAACTCTGCGAGACTTCTCATTTCTCATGAAATTACCCATGTTGATGCTTAATCGAGAGTTCCGCATGCCCATGGATATTCCTAATCGTCAATGAGAGGATTTTTCGTGACACAATAGCGAGCGGCTGACGTCAATGAAATTCCAGCGCTCATACCTTCGATTCGGTATGGGTGCTGGAAGCTCCCACGGCCCCAGTACTTAAGCTACACACTCATTCACTCAGAGCTCTCTCGAGCAAATCGCGGCGGAAGGCGGAAGAATGCCTGCGAGACCTAAAACGGATTCTCCAATGATTTGCTGCAAGCCGCTTCCGTGTTCGTCCAGGTCTCCCATGGGGGTCGCTCGCAGCGAGTAGATTTCGACTCGGCCAAGGTCGTAATAGCAATCGGAATACGTCTCCTTCTTTTTCCGTGTTCCGGCCTGCACGTTAGGTAATGCGTGTCGCTTAACAGCTCTGCGAGCCGACTGAGAGACTGATTGACTCTTCTCCCGCTGGCTGAATCGGTAGGAGGATCCTGACTTCCACGCTGACTCGGCGTCCGGTTCGCACTCGGAGGTCAACGAATCCGCGGAACTAAAGAGCTCTTTCCATTATTCTTCCCACTAGGTGAAACTCCCGGTTTGCGGAAGCAACGGAAAAACTTACGAAAACGAGTGTGAGCTCCAGGTGGACGCTTGTAACTCGAAATCCGACATAGCTGTTTCCTCCACGGGACCGTGCGGTACGTATTTCGGCGATTTCCTCTCTCTTTCCGGTCGCTTCCGGTCTTTCTCTTCTTCGTGCTCGTGGCGCTGTTCTACATCATACATAGCGGTCCCGGCTGTGCTATCGCGTAGACGTTTTGTCTGTTATCTTTCGTAAATAAATCACCGCATTCGGTCATATTCTCCTATACCGCTGAAACCGAGGGAATCTAGCGACCGGGGCAGCCACAAGGGCGCTCGGCACGTCCAGCTGGCTGGGCTCGTTTTCGCGGCAGCTGTAGTAGCTGTCACTGATGGCGACAGGAGACGTCAAAAGTCGAGTAAAAAATCTCGCCACGGCAACGCGCCGCTTATCGGAAACGAGTGGAAAGATTTCCGCGCGGTCAAACAGAAACACTCGGAAATCGCTGCTTCTCGTCTGAGCCCTCATCCGGAGCTTTCGGGAAAACGGCGTGTGTAACGGTCGCTTCGATGTTTCAGACATGTGCTCGAACGTCGTATGTCATTTCGGTGCTCGTTGCGAAAATGGCGACTGCGTTTGTCCAACGAGTTGTCCTGACAATTATTCTCCGGTTTGTGGTAATGACGGCGTTACCTACAGCAACGAGTGTGAGTTGCGGACAGCTTCTTGTAAGAAAGGCCGTCAGCTACAGGTTCTCCACTTCAAAGAATGCGACGACGAAATTGTCTCCAGTGCAGGTGAGCTCGTACGCATTGAATCGCGATGATGCAAATTCACGATTCTGAGAGCATGCTCCTCGCGCACCCTAGCCAATCTGAGTGAGCCGATCCGCAGGCCTTACGACCGTATAGACTTCAGGCCCGGGAGTCTTCGAGCTATAAAATGCTTGTGGAGGAGTCGAGCGTTCCGGCCCGACTTCTTCGGCAGATGAATCGACCTCGACAGTTGTTGGAAAATTTGATTTTTTCTGCGAATCAAACGATGCGTCCGTGAAATCGGAGCCTGCGTCGACACTCGCGTCCCCGGACGACGTCCTTCAGTCTCGGATGGACGTCCCCACTCTCGAGCAGTTTCGACAACGCTCCTGAATACATGTCGCGACACAACGATGGCCTGTCGGAGCAGGCCCGCAGTCAGCAATCGAGATCACAGAGTCGAGGAACGAAATAGAGATGTGTGTAGCCGACGGGCATTTTGAACGTATTATCTTTCCCTTCCAGAGGGGTCTGGCAGCAAATGCGAGGAAAACTGTCGCTTTGGCGGAATCTGCAAGCCCCGTTTCTCCGGAGATCCGATGGAGTGCCGTTGTGAATTCAACTGTCCCGACGTTCGAGTAGATGAGAGCACTTTCGTCTGCGGGTCTGACGGCAAAAAGTCAGTTACGAGTTTGGGAAGCTTCTCGATCGGGGAAGATTGCCTCGAGATGCATCCATTTTTTCCTTTAAAGACAATTCCGAGGCGGATTCTCCGATTTTTCCTCTTGTTCCTTCACAGATACGCTTCCTCTTGCCACCTTCAGATGGAGGCTTGTAAGAAGCAAAAACATATCAAGACCGCACCCAAGGAACGCTGTCTGGCAAAGGATCTCAAAGCAATGTCAGGTGAGTGATTCCGAGCTCTGCCCCAGTGCGTTCCTTTTGTCCCCTCTCCTCCTGGTTGCGTATCACTGCCGTGGAACAATGGGAGCGGTCTGACGTTCCCGCCTGTCATAGTAATGAGGTTCGCGTGTCGCCCGCCGCGTTCTCTTGGACTTTGTCTGGCGGTGTCGGCAGGAGTCTCAAAAAAACTGAAATCGATTTTTTGAGATCGCTCTCCGAACATGGATTCGAGCGAGAGGAATAAATTCCGGCTAACGTGTCCGCGTTACAGAAGGGAAAAGTTCACTGCCTTGCGAAGGAGGTCTCCCGCTCAAAGATCCAGCCACAGGCAACGAATACTACTGCGGCGACGGCGGGAAAACCTGCCCTTCGGGAACCTACTGTCACAAAGGCATCGGATTCGCCACCTGCTGCGAGAAGAAAGGTCGGTTCTACGTGTTCTGAATCTGCGAATCGCCGCAGCGAGCGGCGACTCGACGGTCTCCGGCCGAGCTCGGGATATTTACGCGAAAACTTCTTCCAATGAACAAGCAATGACTAAGCATGTGCTCGCTTTCCTCAGCCAAAACGACCAAGTGCATGTTCAGCAAATACGGATGTTGCCCGGACAGCATCACTTCGGCCTTGGGTCCGGCCCATCTTGGCTGTCCCGGAGCTTGTGGATGCAACAAATTGGGTTCGATTGGGAACATGTGCGACCCAGTCACGAAACAGTGCCAGTGCAAGCCGGGAGTGGGTGGATTACGCTGTGAGAGGTGAGAGCCGAGCCCTCAGGGGAAGGCGGGACGTATCTTTCAGCGTTGTTGGTCCGTTGCGTCGCCGAGCGTTGAACTCTCCGATTTCCAATTACAGATGCGAGCCAGGATACTGGGGTTTGCACCGCATAGGAGAAGGTCTCCCCGGCTGCTCGTTGTGCGAATGTCATCCATTAGGCTCGGTCAGGGATGATTGTGAGCAAATGACAGGACGCTGCGTATGTAAACACGGCGTGCAGGGCATGAAGTGTAACACCTGTCCGAGTGGAGAGGTGCTCAGTGCAGATGGCTGTACCGACGGTGAGTTTCGACCGCGGAGTTGAACTTCTGCCGAGCTCTGCAATCGGAATCTCGGAACGTACCCACTGTGGATCGAAAGAACTTGGAGAATTGAATTGAGGAGACGCTCCGGGAATGTTTGCGCGAAGGAGAGCGGAAACGTATCGACTGTGGCCTCAATCAGCTTGACTCATGTTTGCTCCTTCACTCGACAGCCTCTCTCGTTCGACCGATAAGCGGGACCTGTGCCACTCTAGTGTGCCGTCATGGCGCCGTGTGCCAGCAGCGGGGTCCTGGTGAAGCGCTATGTATGTGCGACGTTAAATGCTCTCCTGAAGAAGATACAGGAGGACCGGTTTGTGGGTCCGACGGAAACTCCTACGGCTCCGCTTGTCAACTTCGCGAATTCAGCTGCCGAACCCAAAAGCACATCTCAATCGTGCATTTCGGACACTGTCAAATGGGTGCGTGAGGAGCTATTTCCCAGACGAAAATCATCCCTAAAGAAGCTCGAGCGATTATTCGGCAATCGACATCTCTCGATTTACGCTATTCCTTTCTGGCTTCTGCAGAGGACATCTCACCCACATCCGGCCCTATGCGACGCTCGACCGTGGAACGTTGGACTTTGGATGATGACCACAAGTCTACCCGGGAAATAAGCATGTCCAGTCTGCCCGACGAATTCAGGCCGACCGAGGCATCGAATAGTCTGTTCACGAACGATGACTCGATTCAGGTCTGCCATTCAGTTTTTCTTCTCGGCTCAGGAGAGAGAGTGAAGCTCTCCAAAGATCATCATGCGACCTCCGTCTAATTCTAATCCTTCTAATTCAGGTCCCCCATTTCAACGGGAAAGCATATCTAGAACTGCGACGATTACAAGCCTACCAAGGGCTCTCTCTGGAAATCGAATTCAAGGCCTACTCCAGCGACGGCTTACTTCTCTACAACGGACAGACTATGACAGGAGCGGGAGATTTCTTGTCATTAGCTCTTCGCGACGGCCACGTCGAGTTTCGATACAACTTGGGCAGTGGTGCGTCCCCCGATGAAATCGATAAAGAGAATCACCATCGCAACGTTTTGCGACGGAGACGATCCAGCAGTCGAAAAAAAAATTAGATTGTACTCATTTTGCTGCGAATAAGGTCGGTCGGGAGGCTAACGAGAGGAAACTCGATTTGATCAACAGGTACGGTTACACTGAAGTCTCACGAGCGTGTGACTCCTGGGGAATATCATCACGTAATGATTCGACGCTATCACCAAGATGGAGTGCTTAAAGTCGACAACGGTGCCGAGGTGACCGGCAGATCAGATGGGATCCTGAAATCACTCGATCTCGCCGAAAACCTCTACGTAGGATCTGTCCCTAAACGGATCGAGGGGTGAGTCCTATGGGGGACGTGCTCGGAAATTTTCAGATAATCCCGGTCCAAGAAAACGAGAGTAGCCACTCGCGGGGAGACGAATTTGCATATTCCCCGCACGAGCGACCGGGAAGAGAATCGCTCGCTCATTCGGCTCTGGGAAACTCTGCCGCGAGACACGGCATCGGAGAAGAACTAATCTTACTGCATGACTGATCGGATCGACGCTCTAACTTTTGAATTATTCCAGAATATTTCAAAACGTCGGTGTTTCCACTGGTTTCCAAGGCTGCATCAGTCTTATTCGGGTAGGGAAGAAACACCTCAACCTGAAATACCCTCAGTCCAAAGACATCCTCAGCGCCTACAACATTCGTAAGTTTTTCCCGTCGGCCGGCCGTGACTATCACGATACGAATTCGATAGATTCTCGTAGAGAACAGACCACAGCCGGGTGACGAAGAAAAATTCCCGACTTTCCAGGCGAGTGCACTGAAAACGCTTGTTCTGCTGCACCCTGCAAGAACGGGGCGCTCTGCGAGCCAGTCGGCACCTCGTACAGGTGCGAGTGCCGTCCCGGATTCGGTGGGAGAGACTGTGAGGACGCGACCCACAAGTGTTCCACTCATCCCTGCGCTCATGGCTCGACGTGCGTTCCCACGGACGATAACAAATTCTACTGCAAGTGTCCCCCTGGGAAATCCGGGACATACTGCGATACGAGTAAGTAGTCGTCTGCCCCGAGCACTTGGGATGAGAATCGCTGCTCGGGCAAAGACCATCAAGATTATTTATGCGAAAGGACTATATTTCCTGTGCCCGAAGTCGAGCTCTGCGGGAATAGTTCGAGTAGACCGCAAATCTTGTACTTTCTCCCGCAGGTATCAAAGCAGCGGGACCGAACTCGGTCGTGTTGTTCAGTGGATACAGCTTCCTGGTCCTGCCAACCATGCAAGGGATCTCTCAGTACTTCACGATCGACATCTGGTTCATGCCAAGGGCATCAACCGGACTTCTACTGTACAACGGACAGGGAACCACTGGGAAGGGTGATTTCCTCTCCATCTCACTGGTTTCTCAACATGTTGAATACCGATACAACCTGGGCGGTGGAGGTGTTAATGTTTCTTCCACCGTCGTGTTGACGTGAGTGTTACCCCAGGCATTAGATCCTCGATCCATCTTGCGATGCGCAACCCTCTCGAGTCCGATTCGTACATCGGAACTTGTGGATACGCGGATTCGCACTATCGCTCATGCGTAGTGTGCGTTCTCTGATTCACGCTTTCCCTAGGAATGGTCCGTATTTTCGTGTTCAAGGCTTGTTTCTTTTCGCAGAGCACCGAACATGATCAGTTTGAACGAATGGCACTCGATCCGAGTGACCAGAAGTAAGAAGGAAGGTTCTCTACAAGTCGATCGAGGACCTGTGGTTCAAGCCGTGTCCATGGGATCACTGGACGAACTAAATCTGGATCAGCCCTTGTACATAGGGGGAGTGTCGGGGGATACTCCGCTGCCGAAAGATATCGGCCCCACAGCCGGTTTCGACGGCGCCATCCAGCGTATAGTCGTCAACGGCGCGGTTTGGGACAACCTCTTGGCGAGGGCCCGCTCATCGCACATGGTATCGCAGTACCATGGGGCGCCGTGCGGAAGCCGGCCATGCAGGAATGGCGGTATCTGTACGCCGCTATTGAACCTATACACGTGCTCTTGCGCGCCAAACTTCGGCGGTAAGCACTGTGAAAAAGTGCTCTCGACCAGAGAAGAAGAACTCAGCCAGCCGGTGCTCTTCGACGGTCACACTTATGTGCATATACCCCATAGATTCGTCTCCAAGTGAGTGAACGCCCCAGTTGAGATATACGGGGATCTTATCTCTCGGATTTCGAATATTCGGCTCGGGTCAGCCGTCGTTGATCGATCTCTTATTTTCCAGAGCGGAGAACAATGAAGATGATACCATCGAGGTTAGATTCAGATCGAAGCAGACCAACGGCTTGTTGGCCTGGGTAGCCGAGGGTGGCCCGGCCTCCGTGGGGGTTAACGGAGGCTACATGGCTCTAGCCCTGGCTGAAGGCCATCTCGAGTTTAACTTGAATCTCGGGGAAATGCGGAAGGCCGTCGTACTACGCAGCACGGCAAATCTCAACGACGGACGGTGGCATCACGCAAAAGTTACCGTCAACGCGCAGATGGCTTCCTTACAAGTCGACAGTTCTCTCACAACAACCGTCGCCATGGATCACTCGCTGGAGGAATTATCGAGCAGTGGGGTCATCTGGGTAGGTTTCGTGTCCTGAATAATGATGATGATGAAGATGTAACTTGGGAGAGAAGACCCGAACGTTGGGTCAGAAGAGCTCCATTCCTCTCGCAACTCACGAACCGGTCACCCTAGCGCCCGGCGAAATACGATTGATTCTTCATTTCTCTTCATTCTTGTGCAGGTTGGAGGCGCGTCCACTCTACCGGCCCGTCTGCCGTCGGCCTTCTACAACGGGTACAACGGCTGCATAGCGTACCTAGCGCTCAACGGAGAGTCGCTCACGTTGGCCCTCCACATACATCCGGACAAATTGAGATCGTGTTCCGATCGAGACACGGGCCGCGATCTCAGTAGATTATAAATATATGATGATCGGGAGCGCTCTAGTCTTGAACTGAAGGCGATGTAAAATAAAATGACTGAAGAGAAGGAGATCGAAGGTAAGAGGAGAATCGGAAGGGATGGAGACTGCGGTGCCTCTGAGCAGCTCAAGTCAACACCGCCTCCGGAAGATTCTCCCCAGACGGAGAGATTGTGAGTTCGAGCGAGGACATGTCGTCGCGAACGGAACCAACTCGGAGCGACATGACACGGCAAAAACTTCAGCGGGAGGAGCGGTTATAGAATTAAGGAATGGACGAAAATGTTAGGAAACAGATCAAAAGTCTTCCGGTCTCGCTAGAACCCCTAAAACTCCAGTCTCATCACTTATCGGCGACGGGAACGGAGCGGAAATCCTTGACGTGCGGACTCCTCATCGACGAGGGTCCCGGAAAATAATATTTTTTCTTCCCTTGGTCGTTCCGTTGGAAATGGTCGCCTAGGCAACGATCTCAACTGATGCAATACCACGGTGAAATCATAGATGACTGTCCTCTGCGGAAGTCGCTGACCGATCCACCAGCCCAACGAAAGGAATGATCCTCGATGTACCATACATATACGCTCCAAAGATTTGAGAAGAAAAGAAAGGAAGTCCCGAGCTGTACACACTCGTCTGAGGCCGATGGAATCGAAATGGACCGATGGAATGAATCATTCCATCGCTCACCCGTGCCGGTACCTTGTTCTTGTGGCTATCGCCGCAATTTTCCACAATGTTCCACCCTCCGGCGCGAACAATAGGTTCGTCAACCGGGAAGGAGGTTTCTGAGCAAAAATCACAGATCCGCGAGCTGAGAAGGTTTGAAGGCGGGAATCGAACACTCGGAAAAAAGGGGAAGGGGAATGTCTGTGTTGGAAAGCATATTCATGTCTCTCATATCTACTGGACGGGAAGGTAATCAAATACCTAATCTGGGTAACGAGGGTATCAGCGGCAAATGTTGGTTGCACATAACACGGGAAATACGACGATACTGAATGAATAAATGTTTGTAACTTAAACTTCATCGCGTTTTCTACATGAGTTATGCAGAAGAAGCCCATTGTAGGGGGACAGTTCATCTCGCGCAAAGGATATCGTCGAATATCGATGGGAGTTATCATGAAGGCATTGCGAAGAAGTTGGGAATCCGGCCAGTCAAACCGAGGGAGCGCTAAAGGACAACTCGATGCCGAAACTTTGATGTCGGACAAGTCGATGCCGAGAACGCTCGATAGCGGGACAGCTCGACGCAGGGCAGCTCGATGCCAGACATCTTGATACCGGGGCAGCTCGACACAAGACGAGTCGGTGCTGGGGCAACTCGCCGCTGGCCGGCTACCTCTGAGGAAGTTCTGTGACCCGACTGAAGGTATGAGCTTCTGACCCAAGGGTTGTGGGATATTCTAGACGGGGACGGGAATTCAGAGAGAGCACGGTGAGCTCCCTCATTGAACGATCTCAATGCCGAGAAGCTCCCGTGCGGGAGCTATGTAGAAAATGGCCTCAACTCCGCACCAGATCATGTTTCTGATGTTATATCCCCCTCAAATTCAGAATTCCGTCTTCACAGTCTCGGCGCTGTTCAGAAACTTTTCAGAGCATGCTCCGTTTTCGACATATAGCGTTTAAGCGTCCACCATTCGAAAGTTCGCGACGAATCCTTCCAGGAAGTCGAGGGCTGTATCGTTGCCATACTAGAGTGGCAATATTGATGCCGAGCTTCATCAATTTTTCGTCCAATTGGGCGCATTTCTCTCTCTTCGAGAACTCTGACTTCGGAAGGCACGTAGAGCATCCCAGTTGTAAGGAAGCAGATGTGTCGACCCCCGTAGTCACTTTTTGTGTGCACGTGAGCTTCGTGACTCCAGGACGTTCATTTCGAGCCGTCTGTCGAATTTTCGACTCGATTGCTTACTTAGTGTCTGTATCGCTCACTGGACTCCCCAGTAGGGAGGGGAACTCGGATGAAGATTCGCTGTGGTACGGAAACGCGTGCCAAGCAGAGGAATCGGAAATACAGGCAGAGAGATAGGCAGCCTTTGTGGAGATACAGGTTGCTCAGGCATTCCAGGCATCTTAGGAAACATAGCAAGGAAGACATTCCGCCTCAGCTTCCAGGCTCTACATCATATTGACGGCTGCGACTGCGACCGTCATTTCACCTGCAGAAATCGATCGCGAATTTCGGGAGTCAGATTAGCGGTCATTTTCGTGCAGTTCTCGCGCACCGAAAATGGCCACTAGGTAGCATCATCATTATCACAAGTATCTAGGAAAGGACAAATACCGACCACGCCCCCCCTCCCAGGGCACCTAGCGAATCTGATATTGAAACTTAATACTCAGTCCTGCTTTCAACAGATCGAGGATACATCGCGTGATTTTAACTGAGCAGGCGGAGCGTTTACCTCTCCTCCCCTTCCGCCCGATGCTTAACCTATCGCGGGACCAACGGCATTCGAGGTTCTTCTGCAGCCTGACCTGGCTTACTGCTGGAGGTCTAGGGTCAGGGATATCCGACGATGGGCCCAGATAATACAGAATGAAGCTGTCTTAGTTGATTTGGTTACCAACCCTTTAGGGCGCTAACTCGATCACCGGCAGACCAGTTGCTCATTGGGTCGCAAACATTCAGGGCTACTTGCCGATCCTCCGATTCATGCATCGGAGAAAAACGAGACTACTAGTTGTTCCAGGATGAATCATTCCCTCGATGGAGCCGACTCTTTGCGAATACGATTACCTGATCTGAACTTACGGGCGTATACTACTCTCCAGCTGCTTGCGAGCCTTTCACCTCCCGATTGAAGGAAGTGCTCTCCCATAGCCGGGACTAAACGTGATTCCTGAGACGGATATGTACAACGGAGTTACCCGGAGTCCCGGGCGGGTCGACGGAGCACACTCGAGAGTAATTCCTCCAGCATCGTTGGAGTTGTTTATTCAAACGATTCGCATATCGACATTTTTTGTACATTCATGAAAATAAATCTCTCCAAGCGAAATTTTCCTCTTCGCGGTCGTATTAGACGATCTTCCCAGTTTTCGCAGCCCTACCGAAAATTTTGTGCGCCATTCTCGCTAGCCAAGAGTCGGGAGAAAGATGGAAGGGAACGAGTATCCACCATAAGCTTTTCTGATCATCGTGGAGCAGCACCTCCGAAAGGTTTTTGAGAACTCCCCTGTCGTACGGGTTTCTGTACCGCATATTGAGCTTTGAGAATCTTTTCCTCTCGTAGGAGTTCTGTTTATTCTCAACGCAAGTCTCGTTGGCCACGATCAGGGAAGTGTGCCAGCAGAAGACCCCGAAAACACAGAGCCCGATGCTCAGGACCATGGAGAATGTGTACCATACGATTCTGCCGTAGGCTTCCGATACGACCCATTTCCCGAGATACGTCTTCGGGACGGATGCGAAGTACTTTTCATCGCGACTGACGAATAAAAATTCGAAGAAGACAGGAAGACCGAATATCGCGATGAATATACAGCCGAGCAGGGTGAAGAAGCTAAACAGGTAGAAATGACGATGGGTGTTCAATCCCACGCAGTTGTTGAGCCAGGGACAATGATGATCCATCCGCAGGACGCATCGTTTGCACACCGAGCAGTGATGAGTCCGCGGGGGTTTTGGGAACACACAGCGTTTACACACATCGGCGTTCGTTGGATCCGAAACCGTGGGATGTCCTGGATCGGTAACCACTCCTTTGTAGAAGTGTGTCCACACGCACACTTGGAGATAGTGCCCGATCACGAAGGCAAGAGCCAAGGTCTTATGAAGCTCTTTCCGCAGGTACCATTCGATTCCGAGCACGTAGGAAATGAGGATCACTGACGACAGGAGGACGACGACCAAGGCGACGAGGTAGGGACCGAGAGATGCAGTCAAATTGTCAAGAGGAAATATCACAGGATTTAGAAGGGTGTCCACAATATAGTTCGAGTCGACTTGCACATTATAGACCAGACTGATTATTGTGTATCTCACCAAACGATACCAAGCCCGAGGGCTCCGACCGGCGAAAAGAGACTCCACCATGGGAGCGTTCGAAAGTTTCGGAACCTGATCGTCATAGACTTCTCTCAGGCAAGACTCCTGAGGGAGAGGACGAGGGCCGAGGGAAAGGGTATTCGGAAGAGAGCACCCCATCGGAGCAGACGTAGTCAGCCTGCCGACCGGGGAATTCAGACTTGGGAAAATTCTATACCCGCAATTCACACATGCTCGCAGATTGACTCTCTCCACGGTGGCGAAGGAATCCAGCGCATGGCGGTGAATTATTGACTTAGTCCGCGGCCCGCGACTCAGTTTCGGAAAAACGGACTCCTGAAGCAAGAATCTTGTCTCCCTCTCGATTCCGAGCGCTGCTGACAGCCCCGGCGATTCACGCGTCACGATGACACTGATCGAGAGCTTCTCGGTGTCTGACGCGATTCAGAGGAGACACGAGTCGTATCCGTGATTTTTGATCATTGAGCCGAATCAGATTCTTGATCTCGAGCCAAATCTGATTTTTGCGACGCACCCCGGTCCTCGAGAGTCGAATCAAGTCCAGTTAGGATCAGATCGCTGAGAGGTACTGTGGCGAACGTCACTCCAGGCGGTATCAACCGATCGAGCTCTCGTCGAATCCGAACAGCAGGACTCATACAATGGAGCATATGAAGAGAAATGGAACGCTGCCATTCAGACGTAAAATAATTCATTCTAGATATGATCTCGATTCAGAAACAGAAGTTTCGGTCATACCACAACTCTTTTTATTGTATCCAGAGACGAGATGCACCGATAATCCCGCTCAATCCTATTGAATTTGCTCGGCATGCTTCGAGACTCGACCTGAGTCTCGAAAACATTCATTGTTGCGTGATGCGGATGAATTCGTGATGATGGGCATCGACGGATGTGATAAAGCTCGACTTGCGTAACGGGAGCAAGACCTCCCCTCCTTTCAGGCAGGTACTGAGCCTGAACATATCTTCGAGTTTTGGGCGAATGACGCGGACCCTCTTGCAACCATCTCTATCGATTAGAGTTCGTCCTTATATTTGAGAAGATGTTCTCCGTAATCTGTCGCCTCTGAGTTGACGAAGGTATCGTGATGCTTGACCACCTCATCTATCGACAACCTTCCGTCGTGATTGTCATCCGCCCTTTCCATCAGATGCTCCACTTCTGAGTCCGCGATTTGACTGAAACAAAGCTCATGTGAGCAAGCCGGATATTGATCTTACAAGCTATACTCGCGCAGCTTGCGGGAGAAAACTGAAAATTTCGGATGATCTCATCAAGCTTACTTATTATCCGGAATCACCCAATGGAAGAACTCGTCATAGTCCAGATAGGAATCTTTGTTCTTATCCAACTCATGCCTGAAGCGCTCCCGCTCGTCGAGCAAATTCTCCTTGGACAGTTTCTCATCCGCGAGGAATTCCTCCATCGAAAGTTTGCCTGAGGAAAACAGTCTAATATATCGGAGTCCCGTTCTCAAGCACAGACATCATTTCACGAAACCTTGGGCAATCATTTCTCTGCGAAGGGTCCTCAGGAGTCGATCCTCACCGTCTTTATCGGCATCTTTCCTCTTGAGAGCCTGGAGAACGATCACCTTTTGCATTTCGGGATATTCGTGTGGCTGCGAAAGTCTCGCATACTCCTCCTTGTTGAGGAATCCGTCTTTGTCCTTGTCCGCGAGATCAAAGAGTTCACGCTCTTCATCAACTAGAGACTGGTGATCGAGTTTCTCCTGGAAAAATACACTGCAGTGAACTCAAGGCAGAAATTTCCAGCTTTTGAATTCCAGGACAGTCCCTGGAGCCCTGCGAGCGAAATCCAGATTTTTGGAATCAGTTCCAGATGCCGCCTGCGCGGCAGAAACTCTACGAGGGAGCGTCGTAAACTTATTCCCGGAGTGATCGACCTCAGAACAGCTCGCGGGTGGGCATAGACGGGTGGTCATGGTATCATAGATGATGATTGAATGCTCTCAATGAAACTAGCTCACGAGGTCCCAGGGAGAAATTCGTCCACGAAAGATTCTTGCTCGGACAGACTCAAACAAGATTCGAGAATGAAGGCGATGGAGAAGGGCTAAAACTTGCCTCTGTCGTCTTGAATTGCCGGGTCCCGTCTCCGAAGGATTCGGAGGAGTGTTCATCCCAGGAAACGAGTCGGTTGCCGTCACGATCTGTATCTTCGAAACGCTCTGAAGCTTCTTCTAACGTCAAGGACCTATAATGAGCATACGCCGATTTAAAATTAGTGATCGATGGGAAAAACTTGAACCGACGGCTGCACTCCTGGAACACCGACTCCCCGCTGGGCATGCGCCTGGCCCTTCGCGGAAGAGGAACTTACGCGAATGAATTGAGAATCCACTTCTGTAACTCGTTTCTATCAACGCTGCCGTCATGGTTCGTGTCCATGAGATTCGCTATGACTCTAAGTCTCTTTTTAGCTTCTTCCGGTGACATGTCTGCGAACTCCTCGACCTCTTTCCTACTGCCTGGAATTCACGAGATTTCGAAATTCAGTGGAAGTCGATCCAGCCGCCGCCTCATAGGATCTGGAAATCGTGTCCTTCGCAGCGACCACGCCGCGGCCCGCCTCTCGAAAAAGCACGGCCGCTCCTCTTCATAAAGTATGTCAAGACTTCGCAATTTCCACGCAACGACCTTCTGATGGGGGGTCATGGTGGACGGGAAGAAGCGGAAGCGCTCCTCGGCCCCCCTTTAAACATTCGCCCCCCCTCCGCCTGTCTGGCATGAATCGACGGCCATCTCTCCGATTCCGGGTCTGTTCCACCTGACCCTGTCGCATCCAACGCAAGCGGCGGTCTTCCGCCAAGGATCTACGGATCTGGATGCGATGTAAACATCCATCTGTCGCATAATGCCCCACCAGCCGTTCCCTGAGCCAGACTCTCAGCGTCCGGCCACCGAGCCTACAACCAACCTGGATTCTCTTGAGCTTGACTGCAGGAGTTGAGTACGGTCACAAAGAACAAGCAGCAAACGAAACCGATAATTCCGACGACACGCGTCATGTTCGGGTATCTATCACTAATGCTTCGCTAGAATAAGCGAGACTTGACTCGAACCGCAAGACGCGAGAAGGTGAAAGTGGAGAAACCCAAAATAAAAAAAACATATCACAGAACAAGAAAAGATAAAAAAACTGGCGCAAAAATCGTCTCCGACCCGCAGTCGACTTGTTGTCCACCGAAGCGACAATCCAAAAGCAATTCGTGAAGCCAACGTCCCCGAAAACCTATGGACGCCACTGCTACCGGACGAGTTTTTCAAAGCAACGAGTCGAACTTTCCCTCAATTTCAGCAATCGATCTCCTCTATCTTGAGCAGGAACAGACCCGACGACCGTGGACCTCTAGGAGCGGCAAACTGAGTTCACTGGACGCATTGGGCGATGGGAGACGAAGAAATTCGAACATCCACACAGGTTAGTCTCGCAGATCTTCAGTAGAGACCATCGGGAGGGACTAGGAGCGTGGCTCAACGTCTAGCCTCGATTCGGAGGCGACAGTTACCTCCGAGTGAATGACGGACGCTAGCCCAACAAAAGATTTTGAGCTCCCTTTGATTCCACGGGCTACGACTTTTCTCAAAAGCAACTACACCGCAGAGCAATGAACTCCCCGTTTCGCCCAATCGAAGTTGGCGGGCGCCGGAACACCGCGCGCGAACGATGGAGCTTCCCGTGAAACCGAGTTTCATCAAGACTTCGCGTATACTCTCAGAAAATGGATCCCTGGGCTCGGTGTCTTCCCTTCCCAAATGATAAGCTCGCTATCCAGGAATCAGCTCGTCCAGCAGGAGCTGTGCGGACTCGTCTGCCACCAGACCCCAGCTTGAATGTCATTCCAGAAGCTCGAGAGTGTAGCAGGGAAAGTTGATGCGATCCCATTCCAGAAGCGAGAAGTATGTTCCAGATGAGCCGAAGACCGTAACAATGCACTGCGATCGGATGCTTAGTGCCGTAGAAGCCGTGAAGCATCTGGACGGTTTCCGAAATGGAGTGAAACCGGGGACCATGAGCACTTTTGGAACGCGTGCTCTGTAGAGGCCAGATGAGCAACTCCTCCAATCAGGGATCGACGGAGATCAGCGGACATTCGTGTCGGAGTGGCTCAGTGCCTGCGATCGGTCTTTGTTTATATCGAGTGAAATGAGACGAGAACCTGAGGCGCCTCGGTATTCTTGACCCATCTGATGCTCAGATGAAGATAGGGAATTTCTGGAGACGCGAATCCTACGCTCTGAGCTCAGATCTGACCGGGGAAATCCTCAATCTGCTCGACGCGTGAGGAAGTATTCGACAATCCTGACCAAAGCCTCAGCCGCGTCCCGTTCTTTTTAGCCAATTTTTAGTCTGTCTTCTGGCCTAGCTCGCAAGAGAGAGGGAGCCGCGTCGCCGCACGAACTTCACCGTTAGGGAACACTCGGCGATCCGGAAACTTGCTTCAAGACAATGCGCGTCAGAACACGGCGCGGACGAAGAATTCGTATGAGTAGCGAGTCAGTCGTCGTCCTCGTCAATCAGCGTCCTCGCCTCTCGAGAAGACTATTCACCTACCAAGGATCGAAGAGTGTTCGAAATAGGTGTGATCTTCATCTTCTTGGCTGGGCGATACCGCACCGTGGTTGGAGCTCTCCTTATGGAGATCGTCGTCACTCGCGACACAAAACGAGTTCACAATCAAGACGAAGATCAGCAAAGCCACTTTAAAGGGGGTCCGTGAAAACGATGACATCGTTGCCGGTGCGACTCCAGCGCAGCGTCTCGTTCGTCACACCGCTCCTCTCGGACCAGCCGCCCAGCTGAGTGAGAGCCGAGCGGGGCGACTCGAGAATTTCGAACTTGGCGCCAAAACAGATGCAGACGGCGGCTCCGTGGATGATTTTCTTCCTCCGGGGATCAAATGGATGAAAGGAATCTCAGCATATCGACGGATCTCGTGGTTCCCGGGCTCCAGAGCGGCAACGGGAAATCGTGAAAATGAAGATGTTGGAAGCGGGTTTTTCACGAAACTCGACGCGCCGCTGGCTCCTCCGAGCTCGTCTGTCAAGAGAGAGGGTTCAGACGAACATTTGACGTGTATTAGGAATCGCCGGCGGTTCTCGGAGCTGAAGAAAACTTCACGCCGAGTTACCCTCAATCGAGCAAATATGTCTCTCTTGTCGATGATAGGCGTCTCGGACGAGATCCGACGGATGTCCTTCCGACAAATCGCCTTCCAGGTGCTGAACTTTCTCATGATCGTCGCTTCAGCTCTGATGATTTGGAAGGGTTTGATGGTTCTCACAGGCAGCGGATCTCCCATCGTCGTCGTTCTCTCAGGTGGGTTCAAGGGAAGATGTGTCAACAGAAACTACCGAGATGATGGCGTGACCCATCGGTGCCTTGCACCGAGTGGAAGATCGGGAGAGGCCCGAAGCAGAAGAATTCCGAGCAGTCCAGATGTTGCTCGCGGGATGAGTTCAGCCTAGAGGCTATGCGGGACGTGTTCGATTGCGTTTTTGAGTCCGCGAAGTTCCGAACATGCTGAAGTCTTCAGAACCTGTAATGATTCGAATATCCTGGAATCCTCGATTTTTTCTTCGTCGTTTCGTGGAACGCCGAATAAAATCTCGAAATGTGTCGCCGATAGTTTCCACAGTCTCCGATCGAGACGTATGTTGCATTTTATTCTGGGGATCACGCTTCGTCGCTCGACTCGTCTAAAATCCTCCTTCTTGCGAATTCCAGGTTCGATGGAACCAGCCTTCCAACGGGGAGACCTGTTGTTCCTGACCAACTACGAGAAGGATCCGGTCAATATTGGTGATATCGTAGTGTTCAAAATCGACGGGAGGGACATTCCCATAGTACACAGAGTCATAAAATTCCATCAGAAAGAAGACGGCACAATGAAGATTCTCACGAAAGGCGACAACAACTCTGTCAACGACCGAGGTCTCTACGCTCCCGGACAGTTCTGGTTGGATCGAAAGGTTCGTCATCTGCTCGGATTCCATGCTGATGTCGACATCAGGCATTGGAACTCGTACTGAAATGACTTCACTTTATTTCAGGATATTGTTGGGCGAGCCCGTGGTTTCGTTCCATACGTCGGGTGGTTGACGATCTGTATGAACGATTTCCCTCGTTTGAAGTATTTCGTTCTCGGAACGCTTGGATTGTTTGTTGTACTTCGGCGTGAATGAGACATTGTTGGAGCGAGTGGAGGATTGACGTCTAGGAACAAACACATCTTCACATGCTGTACGTTAGGTATCTACAGATATTTTTTGACAAATTGAGCCTGGATGAATAAATACAATCCGTGTATATTTATGTGGAAAACGACTGCTCGCATTTTGGGGTGAGGGTCAGACTTCTTCGAGCTCCGAGTTTCTATGGGACCGGGGGAACGTTTCAGGCATCCCGGCATCTCTAGAGATTCTGTCCTCAACATGTGATAGCTCGGGAGGATATCGATAGAACCGCAGATCGTTGCCGGTCACAATCGTCGAATTCCAATCGAGTTCCTTTGTTTCTGTCCGAACCTCACAGTTCATTCTGACCGGCCCGATGTCTCGAGGACTCATGAGCCCAGGATCGCAGATTGGAAAGGAGAGTGCTTCCAGAAATACAAATTTATTGTTTTCAACCATGCGGTCGGTCCTCCATCGATATGTCTGTACATGGACTATGGCGTCTTTTTATCCTCGACCGCGTAGAGGTCCGCTCTGATTTGAGCTCCAATGGGTATTTGTTCGCGAGCGGCTTGGACTTCGTCGAGATCGATATCCGCGTACACGATCGATTCGTTTTCGTCTGTGGACGAGACCACAGTGCCTCTCGGACTCGCTACCATAGTGTGTCCGAATGCTACGTACGAAGCAGACGTATCTCTGGCTGGGGAAACGGACGCCACGTAGAGCTGGAAGGAAAGAATGAGTTAGCAAATGGTCTCCAAGTCGGCGCAGTGGAGTCGGAGGAGACGGAGTCCGTGGGGGATTGAGAGAATCCAATTTTTAGAATCGGAAAGGGGTCTCTCCGTTTTGAGGAAGCTCTAAATTTGACTCACCTGGTTGTCAACTGCGCGACCTCTACATAGAAGCTCCCAGTTCAGAGGTCCGGTGACCATGTTGAAAGCTCCAGGATAGAGAAGCAATTTGCATCCTCTTTGGCGATAAATCTGAGCCATGGGTGCGAATCTTATGTCATAGCATATTCCAAGACCGACTCTAGAACGAACGAGACATACTCTCGAGTCAGCTCTGATCGCCAGCGGTCCCTCTCCGGAATTTCTGAGTTGGCGAATGGAATCTTCCGCTTGCTGCTTAAACGGCCAAAAAGATGTCGAGGGAGCTCACCTGCAGTATGGAGTATCGAATGTAGTGAGATGATCGCCGGCAGTGAAAGAATCGCTTTCCTTGAAGGTAATCTTCCCGGGGATGTCGATATCGAATAAATGGACTTTGCGATGGGTGGCAACCAGTTTTCCCTCTGGATCGTACACCAGACACGTATTGTACAAACGATCCGCCGCGTCTTTTTCGGACATGCTGCCACCTGAGAATGAGGAAAGAAACGAAACGTCGTCGGGAATGCTCCGTATTTCAAATGCCGAGCTAATCGTGAGGGAAAAACCGAAGCTCCACGTCGCCTCATGATTTCGGCGCCCAGCTGACGATGACCGTGTGGCCAAGAGCTTCGATGGGTCGAGCGACGCGCAGGACTAGCCTTTCAAAGTGGACGGCAACCGATCTTCGGGTTCGGCGAAAAGACGTCCGTCCTCCGCAAGGCGTTTTTCTGCCCAACAGAGCAGCTCAAGGCCACGGACCCATCCCTCGAAATGATAGCTTTTGTGAAACGAAATCTTCATTGATTTCTGACTTCAATAGAGCGGCGTGGGAGCTCAATGTATAAAAGTGAACTCGATCGCAGATCGAAGCACAGTTCAATTGGTGTTCAACAGTACCGTCAGCGGAAGATGAATGCTCAAGTGATCGCCGTGCTCTCCCTGATCGCCGTGGCTTCGTGCACTCACGAACATCACATTGGCCACACTCACGACGACCATCACAAAAAGCATCATCATCCTACTGTTCTCGAGCGACTCGAAGAAGCCGGAGTGCCGACCCCGTACCACTTCCAGTATGCTGTCGACGCGGGCGACGGTTCTCACTCGAGGGAGGAATCTTCCGACGCTGCTGGACGCGTGACTGGATCTTACGTGATTCGTTTGGCCGATGGACGCTCTCGTACCGTATCTTACACTGCCGATGAGCACGGCTATCACGCGAAAATTACGACGAACGAAATGGGAACCGAATCTCAGAGTCCGGCCGACGTCCAACTGGAGTCCTCAGCCCCGACTGCCAAAGAGGCTTCATTGGCCTACAAAACTGTCGAGCACCGTCACCTCGACCATCATCGCAACCTGGGCCACCATGAACACATCAAACCCGTGCCGTCTCGACTCATCCTCGGCAAGTATTGATCTGCTCGAAGTGTCCGGGAGTTCAAGTTTCTTTCTCAATAAAAGGTCTTTAGCAATGCCTAGTCGACGTTTTCTTCATCGCCAATCGGGTCGATTGCCCCTTGTTCGCATTATTTTAATCCTGATTGCCCTGGCGGGACGCGCTCACACATGACGATGGCGGATACTCACCGACCAAGAAGACTTTATTCTCTTCAGCTGCCTGCTTGAGCATTTGTGACGTTTCTCCGTCGGGAACAAGCTCCGCATTGGGTCTGGAAATTAAATCTTTCCTAATTCGAGGGAGGAGGCCTCCCTTGGCGAGAGGTGGATCGAAAAAAAGTGCAAAAATTGCCAAAGACCGCTGTTTCCGAGTTCCACCGAGAACTCCTCAACTCTTCCTCCCCAGCGGTCGTCAGAGGGCTCTTCGATCATTGAAGTCGAGGTATCGTGGCCTCCAATTTCTCACGGCCAGAAGTCACCGCAATCTTGTAGTCCCCGTGATGTCGCCTCCCCTGCATTTCACGCAGCTCCATGAGCGCAGAAGTCTCGAGACTTTGGAGGTCTTCTTCACGGGATCCGAGGTTCACGACGAACACCCTAGGCACTACCCTACTCTATCGTCGCGGTATAAATCCTGCTAATAATCCATCGACTTCGGCTTTTCGCTGCTCCTACTTTTGCGTAGGGGTCCGAAGACTCAGTTCTCCTGCTGAGCTGCCGAGAGTACTCACCGGAAAAACTGAGGTCCGTAAGGAATTGCAAAGCACTCCGAGAGGCAAACCATCTGAGCGCCGCCTTCTTTCACAGCCTGGAGTGGATATCACAGATTCTAAGATGGGAGTGATCAGTCAGTGACACAAGCACATACATATACATATCCAGAACGAATTCCAGTAAGGGGAGATATCTCACTTTGTCTATCATTAAGCGCGCATGTGCTAACGATGCCTGCTTGTCGCCCCGTAAACAGAGTTGGAGGCAGGCTAGTCTGAACTTCGACATCATGAATTAAAGGGAATGTGCTCGATTAGCGACAAAGAAAAGGATCCGAACGTGTCGAGCTGCTTCTGTCGCGATTCGCGATGTCAGCTGGGAGCCGTCGCAGTAATCACATGTTGCCCTCCGTACAGCTGGCTGCCAACTGACAAGAAACGTCGTACGGATGGTGAATCGATGTCTGGGATCACCGCCGTCTAAACGCGGGAAAGGATCCCGGGTCCCGATCAGGTATCAGGTCTCCTCTCCGTGTTATACGAACAAATCAATACGATGAGAGCTCTTGGCTCCACGGTCTGATGAATCACGACCCGGATCCGGCTCGAGAGCATTCGCTTGGCTTCCGATCCTCAGACGAGGATAAACACCTATAGGTGTCGCTAAACGCTCACCTAGCTGTCTTACATGGAAAAGTCGTATTCCGAAGAGTCAGAGTCTCCCAAAACAGGGGTCTATGGAGAGCTGGTTTACACTATGGGGATTGACAGCACATCGAATTGATGTAGCTGGCATACCTAGCTGGCATTGGCTGAGTGGATCAAGAACTTAGGATCATCCTTCGAGCAGGCCCGTGGCCAGGCCATTTTTGTCCATGGAGGCCTGATCACGAACATTAAGGCTGACCTCAATTTTTCGAGTGAAGTACGACAATCATCGTTCCAAGGCCACACATCCACTATCGTGCCGTATGAGGGTATCAAAATGTTCGAAACATCTACAAATATGGGCCAAGTCCCCTGTCACTCGGTGCGAACGTATTGAAAGTCCGATCCGGGTTTCCTGAGAGCTCATCAGTCAGGTTCCCCTCTACAGGGCGGTTACCCAATCCAGAGTTCCGCCTTTCGCTCATTCAATCGTACCCAACATTGGGTATGATTCGAGGCGACGTAAGACGTAAGGCGCTGAAACTTCCTTCACACGGAGCCTGGACACCGGTAATACCAGTGCGATTCTGAAGTGGAGAATGAGCTCCTGGAATAACTTTTTCATCGGTAGCAGGTCTCCGAGACAGACGTTCGGACCCTCCAAATCTTTCTCCACGGAAAACTTCTTCCGACCTGAAGTGTGTTCGCGGGAGCTTGAGGGTCGATGTCGGATCGAGAAAACTCTTCTGGTAGATCAGTCGAATAGCTGCTATAGCTCTCAATATGATTCCCGACCGACGGCAGCATATTTCCAGGTATAATCCCAGGCGTCCCGCTTCAGGTCTCGAATAACTTTGAACTCCTGGTAATTGGGGAATTCCCGGACAAGCGGGCCGTCCGCCATCTCGATTCTAATACTAGAAGCTCAGGCATCGCCAATCGGAAGGAAGACTCAGAATTATTCGTATAATGCAAACGAATGGACCTTACGCACGCGACGGGGGAATATCTAACCCAGTGGACGTTTTGTCGAGAATCTACGCGCAGCTGACCCCCCGAATTCGTTTGTTTAGATTGAGAGCAGAGACGAACAACTCCAGTGTGTCAGAAATCGCTCGCGGATTCCGAAGCGGGAAGAAATCTGCGGCCTCAGACGAGGAAAAATATCCTTCCAGTTAATGATGTGGACCTCGAACGACTTAAAAGGGCTTAGCCCCAGACAGATCGCATACCGGGTCCTGAACTTCTCTGTGGTGATCGCTTCAGCCTTGATGGCCTGGGAAGCTTACAGGATCCTCACTAACTGCGAGAGTCCGATCGTCGTTGTTCTATCAGGTGGGTCCGCTAGTGGGGAGGCCAAGAAAAATGAGTTCGAATAACTAAGAATGCATGCAATAAGATTCGACGGCGATTCCGGGAATTCCCCCCCACCGCTCTTAGCTTGCTCGTATCTCCTCTATTCCTTCTCATTCGGCCCCGCGCTGCATGTCCCGTTCGAGATTTCGCTCGCGAGAGCTCATCTCGTCGGAGTTGCTCCAGAAAGTAATGCCGCAGCGAATTTCAGGCTCCATGGAACCAGCTTTCCAGCGGGGAGATCTGCTGCTCCTAACGAACCACGAGGAAGATCCGGTGAACGCTGGAGATATCGTAGTGTTCAAAATTGCCGGGAGAGTCGTTCCCATCGTACACAGAGTGATGAAAATACACCAGAACGGCAATGGGACACTGAAGATTTTAACCAAGGGCGACAACAACTCCGTCAACGATCGAAGTCTCTACAGTCCTGGGACGGCCTGGCTCGACCGGAAGGTTCGTTCTCTGCTCGGACTCCAAGCAGATATCGGTATAGGGCCCTGATATTCGTCCATGAAAGCGGATTTGAGCTTCTTTCGATTTCAGAACATCGTTGGACGTGTTCGTGGTTTCGTTCCGTACGTAGGATGGTTGTCGTTGGGTCTGCAAGAATCCCCCCGCCTGAAGTATTCAATCCTTGGAATACTGGGTTTGACTGCTCTAATTCGGCCTTGACGGAGAATTTTCGGAGCGAGGATGGAGTCACCGCTCAAAACTTCGGCATATCTTATTAGTTGAATATCGAGACCTATTTTCAAGGAAGAATTTGGAATTATATGTCCCCGTGTATAGTTATGGGAGCTGCGAAATATTGCATCTGGTGAGAATACTTGAAATAAACGAGTAAAGTTCGGGCTCGAGCCCCATGTGATCGCAAGGAGTTGATTATTTCCACCGATACCTCTCGCGGTCCGAATAGCATCTCAGAGAGCTCGTGACTGCTGTGAAGAACAGTCCCCCTCCACCTCAGTCAGAAGGAAGAATTCATCCCGGTCGAAGGAGCCAGGCCTCTTTTTCCGGAGCAAAAGCTTGGTTTCGTGGTATTATTGCGCGCGAGAAGCAGCAAAATCCGAGGAAATCTATTGAGATGACAGATGAGACTCAGTCAGGCATGACTCAGCGTGCCGCGGAGTCTCTACTCCAACTGCCACGATCATGAAGTGCTCCTTGTTGTAAACGAATTATGTTGCAATATGGCCTGGAAGGGGAGGACAGGGAATATGATTTATGAATCGACTCCTGTACAAACGGTTTCGTATGGCGACCCGCTCTGGAGCTACCGACGTCTCTCGCTCGCGGATCTCGGCCCTGTTGAGATAATCGAGATTATCCGCCTGTGACGATTTATTGTCACGTCTATTGTACACCAAAGGACGAATATCCAATCTTATCCCAGATCCTCGATCTAGTTCACCCTAAGAATGAGTCAAACGCTATTTCGAAGTATCACTATTCTACTTTGCAAACGCGTGAGTCATTGATCAAGTAATCGCGCCGTCAGACTTATTTCGTCATCTTCTGTCCATCCCTCTTTCCACGCGCGGACGGACGGCCGAACGAATCCTCCTTGCACAAACAGCCTGCCGTGTAGTCAAAGCTCATTCGGTGATCTGAAGTAGCAATGCATTCGGTTGATTCTGAACATTTTTAAGTAAGCCCCGTGGTGCTTCGTTCGCGGCGCTTCTTTTCCACCCGTTCGAGGTGGGATTTGATGGGAGGAAAAAGCTTTGGATCCATTGGAATTTCTTGTTGGTGACGCACTGAATTGCTCTTTCTCTCTCGCCAGCAGTCACAATCGCCTACACCAGTAACGAAGCATCCAGCAGTTGACGGTCTACTATTGCAGAACAAAGGTGAGTTTGCCTCTCATCGAGAGACTTTCGCCAGCTCGCTGAAATTCCACGGTCTATGAATGGAGAGCTCGAATCGCAGATTCTCTGCACGACCCCGTGTTCGAACGTTCAGTCGTGGAGCACCTGTTGCATCATATACGGATAGAAGAACAGGGATCGTGATTCAGTTCCTTGGTTTTGCGTCTACAGCGAGCTGGCTGCTGCGATTTGACTTAGCTCCGCGGAATATCCTCCGAAAAGCGACCGCCAGATTCACGGCTGGAAAGTCGCACGAGCTCCGCGTTCGAATGGGAACGTAGACCGACGGCATTCTGAAGTTTCGGGTCGCTCGAGTGATTCAGTTGCTTGGCTGCCACGGAACGATTCACGCAACTGGCGATGTGTTCACGTGTAACTCACTGAAATATCAACGAATCCCGCGTTCACGGAACACTCATCGACGGATGGTCGATGACCTCGAAGCCGAGCTGTGGGTTTCGTTGCCTTAGATGGCGCAGAAGTCGTCGGGTATATGGTCATAGCGTTCGAAAATTCTAAAACCTCGTCTCGCGCAGAGTCGGTCTTCGCTGGAATGAAGGAAAGCGATCCACTGCCGCGGATCAGTTTCACGCAGTGTTCCTTCGGGTTCTAGGCATGCAGACTCTCGGGACCGCGAATAGCCCTCGCCGCTTCCTTTCCCTCACTCGGCGTTCGTCTAACCTATATTGTCAAAGAGCTCGTGTTCGGAACAACCATGAGTTACGGACCGCCGCACCCTGTAAGGCCTAGAGCGTATACCTATCCAGCAGGCTCAGGAGGAGCGATTCTCCGCGTCGAACTGTGCGTTGACTTACGCTTTGCGCATAAACAATGGCCCTCCACTTTGATCGTATCGTTAGCATCAGCGTAGCGAGCACGGCTCTCATGCGACTGCGCCAGACGTCTGTTCTTGGATGCTTCGTGTGTGACTAACTCAGCTCCTTGTCAAGCGGAGGAGTTACCGCGGACAACATTGTCTCTCGAATGTATTCTCCGATTCCCGTCATAGCCCAAAAGAGTCTAGTCGGGTGTGGATTTCCTTAATGCATTTTCACGGTGGTTCCCATGGCTACAGACCCGCCGATGATCAGAGTCAGGCTACGGATCGGGAACACTATATATTTTTGTATACTCAATATAGATTCATTTTTATCATGCATTTTATTTTTTTATCCGTCCTCAATGTCTCCCCACCATCGGTGGCGAGCATCCGAACGACAGAAAATGAGCAAGCCAGCTTTTCCCCCGAAATATCACATCAAGGATTTGTTCAAGCCCTCCGAACCGGGACTGCCTTCGGGAGTCGCGCTCTCCGGCTTGACGCGCGGCTTCTTGGGATCGGGCAAGCCCTTCCAGCGCTCGACTTATCCTGGGGATTACGACCTTATCTGAGAATGAAGCTGGCGGGCCTAGACTTTACGACCGCGTCACAACCATGGGAGTTGGCTGCGAGAGTTGTTCCTGAAATCATTCCGCGTCCGAGCATCAGGAATATCTGTCGAGTTCATATGCTCGAACTCGCTGAAACCTAGCTCATTCAGTTCCAGATGAGTTATCCACCTCAACAACAACAATACTACCCTCCGTCCCAGCCGGGCTTCAACCCGAACTACGCCGGGGGGCCTCCGCCGCAGCCTGGTTACTATCCGCCAGCTCCACCGCCCGGTGCCTATCAGCCGGGATATGCGCCGCCCCAACCCCAGACAGTGTGAGTCTCAAGTGAAAGTCAGGCACCGGAACCATTTTCCTCCAAAATGGGTATCCGGCGTTTTTCTTGGTTCGAAGTCTTCCTGGTTAGGGGGAACATAACTCCCCCTGAATAATCATTGACTGGCTGCGGATAAATGAATCGTCGCCCGTCATAGGTAGCTGGAAATCCAATCGACGTCTCACGACGAATGGATTCCTCCGGGAGATGAAACAGAGTCCGTTTCTGAGTTCCAAATCCTCTTGCAGAATCGTCCATGAACAGCGGCCTCAGGAAGACACATTCTGGAAAAACTGCTGCCTGTGTACGTTGTGCCTGGCCCTCTGCTGCTGGTGTTGTGATGATTGAATTCGAGTCTGACGCTCGGCTGTATGATCTGGAGCTCTGAGGACGCTGTGTACATGCATACTATTACTTATCTTGACGGTTCGATTAAATGTTTCGATGAATTATACCTATGGGGATCCAGCGAGTCTTATCAACAAGCGTGAGCATGCCCGATCTCAATGGAGTAATCGATTTAATTGAGTCAATCTGCGACGACCGATTGAGGTGGACGAATGTTTCGCCGTATTTACATGGATATCTATTCAATCCGGGACGACCTTATTCAGCTCCTGATTATCCTCGGCGGCTGTGCATTCGTCACGAGGGACTGCGAAAGAACGTAGGGTATATCATGATCAGCTGCGGGAAACAAACACCGACTTTTTCCATCGACAAAATCCCGGTCACATACCGATCTCGGCAGCAATGGACTTCGTGTGTCCTACTCACTTTCAATTGTCTGAATACGAGAGACAACTGGAGTATATTTTCGGGACAGGCGACTTGATGGAGCAAATTGACATAATTCGCCGCGCTATCCATAAACGATAGAAACTCGGGGTTTATCCGGGGTTCGGGCTCCCGTGCATGGACCTGTTCATGCTCCTGAATCATTTCGTAGCTTTGAAACAGTACTCCGTCCTCATTGACCACTTCAGTGATGGGCTGCTGCACGATGAGGATCCGCTCGCCATTCTCTTCGATCTGCGAATCAAGGAGGGCCGTCAGGGGGTCGCGCATTCTGAGAAGACTGGCCGATCTCTCTGCGCACTCCAAATCCATTTTCTCCTGGGAGGCATTTTGAACCGGACAACCTATCATTTCGGGGGATCAGTGAACTAGTTCAATAATAATGTGAGCCCGATTTCACCTGTTGAGTTACTTGGAGCGGGAAACCGGCTTCCGTGATGGCGGTCTCGATAGGTTTTTGAGTCGTATCTGTTTGTTGATCGATGTACGAGTCCAGAATACAAGTCTCTTCTTCAACTTCCTGAGCAACCACATATTCCTCGGATGCTAACTGGAATCGCAGGACACGATGAGACGATTTGCCGGAAAAAGGTGCCCCCCCCCAGAATTATACCCAGCAGAATTCAGGAGTTTTGCTCTGGTCTTACCGGTTGTGAAGCGGCGTCGCGATTCTGGGACAGAACGACGGCGTGGATGTGTTTGCACATTTTTCCTATTTTCGTGGCTCCTCCACAGTTGCATTTGTAGATATGAATGCAGCAATTACATAATTTGCAATACTGCCCGCACGATGTACCGGACTTTTCCTCGATGGGACAGACATCGGCCACTCGAACAACTCGATGGCGAACCTGAATTCAAAGAATTTGATATCGAATCGGGAACTGTTTGAAGCCAGCACAGCATTCGGCAGCGAAAAACAAACGACCGCGAAAGTTCTCACTTACTTTCCCGTCAGGTTTTTTGACACCCCAATTATTCGGTTCCGTCATTTTGATATCGAAGGTGTTCTCCACTGCACTAGTATGTTCGAGCACGATGTCGCTGAACGTCGTCGAAGATCGTTCCCTGGAATGATGTTTGAACATAGAAGGTTTTCGCATCTCGATCGACTATCGCAATTCTCGATTAAGCTCTCGAAGGCTGTTTCCCATTCATGGAATCTCCGCATCTGAAGCTCACTCTGTTGATTTCTGAGGTTTATCACATTTCCCTCTGACTTTCTGTAACATCACTACCGGATCCCTGTTAGCTGCGGAGACGCTTTTGTTCCTTGTGAGTGTATTTCTAATCGTCTTGTAGTCAACGTAACGGAGCGGATCATCCATATCCAGTTCTCCGACCTGGAGCAGATTCCTCAGTAATCAATAATTCGTATCCGATGAAGTCGTTCTCGTGAAGAGTCAATAAATTATGAGAGCGAGGTATGTCGCTCGACCAAATTACCGTTTGGTGTAGCACTTCGAGGATTTCACGGCAGTTCATGCCGAGTTGGGAGTGGTAACAGATAAAATCCCTCTCGCAATCCAACAGAGGTAGGTATTTTCCTTCCATCTCGTGATTATAATGAGTTATCGAGCCTATTATGCTAACTTGACCTGAAAGCGAGCTGATGGTAATCCCTGAGTGACGAGGGCAGGATGAATATCTCACGTATAGATATACCTATCGATCTCAGCTGAGGCCAGGGCCGGAAAATCGCAGGGGATCGAACTCACCGTTGGCATGGTAGCTGACTATAGCGTGGGCCGTGCAGAAAGTTCCGATCTTCGAACTTCCCCTCTTGATATGCTTTCTGGATCGTGGCCCGTACTTCAGCCGAATCGCGCCTTCACGGTTACAGTAGAAGCGCTTGACGTTGTTGACTTTCCCGTGACGCGACACGAATCGCGTTTTATGCAGCTGGAAAATAACTTGTTCGGTGAGACATCACACCGCGACCTATCAGAGGTTTCGAGACTCATCTCATTGGGACTCCTCTCCTCGGAGCGTCCAGCGTTCTCGAGACCGACGGGGTACCGATCCGGGGAAATCCTCCACCCTCTTACCTTCACCAAAAACACTCACCCGTTGGACAATTTGGAAGAAGACTTCGAAGTCGGCTTCCGAATCGAATGTTCCCGTAACTTCCTTTATCTCCCAGTCGTGATCCTTTCCGAGGTGGTGAAGGAGCTCCTCTCGGGTTTTGAGTTTCATTTTGCACGTGCCATTCTCATTGCAGGCATATGTCTTTTTCTGGGGCATGCAGATTACATTCATCTGGTGCTCGGGATGTTTACGCCCTAAATGCTTGAAATACGTCTGCCGATTCGCCAAGTTTGCGTTGCAGTATTCACATGGTTGAGCCCTCGAGCTGGAGAAAAATGTACGTTCCAGCGTGAGAATCAGCCTCACGTCTGCGCCCAGGGACTCATTTAGAGGCTCAAGTCTCTGATTGTGCGCACAATGAATGACTCCGTCCCGGAGAGGTTGGAAATGTGTCTCATTCGCTCAGTCAGACAGTTTACCTTCTTCTCGAGGAGCCTTCGAGGGTGGCCTCGTTAGCGGCAGAGTCGAGTAGGGCTTCTTCCGCTTGGCTCACTTCCTCGTCTTCTTCGGTATTTCCCACTTCCATCGTTTCAACAGCTCCTTCTTCGATCTCCATTATCCCGGAAGTGTCCATTACCACGGCCATTGTGTCCATCTGTAGAGCTCAAGCGCAGGACATGAGGATCGAAAGCTCGATGTGCAATCCCTGGATAGGCTCGACATTCTTCAATTTCGTCTTGTGGTATTTTTCGTTCCTCCCGAAATTCGGGAATTTTCAATTTATCCCAGAAAGCCCCGAAGTCTCAAGCATAATGCCTGCTAGGTATCGCTGTTCGACTGGATCCTGTGATACGTGGGAACGTAGGAATGACTGGCGGAAGTGGGGAACCGAAGGCGGGGAGAAGTTTTTACTAGGACTTCCCATAGGGAAAACTCTAATCACATATCACATCATATACTGCGGCGTCGAGCGCCTCAGGGATTTCAGCCCTAAGAGCAGCAGCGGTACATATCGCATTCAATCCAGCAGTGGCTCAACGAGCCACCCCGATGGAACGGCCCCGAAAAGTTCAAGAATACGCCGGATTCATGCCGCGGAGTGCGTTCCCATCGGGGGCACTCCGGGTTCTCTCGGAGAGAACTCACGTTTCCCGCCAAATACGATCATGACTAAAAAGCACACGAAGCTCGAGCAGAGTCGTGGCTAAATTCACATCACGAACCCCGCAGCTGGACGGATCCACAGGGACGTTGTCTCCGCCCGTCAGGCCCAGTCAGTCGGATCCACAATCGATTGATTGGGTCACTCACCTTCACCTCTCCGCTATGCTTCCGGGGTATCGAAATTATACTTCTGAGACCAGCTCGACTCACTTCTATAACTCTATATTTTCGGAGCAGCGCGGCTGCCAGCGCTTTAGCAGACAAACACACTAATTCGCGGAACAGCGGGAATTTCGAAAATCTTCACGTGCTCCTCCGATCTATGCGCACTGTTCTGTGGTGAATTGTTTGAAAAATTTCAAACGTGTGGGAAACTCGTAGACGTAAGTTTTTCATGATACTGATTTCCCCCCGAGAATAAGGGACTGAAGTGGGGGCGCTAACCGGCATTAACCGTCTGTGAGGAGCTCAGCCTGAATTATTACGGCTCACTTTTCCTGATCTATGATGCTCGCGCTGGTAGCATATGACTTGATTCATCAATCGCACACATGTTGTCGCCTCATTTCTACCAGCATATCATCAGGGCTCCTTCAATCGGATCATTTGACTCGTGCTTGCCTCGTAGGTCATAATGGCACGGAAAAAGGCAGGGAGCCGTGTGAAGAAGGACGCCAAGAAACAAGTCTCCGTGGTGGAGTCTGACGAAGAAGAAATCCAGGGCGGCTACAAGAACGTGCCGCGACAAGATGACGATGAGGTTAGCTACGAAAATGATCGCATGAGGCTGTTCGAAGGCGTCGGAGAGAGGCTTCCCCCAAATTTCAAACTATTCCCTAAATGATCTAACTGGCTCTGCTTTTCCGTGAAGGTCGATGACTTCTACCGCAAAAAGGACAAAATTCTCCTGGCTCGCAGAGAGGAGCGATCGGATTCCGAACCCGAGCAAGTGTACAGGATGACTTCGGATGAAGACGATGAATCCGAAGAAGAAAATGAGCTTCTAAACGAAGATCATGCCAAGGATATGATGGCGCGTTTTGTGAAGAAGAAAGAGATCGATTCCGACATCGAAGATCAGGAAGATGACATTCCCGATGGGAGAGCATGGGGTGCGAATTACAGGGATTATCTATATAATTATCATAATCGCCTAGGAACATTTCCCGGGCCCTCCCGCTGCGGAGGGTTGGGTATCTGAGACCTACTCTCAGATACCGGTCATGTCGAAAGGCTCTTCGGCTCTGATCCCGACTGGGCGGCGAGCGGGGTCTGGGTCGCCTCACAATGTCCTGATCCGTCGGCTTCCACCCAACCTGACCTTTATCTGGCGGAGCGTCGGAGACGGTGCTCTCCGGAGCTTTTGTCAATGGAATATCCTCGAGCATGAGATCGCCGTATGTTTCAGGCCGGAAGCGTCAGGATTTCTACGACAACGACTACGATGTCAAGGACTCGGCTGGATTCGCTATTTCCGAGCAAGATCGGGAAATCGCGAAAATGGAAGAAGAGGAGGCTCTGGCCATCCAGAAACGCCTGGCTGAAGAGGTCGATGAAGACGTTTTCGGGCTCGACGATCTGCAGGAAGCACCGGAGGAGGACGAGGACTCGAAGAAGATCGAGGTCCTGGATCTGAGTAAACTGCCGCGAAAGAAACTCCTGCGTATGGTCGAGGAAGAGTCGCCTGAGCTCCAGGGTCTCATAGAAGACTGCCGTGACAAGCTGCGGGAGCTGGCTCAAGAGCTCACTCCCATAATGGATCTTTTTAAATCCGGGAAGCTACCGCGAGGAAGCTCAGCTGAAGATTATGTCCTGCTGAGACATAATCTCCTGTTGTCGTACGCTACGAACGTCTGCTTCTACCTGAATTTGAAAGCGAAGCGAGTGAATATCAAGAATCATCCGATCATCAAAAGACTGGGACAATTCAAAAAACTGATCACAGAGCTGGACAACGCGAGGGGGAAGCTTCTCCCTCAGATCCAGGTCATTATCGAGAGGACGAAAAATGGAGAGCTCCTCAAAGTACGCGGTGAGGAGGCGGACCCCGAGAGCACGGATGGCGAGGATATCGATGACGAGGATGAGGTTGGAGCGCAGTTGAGCGACGATGGAATAGCCGGTACGTTCAGCTCGTGTTCAAAATGGAATTCGTTCACGACATTTCTAATCCTTATTGATTGGCGTCGACTCATTTTTTTCTCAGATGATACGATGATTCGAAACTCAAAAGCGTCCAAGAGGAGCTTCGATTCTGCGGAACAGGAAATTCTGTCGCTCTACGATGGAATAAAGAGTTCGAAGAAGCAGAAGACGGAGGAACCGTCCGAGGGAGACGAGGACGAGGAAGCCGAAGATGATCCGGCAGCCATCTTCGGAGACACCGACTCGGAGAACGATGAGCCGGTCTTCAAAGAAGGGAGGGACGAAGACGAAGAGAGCTCTGAGGAAGACCTTCCGAAGCCGAAGACCCAAGAGGGGGTCGAGGTAAGGATTTGATTCAACCATCTGTGTCTCATCCAGAATGCACCCACACAGATCGGGAATCTTACACCTAGAATACACATCTCGCGAGTATTGAATTCGCCCTCTCTCCTGCAGAATGATCCCGGAGAGGAACAAGAAGATGGCGATGGTCGTCGTGCAATCAATTATCAGATCGCTAAAAACAAGGGCTTGACACCTAGACGTAAGAAAGAGTACAGAAATCCTCGAGTACGTCACAGGATCAAGTACAGGAAGGCGAACATCCGACGAAAGGGTCAAGTCCGAGCGATGAGAAATGAATCGGGCCATTACGGCGGAGAAACATCCGGTATCAACAAACGAGTGGTCAAGAGCGTGAAACTAAAATAATTATACCCTGTATATGTTTGTATAAAGCCTCAATCTCTGACACCGGAGTGATTGTGCTTCCCTTGCTCTGCTCATAGATCAATGCGATATGGTCAAGTTGAGACACACAATTTTTTCTCCAAGAATTAGTCTTTATCTCGTTGTTGTCGTTGAGGAATATACGTCATCATGCAGAACTAGGGCAAGGGTCAAAATCAATTCCTTCAGCACGGATATGCCTCTGAAGAGTCCTTCCCCGCAGCAGTATCCCTGTCTTCGGTGGATATGTACAAGATTGCCAACGCTTGTTCATAGTGTACGGTCAGATTGAAGCCTCCCTTTGACCTCATAGATCGGCGAGTTCAAGAGTTTCTTGATGACTGACGCCTCGCTCGCGGTCGTTCTGTGGGAAATAGCAGAAAATTTAACGGTCGATGGAGTCAGGAGTCGCTAATGGGAAACCCCGAATCCTCGAACACATGACTCACCATCGTAGTCTAGGACGAATTCTATTCCGCCTGTGCAAGAACTGGATTCACAAGTCTCACGGATCCCGAAAACAGCGAAGTAGATGGGTTGGCAGGCCTCAGGCTCTGGAAAAGTCCTTCCTGTACTTACTTCCTCAACGCTGGTTCTTGCGCCCCGCTCCTCCTTCGCGAGATCGACCGCTTTTGGTCAAGAATATTTCTTTGGCCTGGCTTCCTCACTCACCTTGGCAATTCGGCCGGAATGTGATAACTGAAAAAGAATTATGACACGCTCTTAAATGCGCGGATCCGTGAGACGCTATAGTTTCATGGAAAGCGAGAGATGTGCCCATCGGTCATAGATAGCTGCTCGCCGATCGAGCCGAGTCGGAATCTCACCGTTGTCATCGATTTGCGAGCACCGATGCCAGCCATCGACGCTCAGGGCCGTGTTTCGCTGGTAACAGACTTTCAGGATCCCATTGACGCTCGACAAAGTCACCTGACCCTTCGAGATCCGAGGGAATTCCTCCTGCGTGAACTTGTAGGCTTTGACAGCGTTCTCGGAGACGCGCTCCTTCAACTTGAAGTGGATCGGTCCATCGCCACAATCGGAACAGGTCGGTAGGGCGGGCGCTTAAGCGGAAAACGATCGTTCAGAATATAGACTCTCATTGAAGCTCCGTATCTACTTCCGGTGGAATCTGTACACATTCATGACAAACCAGACAAAGAGTGGAGCTGGGAGAAACGTTGAGGGTATCTATATTTACCGAGGAAACTCTCCCGCGCTAGATCCCGGGCACGGTTCCGAATGGCCAGAGCTCCTTTGTTCGTATTTTCATCCCAGAACTTCACGGAAAACAAGCCTTCGCCGAAGTAGGAGCTCTTCATCGTTGTCAGAGCGAAGAACGCAACGGAATCTGAAGAAGTGATCGAAGCCTTATGTTCAATCCCCTTTCTCTTTCGTTTGCCCACCTGCACGTTGGAGAACCCGTAGAGGTCTCCTCAACGACCGGGCGAGTCTTCCTGGGCGAATAAGAATCCGAATAATGCTCATGGATCCTTAAGAAACTACGCGACACGAACCCTTGAAGTCTCTTCTCAAATTCTCCACCGCCCGCCTCATGACTCCCGCGGGGCTTCTCTGCTCGCTGCCATGTGACATCCATACGACAATACGTGACGGACGTATCTGACTTCCGTAGGTCGTGTTCGATAGTTGGTGATGCAGGGCTTCCAGGACCGTAGCTTCGTTCTGCGGCGAGAAGTTCCCGAGGCGATCTGCCTTCAAAGTTTTCTGAGCTTGGCACGCTATACTCGATGGCAAGCGGGGATTTTTCGTTCCGATTTGCATCAGTTGACCGTTCTGTACGCTCTGCTGGTTCATTTGCAGATGAACTCTCCGATTGGGTCCCAAATTCAATTGACGCGATAGATAAGCAACGAAAGCTTTCTGGTGAGCCCAGTAGCGTTCCATTTCTTCCAGAGGCATGAATCGGGTATCATCGGTCTTGAGAATTATGTGAATTTCCGCAGGCGTCTCGATCACCGCTGGAAGGATTCATGGATCTCAATCTCGAACACTGAGCTCGAATCCTCGGACATGGCGGGCGAGTTGACTCGCCGCACTCTCGATTCCCCCCCCCCTTCCTCCCACTGACCACGGGTGAGACTCTCGATGGCGGTATCGAAAAAGTATGCTTACGGTTTGCTATCGAAAGAGCGATGCCGTCGTCGCAGAAACTCGGCATGCTGAGCAGCTTGTGCTCGGTCGCCTTCATGATCTTCTTCAGGATCCTGGATGCCGAATCCATGACTTTGGCTTCGGAGAGACCGTCCACCAATCCAGGATAGGCGTATGCGAAGGCTCTGTAGAAACTGATGAACTCCGTCTCGAGATCGCCTGTCAGCATGTCCGATGGGAACACATCGTATCTCCGGCACACCGAGAGACGATTGAATTCATTGGTGGGGTCGTGGTCGCCCATTGCTCGGGGAACACCCCGCGTACTGTAATATCCGTCCAGGAGCTCGTGGAGACTGGAGCTGTCGGTCAAGTTCGAGTGGAGTCCGAGGATGTAACCTACAGAGAATTCCGAGAAGAATTTCAGCCAGAGATCCTCTAGAGCTCCGTCTGTTCCGTCTGTGTTCTGGACCTTCGTGAATTGTCGACTCTCGAAGACAGGATGTTGATTTTACCGTCAATGGCACCGCGCACTCTGCTGTACGTAATCCACGAATCAGTTCCATCTCTCGCCGGGAATCGACGAACAAAGTCGTAGGGGCAGAAAGCGTCGTGCCAAATGTTGTTGGAGTCAACCAGATCGGCTCTGGGATTGGCCACGATTTCCGGGAGAAGAATTCCTTCAGAAGAGACATTACGATTAGCGCCGATACGAGAGTTATCGAGAAAAGACACGAATTCCGATTCCAGCCACAAACCCCCGAAAGTGAGTGCGTTCAAGATTGTTATCCGGCTGTCAGGATCCTGCTTCACTTCGACGGCATGGTTCAGACTTCTGGTCATTTGTCGCACGCTGCGAGATGATGCGCCGACGAGAGAGGGTGAGCCCGCAATCCCGAGAAGAACCAAATCGAGGGCCACCGCGATGTCCTGCAAATAGTCGATTGATGGAATCCAAAGCATTCCTTGGACCGATCCGAGAAAAAAGGTCCAGGAGGGAGAGATTTTCAATTGTAAGGCGTAAAAGTAAGTCCGAACAAACCTCATTGAAGTCTAGAGCGACAACTCCGCGCTCGACTTGTCTTTCTTTTGAGTAAGATAACAAATGATACAGATGACATTTCTCGCTGGGGAGCAGAACGTCATCGTTGACTAAGGGGTCTTCTTCAGCTGAGGCCCCCATCAAGGCAAGCTGTACGGAACGAAAAACTCCACTCGAGACCGTGCTCGAGTTCGTTCTCAACGGACTCTCGAGCGAGTACTTATCCAAGAGAAATTTGATGAGCTGTAAAATACGTCATTGGTAGACGGGCGGGAGGGGGTTGCAATGCAGTGTCTCCGCGGAACACGAGCGAAAACGAGGAGAACGAACGTACCCTTCCGATTGTGACTGAAGGATTAGCTCCTTCCAATTTCTCCAAGATGAATAGGAACTGATCTAGACTCGACAGGAAACTCTTCTGCTTGGAAATCGCGCAAATCTCGGCCATCCTATTCGGGAGAGCTTGCTCTTCGAAAGGTGTCGGGAAGTCGGGATAGCTGAATTCCGACCCATCGATGGATCCCTCTTTCTGGGGTCGTGTTTCGTATCTTTCCAGGACGCTGTCCTTAATGAAACTCTCAGAGTTGCGGTTCCGGCTCCGCTTGACCTGGTCATGATTATGCTCATCTTGCGATTCTGCGTCAGCATATTCCAAATTGGGCCTTCTTGGCCCCCCTGATTCCAAGGCCCCCGGCCGTCTCTCCGGTTTCCCTTCGAGCGAAGGAGATTCGAAAGGTCGACGCTCGCCTTGCGCGTGGTAGACGTCCTGATCGTTCAGAAAACTCTTCGGACTTCCATACGGGATATCCGGTCTTGATTTGATGCTTCTCGACGGGTTAGCTGATGGCTCGGAGGACGAGTCGTCCTCGAATCGATGATCCTTGATGGATACGCGATATCCTTGAACGAGCGTGCCTCGTTGTGGAAATAATTGTTTCCGAGACTTTATCGGCTTCCGAAGCCCCTCCAGGATTTCCGATCTGTTCTGACCTCGATCTTGAAAACGTTCCTCCCCCCCGCGATGCTTCCCGCCCTGACCGTCCGATGATTGGTGGGAGGGCAGATCGCGATCGTATGTGTTGCGCACGCCAGTGTCCGGGACGGGCTCTTTAGGGTCGGAGCGATCCTGATCCCGGAAGGGCTTGTCGGGGGAACCTTTGAGCTTTTTGTGTGTTTTCGACGTTTTCTCCGGATCTTTGGTCGGATAGCGGTACGTGTCCAGTCGGTTCGAAGTTTGTTGAAGATCCTCTTCGAACTCAGCTGAAATTATTATATTCCCAGTTATTATAACTTGAGGAACCTCTGACCATTCATGAAAACATACGACAGGGAGCAACGCCCCGACATGCGTCCCTACTACTACTTACCCACATAGGCTATTTCGACTCGAGTTTCGTCGGGATATTTGCACTCCTCGTGAATGCATTCGATGAAAGGCACCCCAGGTTTCCGAGGAAGAGCCTCAATTCTGAAGTGTATCATGTCGCAATGGGAATCGTCGCAGAGATCCTTAAAAGATTTCGCGAACACATTTTCCGAATTGGTTTCATGGCAATTGGTTTCTTCGATGGGGACTCTCTGATACGTAGAATTCTGTTTCTCGTAGCAGATCCTCAGAGGCAGGCTTTCTGACGAGACGGTGATATTGACTGAAGAAGGTTTCCTGTTCAACTCGTCCGGGTGTACGGCCCATGAATAGGTTGATTGGGGGGCGAGGAAAGTTTGGTGGACACTCGATACTTGCAAGTGATCGGTCAGGCAGTTCTTGCAGTGTACGATAGCGGGTGCTGAAATTGAGCAGAATCGATTGAAGGAGAACGGAGTCATGGTTTCGAAACGAATAGAGAGGCATCCCACTGCTTCGAGAGAAATGTCGATGCACTCGGTGGGGTAAGACGATTGTCTCGAGGGGCTGCTCAAGCAACTCCGACTAACTTTGGCAGATCTCATGCGCGAGTTCTGAGGCGATCCGCTGCATAACTCTGTCGTCCGCAGCCTGGGGTATGATGACTACGGCATCCTTCACATCAGCTCGGAACTTCTCCACGATTTCTGGCTTTGGCCCGACAACGAATATGTACAGATCCTTGTGTGACTTCCGCAGGTTGCGGATCACGTTCTGGAGATCCTCCTCGTTGCTCCTGAATTCGTTGAATTTGAAATATACCACAACTTTCGACGGGGTGACGGTTCCAGCCGCCATTTCCACATCGTCCTCGAGCAAGCTGTTCCACGTCCCGTTCACCGCTCGCCAGATATCTGCCTCTTGACAGTCGACGCAGCCTTGATCCGTCCTGAAGTGAGTTATGCGAAATATTCAGAGCCAGGAATCGCGATGGAACCCTACCCCCCCCCCCTAAACCCCTTCACTTACATAGGCACATGGAAATCATTTACAGCGTGGAACTAACCTCGACACTTGGCAAGATGGATTTTTTGTTTGTAGCTCGAGCTGAAGAAGAGCTTCAGGACATGCGGGTTGTCCGCCAGGGAAGAGCTAGACATCGAAACCCGGGAGTTGGGATTGTTCTCCAGGAGCTTCTCCGACAGATACGCGGACAGTTTCCTCTGATAGGTATCGGATTTCGGGTTTCCAGATATTGGATCGAGCAGCAGCAATACATTGCTCTGGGTCTGGCAGGTTCCTTTGCCGACCTGACGCTGGATCTCTTGACACGTTGAAGGAGGATCTTCGAAAAGGATTTAGAACCCTTAGGTCAAGAGAGCTCTGATTCTCCTATTCCGGGGAATTTAATTTAATATCGATCGGATGCGATCCACGCAATGATGAGTGATTCCGTGTCGAATGGTGTTCGTCCCCGAAATGGGCTTCAGTCGGAACTTACGGCTCACGAGGTGTTCTAGTTCTTTGACGAATGTCTTCACAGCGGGCACGACGGCGTACGTTTCGATGATCTCCTTCAAAGGCAGAGCTTCTGCTGCGTTGAAGAGTCTAGCCACCGCCAAGGTCTGCTCCGTGAGACGCTCCGCCGAGAAGAGTTTGTGGAAGATCTGGAAAGTCGGGAGCGTGCCTAAATTCTCCCGCCCAGAATCGTCCATGGGTTCGTGCGGCACGAGTGCTTACCTTGCCACGATTGCAGAACGAGACTCCGCCGGGGAACTCAGGAACCAGCTCACGGATTCCTCGTCCAGAGTAATAGGTGTTCAGGAGCCGCGAAAGACTGAACGGTCGAGGACGCTGCTTTGAAATCCTCGAGGTTAGGACATTGAGGATGAAGCCGTCGACAGTCCCGGAAATTTCGGCGTCCGTCACGTCCGAGATCTGTGAATGGAGAGACTCGTTCGAGCAGATCGAGGTGATTCTAGAGACGCCTTCAATCACTATACGCTTGGCGACGTCCAGCATTCAGATCTTTCATGCGTCACGCCATCCGGTTCTGGTACCTTGGGTGAGAGGTCGAATTCTCTGGGGCAAAGAGGTGAGGTCCAAACGCCGTCTCGGCCGATCCGAGGTGTGACCGAGGTGTTTCTCCACAGAACGGATGTTCCCAGGAGGCCAGCCAGAGTTGGACCGTAGATGTGATCCACCACGGTGTGACCTTCAGGCACTATAAAATTCCTCAAATGTGCTTAAGGGCTCTTCTCGAGGGTCTTCTTGTGGAAAAACTCCGGACATCGCTTGACCACGAAGTGTTCCTCATTTTTTTCCTTTATTTTTTTCCACCGTTCAACGAACCTATTCCACTGTATGGTCTCAGAATTGTCAGGAGAGCATCAGTCGATTCCCGAGAAGCGTATTTGGAAGCTGATATGCCTTTGAGCACCGCGGAGAGGGATATAGCTGAGTGTCCCTCGGGATGGACGATGGGCGACACAACTCCATGCTCTATGAAACTGATGAACTCTTTGATGAGAGTCGAATACGACGATTGCGAAATAATTCCGCGAAGCGGCTCGAATTTACCGGCTGTCGGATCACCCTTGGAGTTAAACGACTTACACGACTCTCCCAGATCCAGCGTTCCTCTGCTCGATGCTGTGTGAAACCATGAAAAACAAGGCGCACTTTTCATTCGCTGTGAAAGACTCCTCTCTGAAAGGATATCTCGGTGCGCTCCTCAAAATGACTTCTGCGATCGTTGCTCTCGCCTCCGCATCTTTATCCACCAAGAACATGAAGCCTTTGTCCGTCCTCTTCGGTCTCATGTACGGCATCGAAAACCTACGGAGAGGATCGATGGGATTTAGGAAAAGAAAGGAGTTTGAACCAGCGGGGCGGCCTGGGGGGGTCGACGTCAGTGTGGGGTCTTATAACGTCCGGCTAGGTGTGGGGTCTCATAACGTCCGGCTACCCGAATACCTGCGCAGAAGGAGCGAAGCAGTGTCCGCAGCGTCGTCCAAACGATGCAATTTCTCGACTTTCTCCACCAGCTCTATCAACGCCTTCATGTTTCTCGGCGGAACGTCTTTGTCCTCGGGGCCGTGCTTGAAACACGCTGGCGCCACAAGCCGATGGAAATCCCGAGAAGTCATCAGCCCGTTCGAGCTCACAACACACAGCAAGATGACCCACACTCCCACGAACATATTTCCTCGTTTTTCACGTCTGATTTGATGCCTCAATCATAGGAGACGCTTTCCGTCGATGATTATCGGTCAAGTTCTCGAGTCACAGGCGAACCGCGTACGCATTCCACTGGTAGATCGACATCGATGTCACTCTTCACAAGCCTCTAGGCCCGAAGAAGATCCGGCTGGAAGTTGAGAGTTCAGATCCAGGCGGTGAAAGCAAGGGCAACGGTGAGGATATGAAGGCTTCATTCGATTGTGAAGCCACAGTGCGCGCGTCAACAAAAGGGTGACCCGATTTGCACGAGCTATGGCTCAGCTTCGCCAAACGCTTCCAGATGAACTCCCTTCGGTCGGTAATGCTCACTCAGCTAAGAGACTTACTCCTCGACCTTATCGGTCAGACATGCTCAGCAAGGGATCTTGAATGAAGGGAAAGAAAAATGTTTTCTTCCGGAAGTAGCTCAGACTGTGGTCATCTCGTAATCGACGATCTCACAGTGACTCACGGAAATTCGAGTTCGGTCGAGTTCCGTTTCGAGAGATGCGGAAAGGTGAAAAAAGGGGACCCGATGAATTTCCTTGCCATATTTCGAGTTTCCTGCGGCTCCAGGCATCTTCCCTACCTGACGCATTTCCGAATCGAGGTGGGCCGTTTGCGCCGCACCCCCACTCCATTCCCAACTTCCAAGCGTATCAGAATAAAACAACTCTTGATTTCGTTGCGAGTGCTTCCTAATTCAGATGCCGGTCGGGAGGCTACATGTAGGAGGAGCCCGAAGCCAAGAAGAAGATCCAGATACCAGATAAAGCTGCTTTTATGAATGGAGACCAGATGAATGCCTCAACGGTTTCTTTGTGTCAATTTCTGGCCGCATCAATTGTCTACGGCCGCAGTCTTGTTGTAGGAGACGGGGAAGTTTCATTGGGAAGGGCGGCATCCGAATTTTTGTTCTTTATCGCCTAGTTGAGCTGGAGTCGCTCGTTCCATGAATAATCGTTTGTGATGGAAAACATTCCTCGCCGCGATCGAGCCGATGTCCTTCGCGGCGATTAGCACGCGGGAGAAAAACTCGGACCGACTCTCTCTCTGCCGCTCTTCGTCATTTCACCTGGAACAGCTCGGATGAAATCGATGCTTGGTTTCAATAGCGTTCATGAGTATGATAGGTATTCGGGACGAGGATCCTGAGCGGCGGGGCGAGCATCAGATACGATATTTCGATCTGACAATGCCGTTCAACGACAGACGGACGGAGGGCGCGATCCGTAGCGGCACGAGAACGCAGTTAGCGGGGACACTTTCGGATTTCGCTTGGTTTCGGATTTTTTTGTCCAAAATGAGTAGGTAATCGGGAGCGGAGGTTCCATTCGAGGATTCATAACATCACTCGGATGACAGATCCCCACGAGACAGATTCGATGCGGAAGGAGGCACCCGGTGCCGAACTTTAGTGAAACTCTATTCTCGATTGTCTTCCTCCGTCGTCGGGAATCTCTTATTTGAAGATCAGGGCGACCATCCTCTCGGTAGACGCTATCAGCATTTCAGGTGATAAAGCAGAATATATCGAAAATGGAACAATATTCTTTGAATTTATTTGCCTTGTGAGTATTTTTTACAGTCGCCATGGTTTCTCCATAGTTCTTACGATCAATCACATGTTGCATCAATGGATATCTCTCCGCGAAAGATCCAGATATATACATAAATTCTTTACATGTTGATCGGGTCGCGCAACGAGATCTAGTCGCTGTGCGAGGAAAAGCTCCTCCGCCGGATTAAATTAGATTGTTCTTCGTCGAAGAAATATTTATACAGGGTCAGATCATGGGTGCAGCGTCAGCAAAACTTGCTTTTACCGGTACCGGCTATGATCCGCGATGCTGGATCATAGTTCCGTCTCTCTAATCGCATGAGGCGGGGCGGGGGAAGGAAATCCCGGAATGCATCAAATACATAGCTTCGTGAACACAATGGAATAACATGCGAACCATCACACGATTTGTGACGGTCTACATTCGAGCTGAGGAATCTTCGGAAGAGAAGGTTGTTACAAGATAGGTTTCGGGGAGCGAAAAATAGCTCGGAGAATGCGAGCCAGAATTGAGATCGACTAGAGATCAATGAGGAAATACCCTAAAACGAGCGAGGTACTCCTCCCCCACACTTTTCGTGTCCGAAACAGGTGATGCTCCCTATGAACAGAGAATGTCGTGAGATCGCGGCTATCGCAGGTTTGCACTTCATGTTTTCGCTCGAGTGTTCATCCAGCCCGGTCAATCCGGCTGCGAACCCCAGCATGCGGACTCCATGCACACGAGTAGCTTCGGATTGTCAGTTTACGATCGGTTGTTGAGATCACGAGGGTACAAAAGGCGGGCTCCGACTGGGAGCGCTCACAGCTAAAAGATTCCCATTCATTGAGTATACCTGATTGAGTATCATTCGTTCGCTCTTCTACTCGATACATCTTGCATAGAACGTTGGCTTCGCCTATTTAGTATCTAACAGCAACATCCCTATCCACAAGCCGATGGGATCGAAGCCCTCACAAGAACGGCTTTGTGATGACGAAGGATTTCTCGATAAGAAACTTCGGTGGGGGATGCAGGTACGTAAATCGGCTGGAGTACGTCGATCATTATGCATAGTTTCGCCTGGGAGATGGTGCGCTTTTTCAGCCTAACGTCGAGCATCACAGTGGAATTTCAGAGGGAACTTGCCATGTCAGGGACACGCCTTCCCGAAAGTTTTTCGATCTAACGACGCGAGGCAGCATAAGTACGAGGACAATGAAGCGCCATCGGTGTCTCTCACAGCATTTCCCGCTTCTTCAGCGGTCGTTTGCTGACATGTTTGCCGATTACGTTTAGCACTCCACCCTTGTGCTCGAGAACTTTGCCTAACTGCTTCTTGACTTCGATCATATGGTCCTGCATGATCTTGCTCCGCTGTAGGTTCCCCTGGAATAGCACGGATGCCACTCAGTTCTCCGGATGGACTTCGATGGAAGAGGCATCTCCGATTTCGCTCATTCAATATCTCACCTTTATCAAGTCGGCGATCTTAGTGAGCATCCTCTCGTCTTCAGGTCCGAACGAGGACCGCTCCATGGCTCTGCTCGATGTTTCGAAATCTTCCAAAATTTTTTCGAATCGATGTACGACGTCCGACTCGATCGTTTCGACTTCTTCGACTTGTCCTCTGATATGGAAGAGCTGCGAACCAGGATTACCTCGATCATTCACATGAGCTCGCCAAGATAAGAGAGAAAAACCCTTCCAATCTTGAGAGATGAGGGGTCAGACACAGACGGAATCAGGACCTCGATTATAATTTCTACAAACCTTCCAACCGTGGGCTCTTTGTGCAGCGCTCTTCTGGTTCGCCAGCTCATTGACGGACGGCTTCTGATCGTCTTTGCAACGAACGTCCGAATGTCGCAGGAAATGATTGAGGCGAGCCTTCCATCCAGGCTGCTGCCTTCCAAACAGCTGCGGTCGCTGATTGATAGTTGCGTCATGGTCTTTCCCGTTCTGCTCCCGATGCCCCGGTCGGGCCTCCCCGCCGGTCTCGCTCAGCTGCGGGAATTGTTTCCGAGGTTTCTTCCGCGGACTCGCCGGTCCCTTCTGATCCTCATGAGGCTTGCCGCTCCTTGCGGCTGAGTCACCAGACGTGTGATTATAAGAATTTTCCTCAGTGCTCTCCTGTTTCATGCTCGCCGGGGCTCGCTCATCCCTGGGACCCTTTTTGGAAGGCACACTGGAGGAAAGAAGCGCATTGAAAGCATCCGCCGTACTTGCGGATCTTTTCCTCAGAATCGAAGGTCTGCTCGGGCTGCCTTGCGTCGCTTGTTGATTCGTCGGAGTAGTCGGTTTTTGTTGATTCTTCGGAGTCATCGTTTTTTGTTGATTCGATTTCGACGCCGACGGTACCGTGGTCACCGTAATGGGCAGCGGAACAATTCCTGGGGCCGTATTCGGGAGGGGACCTCCTCTGACCTTTGGCGGGGTGGCACTCCCGCTCACTTTCTTCCCGCCCGAGAGCGCTTGCGTGATGACTTTTTCTGTCAGATTCGCAATTTTTGTCGAATGGCCTACTTCTATTACTGAGGTTGTTACGCGGTCGAGACCCGGAGATGGAATTGCCGTCACCGTAATGGAAGCAGGAGGGGGTGTTGCTAATTTGGTGATGGTAGTTTCACTGCTTATCCGCTGAAGACCGGCTGCGATCTCGGGGTTGAGGAAATTTTGCACCGCATTGAGTTCCGTTGGCTTCGTGCGATCGTCCGCTTTGGTGGCAGTGACCGAGATGACGTTTCTACTCGATGTGCTGGGGTGAGCTTTCGCGTCGACGGTCACCATCAGCGGACGCTGCGAACTGAAAGAACTGTTCGACCGAACGCCAGGAAGACCCCCCGCGGTCATCTGCATCGGATTAGAAGCTCCGCTCTGAGCGTTGAAGTACGCCGAGGCGGGGTACGTCTCGTACCGGAAAAATGCCCCCGGGGTCGTGAACGGGACCGAAGAGTTGCCTCTGAGAACGTCGTTGTTGAGCACCACAGCTCCCGCTGATGCTGGCTGGACGTTTTGCCCCACGTTGATCACCGGGACTTGAAGCCTGGGGCCCGGAGGTGTCAAAAATCCAATTGGTCGCGGTTGAACCTCGACGTCCGACCCCGTCACGTTCAGAGATTGTTGGAATGTATTCGCCATTGGCATTGTGAAGTGGTTTGTGCTCGGTGTCGTCATCAATGGATTCGGCGGGACATTTCTCACCTGTAGACCGGAGCAGATAATTCGATCAGACCTCGATCTAGAAATGGGACAACGAAGGCTACGGACTTGGTCTCATACTAAGAGAGAGAAATAATGATCAGGGAAGCATGATCCGCCGACAATACTCACGCTCACTGGTCGTTGCGTGGTGATAACCACGTTGTTCATATTGGCCTTGTTCGAAACGTAAACGGGAGATGCTTTATTGGACCGCTTCGAGTTGGTGACCGTGACCCTGTTCGTCACTGTCACGGCCGGCGAGGCAGGAGCGTTCGATATGGGCTGTATGGTGGCTTGAGCCTGGGGAGTGTTGATCGGAGTGAAAGTTGTGTTCCCGTTGTTGAACTGCGTCGGGGCACTGGTCCCGCCAGTCTTGTAGAACGGCGTCGTCGGAGCCGTTTTCTCGCTCGTGGGTTGGACAACGGCCGGACTGTAGGCCGTTGGTTTTGCTCCCGTCCACACCGTCGGACGGACTCTGGGCTCTATTGTGATGCTCGGCGGGATACTCAGGTGCAGTTTCCCCACCGACTGTTTAGTTTTCGGCACTTCCACCATCGTGACCGGGGCGTAGGTTCGCGGCGGGGTCAGAGCCGCCGCGGACACTCTCGCGCCAACGGGTATGTGACCCGGTGCCGGAACTACATTCGACCCGGTCGTCTGCCGGATGATCGGCGTCGCTAGCGCGGTTTTAGGACCTGCCGCGATGCTTGCGACCGCTGCAGGACCTCTCGGGACATGGGACGTCAAGTGATTCGAAGGTCGTATCAAGGCCGCCGGTGTCTTCGTTCTCTGCCTGCTCTGCTGAGCCACTGGTTGAATGGTCGTCTGTTGCACCGAGACGACCGGGGCTCTAACGAAAGGGACGACCGTTGGAGTTCTTGCTACTCGGGGTGTGAGCCTGGCTGCTGCTGCCATCATTTTCTCCACATTCGTCCCGAGGACCGACGCAGGCTGTAAAGGACGAATCGAAGGTCGCAGCGCGGTGCTCTTGACCGCGGCCACGGGAGGTACGATGAGATGAGATACTGGAGATGGCGACGGAGTGGATGTGCTTGGTCCGGGAGCAACCGTCGCTGGAATCAGGGAGATCTGGGGTTGAACTCTCGGGATAGGCGTCAGGGTCGTCTGGCCCGTGACGGTTACCCGGGTTTGGGCGGGAGTTACCGTTACGTAGTCATCTTGGAGTCTCGTGGGTTGGACGATGGCCCGCGCCAGGTCGATCGGAGTGATCGTCGCCGCAGTCATTGCCCGTCCCGCCGGCCGATCCGGAGGCTTTTCCCCTCCGGATGACGACATCCTTCAGCGGAATGGTGACGTCTTGCGAAGGACGTAGACGTCAATGGATGTTCCCTGCAGGAGGAAGTATACGCATTTTAAGGGTGGAAACACCGGGAAAGAGGAGGAACATCAGAATCTCGCATGGAATCCGTTGCCGCTATCGTTCCGCTCCGAAATTCTAGCCCGACCAGCGGATGCGCAGGGCCGCCTGCCCGAGTCCGCCCGCTGGAACCTGACCCACCCCCCTCCCCGCCTCACAGCGTTGGAGGACCTTTTGACATCCCATGCGCAAGGGATTCTGAGATTTCGGAGTTCCCCGTTGGCCTCGGAGAGAACGTGCGCACAGCCGGCTTCGATCCTTCGAGCCGTCAAATGCCAAAGTGAGCCCATCCGGCGCTCTATCCACGGCCAAAGGTTGCTTATGACTATCGACAAAGCTTGTCAGCTGAGGTTTTGGACTCGAGAGCGGGCGGGAATTCTCCCTGGAGCTTATGCTCGCGGTCTACGTCAGGATCGTAGTTGGAGGTTTTGGGCGCCTTCGCCGGAAATTCGAACGGTTGAGTTGAGACACTTCGTTTAGACTATCGCGCAAAACACAGCACACAAGAGGGAACTCTCCCGGGTGCGAGAGTATTGCGGACCTCTTCCGTCAATTTTGATCCAGTCGGAGCCCTCAGCTGCCAAAAGCTGAAGGTTGAGAGCTCGACTACCGAGTGAAAACGCACAGAATCCTCGGAGAGGATGCACTGTCCAGTCCTTTTTGGAGCGGTGGAACTTACCTGCGAAGCTCTCTCGTCGGAGAAAGACGCCGGTCACTGTGCTCAAGAACTCCACTGAGCCTTGAGAGTTCAGCACAGCCGCACTCGTAGCCACCGACGGAATATCAAGTCTAGCTCTATATCGCTCGCTCCTGTTCTTCTGGTTCCGCCGTCACTCCTCCGCACTCATTGTCCCTCTCACACAAACACCGACAGCGACACACACAATGACGACGAGCGCCAAGAGCAGTGAAAGTGGCCTCACGAGCGGGCCAGAGATTCTGTTCGCTCTGCTGTAGTCCGGGGCATGGCACTCTCGCACCGCGCTACCCATGCCCTGGACAGCGCGAGGGGATGCCCGTCCTGGAAGAAATCTCGCGGAAGTCGAGAAGGACAATTCCGCGCGGTGATTCCATTTGAAAAATTGATGTGTCGACTGGAGAGGGAAGATAATGATGTCGATGATCTTTACCGGTGGTACAAGCCCTAATTCATTCCTTCCGAAGCTCCGAGCCACGGACCTGAGGATCGAACGAGTCGACGGCAACCCTTGAATTCCGTGCCGCCCCGTTCATCCAGTCTGAGCAGCTGTGTTCTGATGGGCTCCATTTTGAGAACCGCTACGGCCGCCAACTAACTTATATGCTAGCCTCGAATATGTAAAGATCGCTGCTGATCCTGATAGCGGTCGTCAATGATCGGAGGGGTCCGTCCATTCCGATCGGAGAGAATCTTCCACGGTCTAGCTCATCCGAGACTCGATATTTGGTATACGGAAACCTGAGGTGCGATGGGATCGATGCTTTCGCCGAGGATCGGGGAAACATGCTCCAATATTCGAGCCAAGATCAGTATCCGGAATGAAGACAGCCGTTGGAGCTGCGTTGCGTTGTAGTAACGAAGAGCCAGAGATGTAGAGGAATCTCTATCCGAGAACTCCTTGCGCACGAAGAAAACCATTTCCGCGCGCATTCATCGAACTGCGCCGGGACCGTCCGTCTCGGTACAGTAGGCTCGTATAGCTCATCAGCAACAGTCGACTGAGAAGACCACGGAAGAATCTATCTCTCAGATTGCACGACTCAACCGGTCAATCGAGCAGATCCAAATGCCGATTCTTAGATCGAGGAATTCGGACAGCTATTATTGTCTCTCAATTATTAATTATCCTATTTTCAATCGCATCCATCTTATTATCTATCTTACTCTCACTCATTGTTCGCCGAATAAGAGGGTGAAAATGATGAGGATAATTCCATTGTTTATTTTGTCATGGGCGAGTTCAAGAATCAGACATTAGACCACTGAACGCGGTCGGGATTCGATTGTGCACTCTTCAGCTGGAGGTTCTGTACTTGGAACTGGGTTCTCAGCACGAGATCCTGGGTCTTATCTACTAGCGTTTGGTAGGGCTCGGTAGCTTGCTGACCCATGACAACATGGCCAAGTTTATAGTCGATTTTCGCAGGTAACCTCGCTCCACGGATCAGGTTCACAATCCAAACCTCGGCTTCTGCCTTCTCCATGTTCAACCTTTCGGCTAGCATGTCGATGGAGACGCATTCATGGATGCGGCAGAAGGTTTCGAAGATCAGAAGTCTGGCGTTCTCCCTGAAGTCTTCGAGACAAGCAGTCAAGAAGAAGTCGTTCTGGATGACTGTTTCGCATTCGCGCAGTTTTTTCTGAGCGCCATCGAAATCGAAGTTCACGTAGAGACATTGGACGAACTCAGTGATGGGGTCTGAGTATTGGTAATTTTCTTGTTGGATGACTTTAACTAGTTCGCGGAAAGCCGTCGCTTTCCCACGGTTGCACACCACGGCAGCTGTCAAGTATCGAAGAATGTGCGGACACATCGTTTGAATAGCGTTAAGGTATGGAGGTTGGTAGAGGAAAAGGTCGATGATGAAGTCCCGTCCTTGCGGATGGTTGAAGTAGACGTAGAGACTCCAGTGGATGAGCCACGTTCTCTGTTGGAGCGATTTCAGCGGACAGTTGAATCTGCCAGGAGAGAAGAACCGTCAATCCCATGCCCGATATGCGACGCGCTGAGGCTCTCACGCACGGTGCTCGAGCCTCCCTGAGCAGCAGCGTGAGAGTACCCAGATAATATCTTGTCAGAGATTGGGTCTGAGGGGCTCGGCCCACTTACCCCGTGCCTTCGATGTATTCCTTGAGATTAGTGACCTCAGCCAGAGCACTCTTCCAATCTTGGGACAAGATATTCGAGGCTAGTTTACCCCACAAGTTATTGAGATAGTTTTTGTCCGACTGGGATATGACGAGACGGTGAGCGACTAGCAGACCGGAGGCGTGCTCGTATTGGCCGCAACTGTAGTAATGCTTCGCAAGCATGTAAAGATCATCGGCCGAGCTCGCGCTCACTCCGGGGTACTTGTTTATGATCCATTCCATCAACTGCTTCCCGTCGCGACAACTGCCTATGTATTCCTTAGTGGCATCGTCGCCGATAGCGTCCATTATGCCATTACATTTCTCACTGATCTCATGGAAGACCGCAACGACTTCACTGCGGCGTTTCATCAAGTCTGTGAACAAAGTCTCTGTGAGGAAGTGAGCCCAACTAGGGAATCAGGCAGGGCCGTCAGTGAATCGGACTGACCATATTGAGAAAGCGATCACAGAGAGATTATTGGAAGCTAGAGAATACCTTTCTTTGCCTCTTCAAGTTTGCTCGGCAGAAGGTTCTTGTAGAGATCGATGGTATAATCAACCATATCGGTTCGCTCCAGGAGCTGGAGTCGCGCCCGGTTGACTTCATCGGGATCGTATACCTGAGAAGCGATCGGAAAAAGAGCTTAAGATGCGAGTTTCTAGAGGTTCAGCGAAAGCCGGATGCTTTGAATCGTCGTGCGCTGAGAAGCAGGAGCGGCAGATACGGAAGATGAGATCGATATCCCATCGAGAATTCCGAAGGGAATCGAACGACGGAAGCCGGCAGCGGGCATATGCCACATGGTGGGTATAGACGAGGGAACTACGAAGTATTGGTGCTCGGATTCTGCCGGCAGAAGCCCCAGACGACGGGTCATGTCACTTACGGTCTTCGTGGCGATGAACTCGAGGAAAGGATTGACTAAATGATAGTCAAAATACTGAGAAACAGTTTTGATCAGGTCGTACTCCGCCATCTTGCACGCCTATATGAACAACTCTGACTAAACGTGTTCGAAACGACACAGGGGGCGCCTATGTCGCTGTTATTGTCGTCAGTCAGCCACAGACAACAGTAGCAGACGCCGCGCCGCAAGAAAAACTTGCCGTCTAGACTTCCGATTTTCAGAGAGTTCCCCAGCTCCTCGAAGTCTTCCACGGCATGCGATTCTCTCGCCCAGCCCATATCGACGTCGTTGTTTCCTGGGAGCCCTCGTGAAGTCGTCCTGACGATCGAGTCATCAGGAGCGCCATTCATTCGAAATCGATGACGGATGAAGTATGCGGTCGAGTGTGGATTGCCCTCTCCCCTAGAACCGGTATAAAACAACCGGACCGAGTCGTCATATGGTGTTATGAAGCAGAGAAATCGAGCAATTGTATCGCTGAAGTCGGATTTGTCTATATCTGCGAGCGAAAGAAGATTCTGTGCATAGTGTTCTAGCCCCTCTGTGTGAGTTGATATAGGATCTACTTGTGTGAAAATCAGAAACTCACAATGGCTCGGCACCGGAACATTCGAACCATGGCCTATGAAGAGGGTGAGTAGATATCGATCGGACATGTGGTATCCGGAGTGAAACCAAAGAAATGCTTTTTGACCGCGACCATTCGGAAACTCCTCGGAGAATTCTTTTTTCCCCATGTCGTCGATTCGCAAACTCTGCTCGACTGCTGGGTAGGACGACGGGGATGCGTTCGCTGGTAGTAGGCACTGGGAATTTAGAAATCGTCTCCAGAACCAGGAGCTCCGCAATTAATTGCGCCCCCGGAAGTTCGTGTCTACATGTCTCGATCCCGCCCCGAGTCCAGGAGTCCAGCTGATCCTTAGTCGGAGACCTCGATCGGCTCAAAAACATGCGAACACATCTTCCGACTCTATCAAAGCTAATTGCTTGCTGCGAACTCACAGAAGGGTGGCAGGTCAAGTTCGCGAGTCGGTGGGGCTGCTCTCGGCTCTCACCGACTGTCCCCCTCCGACCCGAAGTAAAGCGGAAAGTTCGAGCCAGCTCTCTCCTGCGCTCGTCCCATCGTAACTATGTGCTTGAGTCACCGAGAGATACCGGAGCGATCGAGCCGCGACAGCTTTGGGGTCGGCTCCGCATGTCCCCTATTCTGCATAGTTGCATAGTATGCGGTCAGAGAGAATCACGAGATGATGAGATTGGGCGCACCGACTCGTCGATGCCCCGATCGCTCGAATCTGTAGTATCATCCCATGAACGCAAGAAGCAAGCGGAACCCGACCATTTCTTCGCCTTTCCATCATTCTCATACATCCCTGCGTTCACCAGATCTCGACGACTACACCAGCGATGATTACGGAAGCTCGCTGGACAATGGCTGCGTTACACCAGAGACGGAAAACATGTACACATATGCCAGAGAGCGGCACGAATCCGTTTCCAAAATTTGGGAACCTCAGCAACCGCCAGTCCAGGAAGAAGATGAGGTTCGTCCGGATTTAGGCGCTCCGCAAATTCGATCCGTTAGCAATGGATCTCCCATGTTTACCCAAATTTGCCTGGAACCAAGACTGTTCTTCCTATTTCAATAGCAAGAGCCTGGAGAGATGTTCGAAATGGACGACGTGAAAGATACCGGTCAAGGCGCGACAGGAGATTCAGAAAAACTCTCAAAATGCCTCAAGTCGATGAGGAGCGTCATCGGGAATTCCGTGGCAGAGGGAACCCTCCGCGAGGCCGCTATAAGTCAAAATTTCGATCCCGATAGAGCTCTGGATGTTGTCTTCGATCGCCAGGGAGGTGCATCGAAAGCAGCCGCGCCTCAAGCCAACCCAGGTGAGAGTCTTGGAGGAACCCTTCACTGCCCTAACGGACATCCTCCGTTGCAATCGATATGCGAGCATAGTTACCGAAGAAATTCACAAGTAGATGGTCGAGAAGCTAATTTAGTTTCTTCTCCTCTTCCCCATATTTCCTCTCCGGCTTCCTTCATTCACGTAAGGTAAGTTTCTCCTTCTGAAGACCCTTTGTCGGCCCTCTTGAGTCAGAAAAACTTCAGCATCGATGATTTGCTGAACGCTCCGGCGGCCCTGGATCCCCTCGCGGCGGTTCTTGGCACCCACAGTGCGACGCAGCTGCCCCCGAATGAGATTCCTCCAATCGACATCGATGCCTTGCTCGGCCCGACCTGCAGTACAGATGCCAATCTCATCGAGAACCTTCTGAAGGCGCCTCTTTCCTCCGATGAGATTTTTGGCATAACTGAGAATAGCCCGGACAGTCTCGACCTGAGGCAGTTTTTGGATGATGCGGCTCAAAAGGTTGACGTTCTCGATGAACTCATGAAGAAAGTAGATCTCGCCGGAAAAGATCACGATTCCGTCGGATCCCCCTCGAATCGATCTGTGTCTGCCGTTCGAATGATCCTCCAGCGATTGCGGAGCAGGAACGCAGGCGCAGTGCTGGGGGTTATGGAATGGTACAAGCAGTACCTGAAGTCTCAGAACCGGTTCTCCTTCCAAGACCCATCCCCTGACGACGTGGTCAGGAATGCAAGAGAGAGGCGGGTCTATGGCGGTAGGTCTGGAAAGCCTCGTAGACATCTCCTTCATCGGAGATGCTCTCTGGTCGCCGTACAGAAGACCGACGACATTGTCTCCTTGATTCATTCTCTCTTCGAGACTTGAACTTATCCTATTTCTTTCTGCAGAATCTCAAAAAGCACAAGCATCTCAGTCCAAACAGACGGATCCGAATCAGCACAATTTCCAGACAGTACCACCTGTCGAAACGCCCACTCGAATCACATTCAACGGCAAGGATCCGGGCCCCAAAAACGCGAAGAAATCGAAAGCCGTGGCCACAAAGGACCCGAAGGAGCCGAAAGTCGAGTTGAAAGTCGAGTCGAAAGCGGTCCCGAGGAAGCTCTCTCCGGACACTCCGAGATCAACTGCTTCGCCTAAAGTTCCCAGAACGCCCAGACTGGATCCCAAAGCTATTCAAGATCTCTACGATAAAGAGCGGACTTCTATGAAGCCTTTGTTGAACCTCGTGGTCGTTGGGCATGTTGACGCTGGGAAGAGTACCCTCATGGGGCATCTTCTGTACCTTACTGGGAACGTCAGCAAGAAAACTATGGCGAAATACGAACACGTGAGTTCCGATGTTCAGCTTCGGCTCACGCTTCATTTTCCTAATGATGGAAGCATAGGCTTGCGTTCTTCTGGGTAGGATTATCATTCTTCGTTTTTCTGAAGGAATCGAAGAAGCAGGGCAAAGCTTCCTTTGCCTACGCTTGGGTCTTGGACGAGACATCCGAAGAGCGCACCAGAGGAATAACAATGGACATGGCTTACGCCAAAGTAGAGACTGAGCACAGGTGGGTGAGACCGTAATGGTCGTCGATACGAATTCCTTCATTCCACTCGGAGGGCGATCTGGGATTTTTCCCGAACTACTCGTCTGACTGATCGATCCGTCGCTTCTAGATGCATCAACATACTTGACGCTCCCGGCCACAAGGACTTCATTCCGAATATGATAACCGGAGCCGCCCAAGCTGATGTGGCCATCCTAGTCGTCGATGCAACCAGAGGAGAGTTCGAAACTGGTTTCGAGCTCGGGGGCCAAACTCGGGAGCACACGATGCTCGTGAGGTCCTTGGGCGTCGCACAACTTTCGGTGGCTGTGAACAAGCTCGACACGTGCCAGTGGTCCGAGGAACGCTTCAATGAAATCATAAGTGCACTGAAACCCTTTTTAAAGCAAACCGGCTTCGTCGAGTCGATGGTTTCGTTCGTTCCGTGCAGCGGATTGACCGGTGTCAATCTCCATGAACGCAGCCAGCTCCCGCAGTTGACCAAATGGTACAAAGGACCCTGTCTCCTGGAGACTATTGATAAAATGGAACCGCCGCCACGGCCGATCACAAAGCCACTCCGAATGTGTGTCGCTGATGTTTTCAAAGGCATGCAGTCCGGAGTCAGCGTCGGAGGGAAAATCGAGTCCGGTTGCATGTCTCAAGGCGACAAATTCATCATCATGCCATCTCAGGAGCCTTGTGTCGTCAAATGTGAGTTCACGAATCATTCCAATTGTCCTATGGGCATTCGCATTGTCCTCGGCACTCTTCCCGGAGCCTCCCTCCTCTAATCGCAATCGTTCATCGTCTCCACAGCTCTGCTGATCGACAATTTGCCGCATAATCGTGCATTTGCCGGGGATAACGTTATCGTGAACCTCGACAAGTGTGAACCCTCGCAAATTTGCTTTGGATCTGTGATATGCGACGCAAATGAGCCGATTCGGGCCGTGTCGAAGTTCGAGGCGAAAGTTGTGATCTTCAACATCGATATACCTGTCATCAAGGGCTCTCCCGTGGTGTTGCATTTCCAGTCATTGAGCGAACAGGCTTGCTTCGGGAGACTCCTCAAAGAACTCAATAGGAACACGGGAGAAGTCGTCAGAGAGAAGCCTAGGTGAGTTGGGAACAATGCGGAATATTCGACTGATGTGCTGGAGGATTTTGGCGAGTTTGACTGAATATTCCTGATTTTTGTAGATACTTGAGCAAGAACAGCAGTGGCGTGGTCGTAATCAAGGTTGCCCGACCGATCTGTGTCGAACGCTACCAGGACTCCAAGGAACTCGGCCGAATAACCTTGCGACAGTCAGGGAACACGATCGCTGCTGGTGTAGTTACAGCTTTGTTATGATGAGGGACACCGTTGCTTTTGTTGATGCTAATAAATATCAGAGTCTCTTCCCGTTTTTCAATAGAGGTCGATTGATTGGAAATTGCTTCGCGTAACCCTTCGAGGGAGGCGACAGGGATCGGCGAAGGGGGAATGAACGTGTCCTGCCTGGTTGAGCATTGTCGAACATCACCCGATTTCGAGATTCTTCAGGTCAACTTCTGACCTTCTGTTTGTCGGATCCACATCGAGGAATCTCCCGAGACTCTAAACTCAACACGCTCTTGATTCTCCGCGAAGAAAACGAGCCTCGTATGCACATAGGATCAACTACTTGAGATCTGGCATTCCGAGCCAACTCGACAGCCGTGGTCTGGTTGAGGGCACTCTCCTAGAGCACACATGGCAATCAGTCCACCTGGATGTAGCTCAAACTCAACAAAAATTCAAATTCGCCTCAGCTGGATATATCTCGTCGGTACAGCAGTATCGGAAAGAAGCTGGGTCTCCTACCGGCTGAGCTTTCGAAGACATGTGCCAGAGCTTACAGCAGAGCCAATTCCCTGCGGAGTCTCATGGCGCGTTTCTCCCGATCAAGACAAACACTCCTTTTGAGGCATTTTCTTTCTAGTCTGCCAACAGTTGATTTATATACAGTATCTCGAGTCAGTGATGATTACAAATGCGCGAACTCATGGAGCCAGATGGCAGAATATTGAATGTTCTCGATCGCATCCTAAGCAGGCCTTTGTCGTCGATCGATACATTTAAGAAATGCACTCTTCTTTCTTTCCTACTCCCCTTTTCCCCAATCTCTCTCGCTCGATGATGAACTCCAGAGTGGAGTGTACTCAAGGTCTTTTCCGAAAAAATTGTGCAGCGTCTGAGATCACAAGAAAGACGAAACTTGCTTAAATTATAATTCCAGCCTTAAAATACCTAGCTTTTGTGTCAGCTGCAAGCGAACAACAGGCTCACAGAATATCACGGTCCTGGCAGCGGAATAGAACTAGACTACTTGAGTTGGCCGCGGACAGATGAGATCATTGGACCAACAATTCAAACCATTAGATCTACAAAGAACATGACGAGGGCAACGATATGACTTGCGAAGCCCAGATTCCGCCATTTGTTCAATGTATATTCCATCGAAGACATGTTATTATCTTCAGGCTGAGAGTCGAACATGGTACCCAGATAAGTGAGATGGAAAATTGCGAGAAGTGTGAAGAACAAGTTCACCAATCGCACTCGAGGCGTGTCTTTGTGTTCGTGGTGACAATTCCTGCATTCTCTCGCTCCTAAGCAAGCGTTGAAAGCTGTGGACAGCTTCGATCTCAAGCTGAACTCGGTGTATGTCAAGAATCCGAGCGAAAACAACACAGCGCTTATCCTGAAACTCAGTCCATGTAGGACAGACGACGCGGCGAATGTCCCCAGTACGGCGATGAGTCGCCCCCGGGGTATGATGCGTTTGAATACGTGGTTTTTCAGCCAGACGTGCATGGGCCGGTTCCAGAAGACGACGACCTCAACCAAGGATCGAGGTAACTCGATGTACTTCGGTCGCACGATTTCCAAGTTCCTGAAAGATAACGACGTATATTCAACGGAAGAGTTCGGAATCGGGGCCGTCGTGAGCACAACCGGAGGAAAGCAATCGATAGAAACGAAATCGAAGATTCGTCTCACCATTCGTTCGCACTATTCTGGGCCTGTACTCCCGCCGCGAGGGCTGAGCTTTCGCTGTGGAAGCAGACGAAGTAGTGGGACATGCGGAAGATCAATGCGTCGCGGAAAGCTTCAAGCCAGATGCCGTAGCTCGAGGCATCCCCGAGTAGCCTTGAAGAGACAAAAGAAAACTTTGCTGGAACATAGGCGATGCGTGACCAGATCAGGATACACTTGGGAATCAAGTCCTCCCAGACGAGTGTCAGAAATGTAAGCCGGCCTCTCGAAGAGTAGTCGAGAAACACTTACCAGTCCAAGCCGCAGGACGATAGGACGAGACACATGGTGGACAAAGTCAAGGTCCGGAGCAGCGAAAGCAGCCATAACGGGTCTAGGAGGTCCGGTTTCTGATCGGATTGTGTCTGAGGCTCGACAGATACGAAATAATCATAGAAAGAAATCCAAGGTCCGAAAATGACAGTCGCGGTATGGAACAGATAACCGAAAACCGGGATGAGGGGTGGATGCCTCGTTATCCGACCATCATCGATGTCCATCGCCAAAGAAATTAGTTTCATGGCCATGATCATGACAGATCCTCGTATTCGATTCCACTGAGACGGAAAGAGTTTGTACTCCCCGATTCCGATGATCATAATCAAGCAGGCAGCTGTCACGAAGAAGGTCCTCCTGGAAAAATTCGAATGCTTATAGTGAGCAACAGAATCCGGAACGGCGAGCGAAATCGGACGGATTTCGACCCAAGACTCAACGGACCAAGCTTGGAATATCCAGTCGACCATGTAGAGGGTAGTAATGCCGAGGACTGCGAAGGTGAAAGCGTAGAACCCGTGCCAGTCCATGATGCCGACCATACAGTAGAATCCGAGAAGAGTTGACAAGGAATGGATCACCCATCTTGGGATCTTCTCTGAAACATGAGGGTCAGGCTATTGAGACCAATGACGACAGCAATATCTCCTTGAGAGGGCCAATTTCTCCTTCACTTGCCGTATCCCGGAAAGATAGTCCCCGATAGGAAGGATCATCCTAAGCGATAATTATCGAAGGGAAATGTCTCGACGACTATGACGGTATTCCGTCGGGAAGCCTCTTTCCCGACTTCATAGAGTCCATGTCATGCAAGTTTTCGCAAGAGATACAATATGAATCAGAAAAGCATTATCCAGGCACGGCGGATCACAGACGGCTCGGAGATTTCTTGTGAGAGGCAGTAGCGTACCCGAACTCTGTGCATAACATGAACTTCGTCCACTCTAGCAGGCACACATCGGGAAGTAAGAGGAGGAAGACTCGAATTTCCTGATACTTTGAGCTCTTCACCAGGAGGAGAAGCGCCTCCTCTGCGTGAAGCGGATGAAGCTGCATCCAGAAGAAGGGTATCGCCTTGATCCTAGCGTACGATATCTCTCGCCAGCACGGTTCGTCAGAGACAGACGATCCTCGTCTCGGACCTCAAGCTCGTTGCTCCGATATAGCTCAGGTATCTTCCATGAATTACCTACATGAATTACTTGTACAATACGGAATCGGAGATCGTTCCAGTAGAAACCCATGCCTCATGTTCAGCGCGCGGAGCGCGAACGATCGACCGACAGAACAACTCACCGAAATTTCCGACCCATCTTAGGAAACACGACGACAGGATGACATAGGCAGTTATATCAAACCATTCCCCGAGAACGGCTTTGATGCAGAAAGTCCATAGGTCGATGAGCGACATGTATCCTTCTACCCCGTCTCCGTTGAGCTGTAAGTAAGAAAGTTTCTTGAGGCTATGCACCGGCGATAGCTATGGGAGCTGTAGCCATGGAATCCGCAAGTTTGAGGAACTATGTCCCCCTCTCAGACGCACTCTTCTGTCACTCACCGGGAACGAGTCGTCATCTTCGAGTTCGTTACCATAGTAATATGCACTGTCAAGATCCATGACAACCCACTCGTTTAAGAAGTAGCGGAGCCTCCGGGTCCTCTTCTCGACCTCGTGCCACGAGGGTTGCGGTCCAGTGGCGTTCGTCCGCTTCCGCACGGTTCTGGGGCGTTCGGGGTTCTGGGGCGTTCTGGGTTCTGGGTGAGGATCGCAAAGACACAAACTGTCCTCTATTGTTATTTTCTTCCGTCTGTCCTCCCAAGGCGCCAAAGTTTGAACCATCCGAGGGACTTTCCGGGGAGCAATCAATTCCCTGTTCAAGCGACACAAATATATAACATGAACTCGCGGGGAAGGTTTTTCAGGGGCTTGACGGTTTGGAGGGACGGCCTGATCCTTTAGTTCCACACCACGTACTGAGCGGCCGGGGAGCAGCTTCCGCTCGACATGGCCGTAGGCGGGTGGGGGAACAAGTAATGATTTTGTCGATGATTTCACTTGAATTGTCCTCGAGAACTCTGCCCCTTATGGACCGCGTATTTTGCAACCGGTGCCGACGGGAAGCAATCTCCAACAAAAAAAGGTTTTCCCTGGGAGAGACGAAACCGTTGGTCAGGAATTCCCCGGGACCCCCGGAGCAAGTCTTCACCTCGCGAGCACGCAGGTGCCGTTCCCTCAAAGAGAGCCGAATGGTCGAGGGAGCTTCATGGAGAGGAGCTTGAAGACTAAAATTCATGAGAGCCATACATCACCGATCGACTTCAATTCTCCGAAGTGCTACCATATCCTTATGGCAGTAGCCAAACTCAGGGATCGTGGGGATAGTTTCCGCGCGTTTCCGGAATCGATGATTGGCGGGCGGTCTGGAGAATAAACGTCAGCGTCTAGCGCTACGAATCCTCCATCGACGCCAGCGAGCGCTAGCCCCCTCCTGGAATCCTGACATGAAAGGCGAATAGGTGCAGATCTCCTCGGTTTCGTCAAAGATGGCACTGCCATTTTTCCCGGCGCGCCGGCGCCTCAACAACATCCAGCAGGAAACCTCCTCTCCTGTGACCGCTATGGTGTGGCCTCTTGCGCGAGTGACGTAGAACTCTCCCAGTCGCGACAGCCATTCTTTGCGACGAGACCGAGGAAGCAGCACTCTCGTTCAGTCCTGAGGATTACTGTGCAAAATTTTCCATCATGTCATTGGTTAGAGGTACGGATGAGATGGCTCCTTCGATTATGTCTCGAACGCGGATCCGAGACATCGGCGACTCGTCCAGGCTGAGCCGATTCGCCGGGGCTGTTCGGCCGTGAAATTATCGATAGAATTATCTGTCCTGCTTGTTGACGTAGCGCCTTTTTTCAAGTCGACGATCTTCGTTCACGAGCGAGCTCGTCCTGTCTGGATCTGTTTGTTCTCGTTCTTCCACCAAGCTTCTTCTAGCGCCTGCCTTTCGTAGTTTCGTTCTCCGCTGTTGAGACTTCCGAGAAGATTTGAACTCCCAATACAATCGATCATGTCTTCCTCCTGTGCCGCTCCCATAGCTGGATGGCGGTCGGCCTCGGGAGCTCTCATAACGCGATCAGTGAGCCCCCGATTCGAACAGGTGTTTTCATCGTGGGTGCCAAGAGAACCCCCTTCGGCGCCATGGGGGGCAAACTCAAGGACTGGACCCCGACCGATCTTTCGGTCGCTGCTTCGAAAGCTGCCATCGCGCAGGCAGGTGTCGATCCCAAGAACATCGACACTTGTGTCGCTGGAATTATCAACCAGATCGCAGCGAAAGACTCCGCTTACTGCTCTCGACACACAGCCCTCAAAGTTGGAATGCTGGAGCACACACCTGCGCTGAATATCAACAGAATGTGCGGTTCCGGCTTCCAGGCTTGCGTCAATGTCGCGCAGGTAAAATCATCTGGTTCAAGATATTGGTGACAAGCGGAGCTCTCGGAAATTCCGAGAGATATTTTTCATCTTCGAATAAATATGCGCCGATCTCCATCCGTTTCAGGAAATCATGTTGGGAAACGCACAGATCGGTCTGGCAGTTGGGACTGAAAACATGTCGATGTCGCCTTTCGTTTTGCGGGGCGCTCGATTCGGGATCCGCTTCGGGACCGAACCTCCCCTCGAGTGTTCGCTGTCGGCAACGTTGACGGATCAGTATTGCAAGCTGCCCATGGCTCTCACCGCAGAGAAACTCGCCGAAAAGTACTCGGTATCCCGAAAAGACGTTGATCAGTAAGTTAGCCCCACCGGCGAGCTCCTCGATTCTGGAATATCTTTCGTGTTCCCCAGTCCGATTCTGATTCCTACGGAGATTGATTACCTTCACGCTCCGCAGGTTCGCACTCACTTCGCAACAGCGCTGGGCACAGGCTCAAGCGAACCATCGATTCAAGGATGAAATGGTGCCTTTGGACGTTAAAGTGAAAGGAAAAATGGAATCGATGGACATCGATGAGCATCCGAAACCGAAAACCACCATTGAGATTTTGGAGAAGCTCCCGTCACTCTTCAAGAAAGACGGCACGGTGACTGCTGGAAACGCTTCTGGCATCTGCGACGGAGCAGGAGCGATCCTTCTGGCTAGCGAGGAGGCTGTCAAGAAACACGGCCTGAAACCCCTTGCGCGTCTCGTCGGATATTCCTACGTCGGCGTCGATCCCTCCATCATGGGCATTGGACCAGCCCCGGCGATCCGCGCCCTCTGCGACAAAACCGGCATCAAGCAACAGAATGTAGACCTCTTCGAGGTAGGACTGGCTTCGACGTTCGAATAACAGACGTCTCCCTCATCGATCTAGTTGCTCGACGTTCGATTCGTCCATCCCAGTCCTACGAGTGATGTTCCGATATCGTTTCAGATCAATGAGGCTTTTGCGTCTCAATTCCTGGCAGTGCAGAAGGACCTCGCTCTCGACCTCGGCAATGTGAACGTGAACGGAGGAGCGATCGCTCTCGGACATCCCGTGGGAGCTTCGGGCGCTCGAATCATCGCTAACCTCGTCTACGAGCTGAAGGCTCGGCAGAAGAAAACTGCTATCGGATCGGCTTGTATCGGGGGTGGCCAAGGAATCGCGGTCATGATCGAGAACTGTTGAGTGACTGCGGATCGTGAATGAAGATGTGTCGTTCAAATGACTAGCGAAGACTGATGCTATCGCTGACACTCTGAGCAGGCCTGGGGAGAATTTCCCGAAAGAAGAGGCATCGATCTCGGATAAGGACTGGAATCTGTTTTCCATACGATAGAGGAGTTTTCGAGAGAATAAAGTTTTTTTTTCTCCTTTCTTAAGCTCTTTTGAACACCAGAATGATTCTGGTCTTCTAAGGATCGAAGGGAATGCCTAAAGTTTTGAGTATTCCCGAGAGAGGTTCGGCGCTCGGAGAGCTATCGACTGTGGGATATTTTCCCGAGAAGCGAAGATTCCGTCGTCGAAAGCATCAAGCGTTCATCAACCTTGCCTCGATCACTCCCCATGACGATCCGACGATCCTGGGATCCCCCTGGATCGAAAATCTAAGGAGTCACATGACGATTTCGGGGACACCGCTATCTTATCAATCCCTTTCTTAACCTTCGCACCCATGGATACTTCCACCTACTCGTCACTCTCGAAGTGCCAGGGAGCGCATGCGATTGTCGCTTTGGACCTCGATCCCTAGCAGTATAATGACTCGAATAATGAGGAGAAATGTTGCTTTCGAAGCAGACGAGTTTATTCACCGGTCAGTTCAATCGACGAGCGAAGGGAACTTATTCGTTCGAATAATGAGCGTGAGCCCTGTTCGCGTTCGACAGATGGTCGGTATGCACTTGGTAAGGCGTTTTGCTCAACTGCTGATCGGCCCAAAGATCGGGGGTCAGATAGGAGTACGTCTGCTGGATAGCCAGATAGGTGGCTTTGGCGAAGTTTCCGAGGGTACAGGTCGAACCCCGAGCCTGGGTGTAGCAATCATCGATACCAGCCATCTGCAGGAGTTTCTTCGGTACGGGAGCAGACACGATGCCAGTTCCGCGCGGGGCGGGAATCAGCTTCACGCTAACGGATCCGCACTTGCCGGAAACCTTGCAAGGCACGGTGTGGGGCTTTCCTGGAAAGAGATCGGTCCCGAGTCAGAAACGATGTTGGGTTTTCTCGCAGTGCGGGATCGATGGGAACCGTTCCTCGCTCCCGACTCCGTCGAGTTCACTCACCGATCTTGTTTCCCCAATATCCTCGTCTGACTGGGATGACGGACAGTTTTGCGAGCACGATGGCTCCGCGGATAGCGGTGGCGACTTCTTTGGAGCACTTCACACCGAGACCGACATGTCCATTGTAGTCACCGATAGCAACGAATGCCTTGAAACGGGTCCTCTGACCGGCACGGGTCTGCTTCTGGACGGGCATGATCTTCAAAACGTCGTCCTTCAGGGAGGTGCCGAGGAAAGTGTCGATTATCTCGAATTCCTTGATGGGATAGGCATAAGGATAGATCTCCTCGAGGGTCTTCAGCTTCCCGTCTTTGACCAAACGGCCCAATTTCGTCACGGGTTGCCATTCCTTCTCGCCCTCCTTGCCCCCTCGACGACCTCCACGGCCGCGTCCGCGGCCACGTCCACGACCACCTCGTCCACCACGACCGAATCCCTGACGAAAACCACCACGACCGGCAGGAGCTGCATCCGCCATTGCTGAAAGCGGAAAATTTGGTTCGTGATCAAGACGTCGATTGAGCGACACGCGAGGAGGTTCGGCCCCTCACGGGAGATCCGAATTCCTGTGTGATTGGAGCGAGCGCTCCTTAGATTCGTCTCCAAAGAACTTGAAAGTGAGCATCGGAATCCTAAGTTGCGGCGTCCGTCTTGCCACGTGTTCTACGACTCGGCCCTAGATTTTCGGGGAATTTCCCGCATTACAGCCTTCGACACCCATTGGAGGCTAGCCCAGGGTCTCGGTGATATAATTCATGGCATGTGCCTGAGAATCTTTGATTTCTCATCAGAGAAAAACATAATCATTTCAGCGCAAGACCGGAGCAGATACTCACTCGACTCTTCTTCAAACCAAAAGGACCGCAGCGGTGGTTTCGAACTGGGACAATCCCGCTGTCTCGGCGGTGGGAGAGGGTCGGAGAGGCGGCTAATTTCGAATCACGGTCCGCGATTTGTGTATAGTGCGCGGTGGTCGACGCGACTCGAGGGTGATCCGTGAATTTTCTCTAGATATCATTCTCTTAAATCCCGGGGCCTCATTTGCCGATTTCATCGACGCTCATGTCGGAGAGCCACGGGTTGAACCTCAGCTCATACATGAGCGCGTATACGAAGGATCCGAGACGACCGCTCCCGCTCGATTCTCAAACCCAGGTACCGATCCAGGGAGAATCTCCATTAACATTTTGTCCCTGATCCGTCCCAGCAGGGAACACTTCTTCGCGGGTCGCGACGCGTCCTCGGGGAGAGGGGGGGGATTCGACGCTTGAGCGTATCTATGCATTCTGACTTCCGACACCTTTACGATCGCACTCGATATCTAAGGAAATTCGTCCAAGCACTGAGCGAACAGTAAGGCTGTCCCGGGAACGAATACGAGGGGTAAAGCTAGAGTTTTTTTTATTTTCCATTCCTCGATAAACCACAGTCGCGAGTCTGGTTCGCCGTTTCGATGTGACGGGACCTGCGACTCTTCGACGTGACGATGTCTCTCAGGCGAAGCACTCAAGCAGACCAGGATCGACTTTCACTCTTCAGGGTGGTCGATATCTTTCGAATCAACAGCAGAGAGAAAAACGGCGGCTCTTCTCCGAGGCTTTCCCTTGTCCACTCTCGTTTTCCGCAGGTCCCCTGAAGAGACCCCACCGTGACTCAGAATAGGCGGGATAGTGGCGTAATGACAATCGCCGATCAAACAATTAGAATAACTGACCAGTTTTCGGAGCCTTCCGCTCATATGTTTTGTTCATGCATTTGCGGCCGTGACGTCTCAAGGTCTGCTTGGAACAAAACTCTTTCTGACATTCTGTACACGTGAAACGAACATTTTCATGAGCGGCTTTCTGATGAGCCCGGAGGTTCTTCATCTGGAAAGAGAATCAGCGAGGGAAGTAACCTGAGGCGAGCTGCAGAGGGCAAGGCCCGCAGCACGGAGACTGAAAACGATGAGAGACATGTTCCCCCAAATTACCTCAAAGTAGGACTTTTCGCATTCCGGAAATGGACACACGAAAGCCAAGCGATTGTCCGAATGCGTCTCCATGTGAGCCATGAGGAGAGCTGTATGCAGAGATTTTTTGTCCTCTTTAGATTCTCATGGTTCCCTCTCCCCTGAATTTCTTTTCGCCTTCACAATTCCATGTGATCAAGATTACCGTTTTGCTTGAAGGTTTTATCACATTTGGGACATCGTTTCGCGCTGTGCGTTTCAGCGCTATGTTTCCTGAGAGCCGACCAGGTCGGGAATCTTTGGTTATCGCAACTCTCACACGCGTAGCCCAAGTGGGACTTCTCGTGGGCTTTCAATTTGCTGTGGATGCGATATTCTCTCCCGCAGCCTTCAACCGAACACCTGGATGGGGGGAACCATTTGAGATTCTAGGGCTTCACGAGCTTGTAATGGGGAAGATGCCTCCCCGAGGGATACACGGGGCCGCTCGACTCACTTGAAGGGCATTTCACCCGAATGCAGGGAAGCATGGACTTTCAACTTGTTGTGTTTCGAGAAACTAAGGTGACAGACGGAACACTGGTATCTTGGACCGGCAAGTCTACCGTTGCTTCCGTGGATTTCGGCATGATGCTTCCTGAGAGCATCCTTGGATTGGTAGACTCTTGAGCATCCAGACTCCTGACATTCGAACCTGTGAAGATGAACGAATCAGCTCCTGACTCCATATGTTTGGACATTACAGTTGCCTTCCTCGATGAGCTCGTGCAGCTCTGGCGTTCTACTGAACCTCGTTCGATTGTACAACCTACTTCGCTACGACTTCCGGTTTCGGCTGATGAGCATTAATCACGTGTCTCCTAAGATGCCATGAGCGAGTGTACGATAGAGAGCAGCCCGGAAAGCTGCAGTGGAACGGCCGCTGCGGGAACAATCAATCCAAGTTCATTTCCTCATCCCTTATCGCCCGGTGAATCGAAGAACGGAGAGTATCGATTTGTCGCTCACCTCATTCGTATGAGTTCGGATGTGGAACTCCAAAAAATTATTCTTCACGAAGGTTTTGCCGCATCCTGGAGCGTCACAAACATATTTCCGAGTGTCTTCAAATTTTTCATCGAAAATGAGACTCAAGGAGTTCTTCGTTGCCAAATCCATCGTGCTCGCTGCAGGCCCTCAGGCATAGGATTGGTTGAGATGGACTCAGCCGAGCAAGGGGAGCACTTGTTATCTCTCGGGGCCGCCCCGAGAAGTCACGAAGCTCAATTCGAGTATTTGTGGAATGAAGTCATGGAAAACATGTGTTCGATTTGTTATTATTTTCTTCCCTCTCCCTCTGACGATAATAAACTCTCGCCGGGGAAAATTCGGCTCATTCCGCCCGGAACGGAAGCTTGCCTCCGGGAACATCGAGCGCTCGCCGTGGCTCGGAATCCCTCCGGTGAATATGCCGATTATTGTCCCCCATTTCGCCTGACTCCCGCCATGACCGGGATAGGCACGACGCTTGACGCATCTCTTCCCTCTGGTCGATTCATCGGAGCGCCGACGCGCCATTGAACATGCTGTACCGTCACCGAAGCTTCTATGGGTCAACTGTAGCAATGATGGGCCGCCGGTGGTATGCGCGATGGGAGAGAAAATGAATGTTGTGGATAATCAGTGAAAATCGCGCAGAGTGTTCGACAATGAATCATTATAAACCAGGCTTTTTCCTCAAGGAGGGCTTCAATAATGGCATGCTGCAACATGTGCCAAGCCTGGCTCGACTCACCTTCAAGTTTTGCAAATCACACGGATCGTGAGTGTTCACACAACGAGTTCCCGAAGAAAATCTCTCAAAATATCCTATCTATCTATGAATGTGTCCATTCTTTCATTCTCCCCGTATACGGAATATTCGGAGGGTCCCCCTGAGCAAGCCCAGCCGGCCTGAACTCTATTGCTTGGCAGGTCGAGATTCATGAGAGAGTACATCGAAAGTGAGATCATGGACCTCGCGAGACAGTGTCCGACCGCCGTGATCTATCTGAAACCGCGGAGACATCGGGATCCAGTCGTTGTCGCAGAATACATCAATGGTCATAAGTGAGTCTCGAGAGGGAATATCGGAGATCTGATCCGTCAGGCACGAATGTCAACTCCCAACATCAGATTGCTCATTCGAGCCATGGAGATTACATACAGTCGCTCATTCCGATTCCCAGGGAGGAACTCCGCTGCAATCCGTTTTCGAAACAGGAGCTCATCAGATGGATTAACCTCATGACTACGACATCGGGGAGGCCGTCTAACCAGAAGCTGCTGAAATACTCAGCGACGAGCTCAATTTCCATACAAGGACCGTGGAACCCGTGGGTGTACAAACCAACGGAAGAAAACTTGGAGGAACTGCCATCCGAGAGACTTTCAGCTGCTAAGGCGACATACCCGACTGCCACTGAGCGGGTTCTCGACATGGTGAAAACCTCCCAGCCCCGGTGATAGCCCCTAGTTGACGAATTCATTCGACGGTCGGCGTCGAGTTGTAGTGAGGAACCAATAAAGAAGGGCGAATATATATTCCTGAGCAGATAATACCTATGTCCAGTCACTCAGCCTTCTTCAGAGCCTTGGCCGCAGATTCCCCTCCTGGGAATCGCGGATCGCCACATGGGTCAAGGTCCGCTCGTCATTCAGTCTCATGAATAGATTCGTATTCGAGTGTTCTCTCGTCCACAGTCAATAATTTATTCAAACCAGAACCATACTCCCATGCTTTTCAGCAGGTATCGAAGACATTTCATAGAAGAATCTCAGGGGAAAATGTCTCCCGCCTCATCCGCTCTCTTTATATGTATGTACATAGCTGTCAAAGATCACAAGTCCGGCAGATATATCCCGATAATTACAAGTTAAATTCCCCTCACAACCCTTGTCCACGGCGATTTTCCGCGTTTCGCGTCGGGTGCGCCGGATCGCCAGCTCCCCTCGACCGATGCGATTGTTCGATGGGAAAGAGCTGCGCTTTCCCGTAGAGCATACGAGGATGGAATAATATCAAGAAGACTTTACATTTGTTGGCATCATTTCCTCGTTCACTTTCCTCTAGTTGGACGCTTCAATTGTGGTCAAGTCGAAAAGATGGCAGTTCTTTGTTCCTTAGATCTAGTCACACAGGCGAGCTGAGCGCACGAAGTCTTGGCAAAATACAATATGTGCAGTGATGTTCCGTGCCTAAATTCCAATTCGAAAATCTAATCTACGAAACGGCAAGCCATCCTCATCAGGACGGGTGTGTGTAAGAAAGCGACTCTAGCACCATTGCTTCGTCTTGCACCCAAATCCTCATCCCAGACATCTGGGCCGATGACCGATAGGCCGACCAAGTCAGCCTTTCGGGAATTCATTCCCTTCGCGAAGTTCCTTGTGAGTAGAGTTCGACCGATCGTCCCGGAACTTGCAAATCAGCTTTGGGGGAGGATTGAGTGACTTCTCGGAAATCCTATGCTGGGGGCCTATGAACATTCCACTTACAAAAATACTTTTCCATTCACACGTCAGACGGAAGTTTCGCCTTTCCTGCAAGGGGGGGGTAAAGGTTCAGAACAACGAACGTCTAGCGATCTCGGGTGACTTATACTGACAGCGAGGCAATTCTCGAAATGGGGTGCTCACCCGTAGTTCGGTGGCGAACTCTCATCGATATAGCTAACATCGGCATTGTCGCTCACGGTTCCAGCTGGAATAATTTCATCGGGTCAATCATCAATCGAAGCATCGAACGAGCTTTCGGTCGAGTTGCAAAAAGCATCCGGACGAGGCGTCGAGGCGTATTCTACTCACCGTTCGGGCTCGTATTATCACTAAGGAGCATCGTGTTCGTCAGGGGGAGGGTAGCCATTCTCGAAAGACTGCCTGACACATCGCCGTAACCTCCGTATTCATTCGTCGCAGCCTCCGGTGCCCTATAATTTTCCGGGCTGCCGTCGTTGGATTGGGAACCCGATTGGTGATCTGTCTTCTCTGCGGATGAGCGGAAGGAATCAGCTTAAGGCGTCCGGGAGCGGAGCAGACGGAATAAAAAGCTCGGAAGATTTCAGAAACGGATTATACGAACCTTCCTCGCCCTCGCATTCTGAATATTCGTCAGAATTGACCTCATCTTCCTCTTCTTCCATATAGGTCATGGTGTCCTTATCGGAAGAATGACTCGAAGCGAGGTCCATACTCTCCTGGTCGATCGATTGGAGATCTTCCTGGGAGTACTTCGAGACGCGGGAACCACTGTCTTCGCTCGGTGTCTCCAAAACCTTACTACGGGATTTGCTCTTCTTATTCTTATGATGATGATGGTGGTGATGATGATGGTGGGCAGGCACAGTAGCGGAAGAAGCGAACGAGGAAGACCTGCGGAGAGCACATCATTACACTAGGTCTGTGTTATGGAATGAATTTGTATGAGCCATGTATGCAAGTCCGCCGTTCTTTCAAGTTTTCGATCCGTCGTTGTCGATTTTACCTGTGAGTGGTCGATCTCGACGTAGTTGAATAAGCCCCCATTATGACATGTCGTCGCTGTAACGTTCCGTGGACGCTCAAATCCAAATTTCGGCCATAGGAGAGGGCGGAGCGCTGGAACAAGACAGCTCATTCATGAGACAGGGCTCGAAGAGCATCAGGATCCTTTGTTTGAAACTCCTTCCTTTCAGCCAAGCGTTTATCGATTGGTAGAATTCTCGGAATTCTCCGCATGGTCACTCACCGAAGATGAGAGCGCGGCACCCCCGCCCGAGCCGCCGTAGTAGGCGAGCAAGCATTTACGTCTGCCGCGGAGCATTTCCCAGAGGTTTTGGCGTACTCTCGCATTGAGGATACACTGACAGAGGAAGACGACAATCGCCGTCACTGGTGTGCAGACGCTGAACACAATCCAACCGTTGGCTACTCCTCCAGCCGCCAACATGGAGCTTATCCTGGAAAATACGTCGGAGGCTCAGAATCGTTACACAACGGAGGAATTTTCCGTGGAATCCCCCATGAGGTATACTGGGGATCAGGTTTGAATCGCGATCGCTTACCAGAAGACGACGATGACGGGTAGTTGGCACATCGAAAGCCACAACAGGAAACGTATGTTTCCGAAATCTGATATCAGATCAACTCCCTGGACGCGGATCGATGCCATGACAGAGGCCGAGGTCAGAAGTAGAGCTGCTCCAATCAGGGTGACGATCGGAGCAACTTGCGACCAGATTAGTGATTCCGAAACCGAGACCCAGCACCTGTGAACGAAGATTCCTCATTGAAATCGTATCAAGATGCAGATACGAAGCATTATCAGGGCACCGTCGACGGAATTTTGAAGACGGAATCCTGCGGGTCGAGCGATGGATCATTTCGATAGCAGGAAGATTCGAACTCACAGGTTGTGTCCGGCGTACAACTCCGCCTTGATTCCAAGGGTGAGCGCTACGATTAGAGCCGGTCCTCCGTATGCCATGCTGATGTAGAACTTCATTGAACCGTGGTTGATATCTTTCATTTCGGTGAGCATTCGGTATATGTGAAGAAGGTCGATCAGAAGCCACGAAAACACGCATAACCATGAATAATGTAAGCAGATCGCCGTCAATTTACAGAAATATTGAGAAGGTGGCGAATGAGATCTGCAAAAAGAATCGAATGTCATTCGGAGATTCTCCCGTGAAAACTTCATCAGGATCAGCGAGCATCCAAATATTCGGAATAGAAAGGCAATGAGAGCTCACCTTATACCGACGAGTGATATCAAGTATACTATGAGAAGGCACAGAATTATGTTTATGTGGATTGCATGAGAATTCGTAGAATAGCCTCCACTAGCTATGGTCAGGGCAATCAGAAGTACAACGGTAGTTGTCAATAGAGCTGGAACCAGAAATTCGGAAAGTCGTACGCTGAACAGGTTATAGAGGGCTGAGTGAGCGATCTCAGCGGAGCCTCGTCGCTAAGGAAGAATTTCTACGCTGCGACGCAACGAAACAATCACTCTACTAACCGATCGAGAACATGAGAGAAACACTGGAGCCCAGCTCTTGGCTGTAGGAGATCTGGGTCCGAGCCAAGGCGAACGAGTCTTCCGTGAGCACCGCGAAGAGCGAGAGGTGATCGCAAGAGCAGTTCACGAAATTCGCCCCGACGGCTTCCACTCGACATCCGCGGGCGGACCATTTCCCATAGCCGCTCGATGGTGAGACGTACCAGTACACGCACTGAGGAGGAGAAGAATGCCGGTTGACCGTAGTCTATTCCACTGTCGGTTTTTGCTCTGGGAGGAGAAAAGTCTCTGACGCCAAGCTCACCTGAGGGTTCCTCGGATATCTTCCAGTGAGACTGGGGAACTTGATGTGGACCCTGTTCTCTCCACTGAACTGATCGATGATCGAGAATTTCGAATCCGATTTCGCTAAGACCACCGAGACGATGGCACTGCTGACCGAAACGCCCAGAGCGTGGCTGAAAGTGGCGAATTCAAACAAATGAGAAAGAGTCGAAAAAATACACTTCGATGATAACCATCGATGTCGGGGGTGAATAATTATTTGAACCGATCCTCCGTCTTCTCTCGCTCGAGCCTGAGCTGACTTACTTGATGGTTGAGTCGTACATGAGAGGATAGAGGACGCTCGCGTCCTTGAAGGCAAGCACAGAGAACAGGACCTTACTGTCGTTCCCATAGGTGTCCAGTGACAGGGTCCCCAACGGAATGCCGACGTTCGGGAACCACGGCCCGAGATTTTGCAGGGGAATATTGTTGAATTTAGGCAATTGAAGAAGATCCAGCGTTTTCTGCCCAGTCGTAATCTTCTGGATGTGACGCGACGTGGTATTGTTCAGACGCAGGTCGCGGTACGATGCTTGATCGACAGTGAAAACCGTATCGTTAAAATTGAGCATGAAGGGCGACGTGAACGTATCCTCCATGTTGCCCAGGATTGTTCTGGCGTAGCTCTCGAAACGGAGCAGAAGTCTCTCGAGGCGAAGGTTCACAGGAACTCGTTGCCATTCGGGCGAGAATCTCGCCTTGACCACGGTGGCGAGACTGTTGAAGAGGTATTTCATGAAATGTCGGTCTTGCGTGTGGCTCAAGTTGAAGCCGCTCTGCTGCACTTCGAATTCCGTTATGAGTGTGAGGACTTGCGATATGGTCCGAACGTCCGTGCCGTACAGTATGCCCCCGTTGTTCTCGAGACTTCTGCGCACAGCATCGTCCATTTCCCGAGCCAAGCGACGGGAATTGTGCGACCTCAGTTGGATATTCGATTTTTCGATGATGTTCAGTTCCTCGCTGAGTGGGACGAGTGGATCCGAGATGCAGTGGAAAAGATCCGGCTGATGCCAGCCCTCGTTCGCGTCACAGAACCGCGAGCATTTACCCTGAGACTGGGCAGGACAAACGCTCGAGGCTTCGATACCGAGCGAAGTTCTCGGCCACCAGACACGCGAGTGCATCGCGCGAGGACAGCCGTCGTAAATGACCAGGCATCCCCTCAGTGTGACCTCGGCGAACTCATTCGAACAGCTGTCGCAATGCTTGCCGATCACTCCCTCCCGACAATTACATTGCCCGGTGATCGAATCGCATTGCTGACCGTGTGATCCGGCAGCGTAACAGTTACATGGGAGGCAGGTACTCTGCTCGGGGGTGTAGTAGTAATTCTCTTCGCAGAAACATTCTCCAGTTGTCTTGTTGCAGTTCGAGCTGTAGCCTTTGTGCACGTCGCAGGTGCAAGGCCCACAGAACGGAGGGGTGCCCCACCAATTGATTGGGCAGTGATCGATCATTGTCATTTCGCATCTTTCGCCGTAATGGTTCGCATCGCACAGACACTGATAGCCGCGCTCGAGCTTCGACGCGGTCACGCAGCTCGAGGTCGTGTTGTGCTCGCACGGATTCAGAGAGCAGATCGGAAGGCACTGACTCCCTACGTAGCCGGGTTTGCAGATACATTTGAAGCCTTCGAAAACGTTGCTGCAACTCGAGGTATCGGGGCATGGATTCGACGCGCAAGCGTCCTCGATCACGCAGCCTCTGAACACGTTCCTCTCCGAGGATGGCTCTCTGTAAGCTTGATCTTTCTGGTTTCCCACACGGATGTTCTCCATGCAGCCCTTGAACGAGGGGTATTCACCGCTCTCGTGTCCGCCCACCCAAACGTCCCCGATATAGTGCGCCGCCGGACTCTGGTGGATGTGTTTTTCCTGCTTGTAGTGGTTGCCGTCGACAGACAAGCTGAATATGTTCGCGTTCCAGGTAGCTTGTATCCGGTGCCATTCTCCGTCGGCCACAGACGAATGCGGCACTGAAACGTGAACGTCATCGACGGACGCCATGGCCGTTCCGTTGATCACCTGGAGCAGGAATCTACTGGCGCTCCCGCCAAGTTGAACCAGCATCAGGAGCCCGTTCCTCTGCTTGCTTCTCATCGATACCTTGACCACCCAAGGTATATCGATCGGTCTGAGAGAGAACTTGAACATGAGATGACCATCCCCGTGGAACCTGAATGAGGAAAAGGAGAAGATTTGGTTGTTGATCCCTTGACGCTCGAATGAGTTCGCTCCAGCGAGTAGACTAATTCGTATAGCACCAACCTGTATGGCTCAACACGGTCCTGGCACTCCGGGCCACCATAACCGTCTGTGCAACGACATTTGTAACCACTCCACGATTCCACGCAAGTTCCCCCGTTCTGGCAAGGATCGATGTGGCAGAAGCCTCTTCGCGAGGGACAGCCGGCGATAGTGAGATTGTTGGCGACAAAATGATTGAGATCCACGAGCTCATGATCGATGTAGAAGTCTCGGATGCAGCCGACAAAGTCTCGGTTCTGCACCGGGAAGCTCGATCGAATCTGGGGAAGGCCTCCGAGCTGCAGCGGACCCGTGAGATCGAGGAATCGGTAGCAGCTTTCCATGAAGTCCTCACATCTACGCTCGAGCTTTAGCTGACCGCGAGTCGCACACTGAAATTTTCGAAGAAAAAAAATTAAAATCCGTAAAATCAAAATAATGGTTTGAATGACCATATGCGTGATTCTCGGCCAAGTATGAGTATTCCCGCAGGTTGAGTACGTATTTTCCTCGATCAGAGGTTGGCTCTATTCATCTGGACCCGGATCTCACCTGATAGTTTTCATCGTTACCGAGTCTTTCGGCAACGACAGGATCACAGCCGTCGACGGCTAACGAAACACTTCTTTCATGATAGGAGACCGATACCGTGTGCCAATTACCATCGTTGAGACCGGGCTGGAAAAAAGGAACGGATTGTTACAAAATGATCAGGGTTCAAGATACCGTCTTTTCGCAAGAGATCCCCGGCTACCAGAAACCAGTGGAGGGAGAAAGTACCTTGACTGCGGTGACGGCAGTCGCGCGGTCGCCACCGGTGGAGAAGCTGAAGACGAGTTGGCCATCGACGAGCTCGATCGCGATGAAATCGTTCTTATCGTCGTATCTGCCGTTGTATAGAAGGAGCCCGTTCTGGTTGGGGGTGGCGAACGAGATCTTCAACGAGAACCTGTGACGTTTCTGCAGAGCTGGGAAGGTCACGTAGGTGCCTCTCTGGGGTAAACTCCGGCCTCTGAGTCTACACATGTCGTCGAGCGTCGCATCACTCGCTGTACAGCGTTGCGCGCCTCCGGCCGAAGTGTTCGTTTTCCCAGCGACCTGTAGAATAATCAGAGCTCGAAAACGGACCAAATGGCTCGGGAATTGATTCGGCAGGGATGGCTACCGCAAGAACTGAATTCGGCTGACCCGTTCGAAGTCTACCTCGCAATTTTTCCCGTGGAAGTTGTTGACGCACTCGCAGAAGTAGCCGCCTTCCGTTTGAACGCAGAAACCTCCATTACGGCATGGGCTAGAGTAACAGAAGTTGACATCGGTATCGCAGTCGAATCTGTGTTTCATCCCCGTGAAGCCGACAGGACAAACGCATTGAAAGGTGTTGGAAGGCCGTATCGGGCGGAATAGGATCCTGTCAGAAGCGATGAAGTCTCCGGCTTCCTGCAGAAAAACAATGGCGGTTGGTGGTGGCGGTCCCCGATGCTCCGGAGTTCCAGACCGAGCGTGTCAATTACGGACCCAGTGGCAAAATATAACAACACGTCGATTCAGGACTCTGTACTTGCCTTGAAACGGTGCACCGCCTGACATTTCTCGAAGTTCAAGCACGGCTCGATCGAGCAAGGATAATCGTCGAAGGGGAGCACCATGATATCGCTCAAGCGCTGCAGGGTACTCCTCCCGAGATACATTCTTTCTTGGATGTATTGCTGGCTGTAGAGGTCGTCATGAGCTCGATCTTTCACCGCGGAAAACGAAACGTTCAGCACATCGGGCGTATCTTGCTGGATATTGAACAGATATATGTTTTCCTTGGGACACGGGACGATCGCACTCAGAGCCGAGAGGAACGAATCGAACGAAGGCGACAGGAATTTCTGCATCGTCATGTCTTGCAGACGGACAGTGATCGAATTGTTCAGCATGTCTTCCGAGATCCATCTGACATGGAGTTTGCAGGTTGCCGACACCTCATTGATTCCGTCGAAAACGGACACTTGGAACTCGGCATCGATCGGCACATCCGTGTTCAGATTCGGCGAAAGTTTCAGTTCTCCTGACGTTTCGTTCAAGATGAGGAGATTCGCCCTGTTGCCGGTCGTGAATTTATATTGAAGGTTGTCGTTGACATCGGGATCGGTGGCGGGTATTTTTCCGATTGTTCCGATTGGGAAGAAATTTTTGAAGTTGTTGAACACAACCAAGAAATTCTTGAGGACCGGTGCGTTGTCGTTGATATCTGTGACCCAGATCTCGACCTGGGCGTCGGTCCTCAAGGGGGGACTCGAAGCCCTCACCGAGAATATATATCTTTTCTTGGAGCTTTCGTAATCGAACTCGAGCCGGCTGACTATGTCGACCGGACCGGACGCTTTCGTTATCAGCGAGAAACTCTCGGCGTCTGGTCCTCCCACAATAGTGTACGTGACGACAGCGTTTGGACCTTCGTCCGGGTCCTTGGCTTCGATCGTGCCGATGACGGACCCCAACGGAACGTTCTCCGGGACGAATATCTGTATCCTATCCGAATCGAATCTTGGGGGCGAATCGTTGATGTCCTCGACGAAAACCGTTATGGGAACCGTTGTCGACATTTGAGGACTTCCTCGGTCGACCGCGACAGCTTTCAGATGATAGGTCGCAACCGCCTCGCGATCGAGCTGTTTGGCCGTTCGGACGAGACCGGATGTCGGATCGATGCTGAAAGCTCCCTGGCCGTCGTCGCCACCGGTGAAAGTGTAGCGAACTTGCGCATTCAAACCCTGATCCTCGTCCAAGGCTGAAACCTGGACGATCGAGGTTCCGAGAAGAGCGTCCTCCGACACGTCACTGGTGTACGAGGCCATAGCGAATTTTGGCGCGTTATCGTTTACGTCGATGACTTCGATTTCTACGCTCGTGCTGTCTGAAAGCGGCGGTCTGCCATCGTCCTGAGCTGTGATCACCAGGGTATATCCGGAAACGCTTTCGCGATCCAGAGGCAAGGATGTCACTATCGCGCCCGTCGTGGGCTCGATTTTGAAAGCGTTCACCGCGTCTTCGAGCGTGTAGGTTACGCGGGCGTTATCGCCGACGTCGTTGTCAATCGCCTCAATCACGAGTACCGTGGTTCCGACCGGTATATCTTCGAATACCGATGCTGTATACGGGGTTTTCACAAAAGTTGGTCGGTGATTGTTGGCATCTGTGGAGGGAAAGGATGTGAGCCCTGGTCTAGGTTCGGGAACCGAGAAAGTACTCAAGAAGATTTCCACCAGCTGGCGAGGGCAGGTATCGACCGATAACTCACCGGTGACGTTGATATAAAGTGTGGCGGTATCCGTGCGTCCACCGTAGTCCGAAGCTTGGATTGTCAAGGCGAATCTATTCTCTAATTTGAAATCCAGTGGCTGAGCGATGGAAACGATTCCATTACCATTCTGGGAGATTATTCCTGTAATAATCATTCAAGAATAGATTGACGTTCGGCTCATTGCGATATCCCTTCCTACTCGATCCCATGAGCTCGGAATGCAGTATCGATCGCAGGGCTGAAATTATTTCCATCGAGGTCCGAATTTTCGTCGGGATCCGAATTGCGTAGCAGCTGAGGCAACTCACCAAAACGATCACGATGGTTTCCACTAGGAATACTGTATTGTATCCTGCTATCTTTGTCGGGATCTGAAGCATGGACTGTGATAACCGGAGTACCGGGGGGATCTTTTTCGGAGAGCGTAGCATAATAAGACTTCTGCTCGAATGTCGGGTCGTTGTCGTTCACATCTTGGACCTTCGGAGAAATGTCGCTTCATTAGATTGACGCCATTGACTATGGAGGACATAGAGACCTAGGGCGCGGAGGAGCATCCAGGATTTTGAACATTCGCACCTGAAGGACGACGGTAGCCGTCGCGCTTCTCTGAGGCTTTCCGTTATCACGGGCGATCACGAAGAATTTGTAATCTGTTCTATTTTCGTGGTCGAGCAATGTTCGTATTCGGATCTGCAAGGAAAGCCGTTGGAACGCAAATAACTAGAATATTGCGACCCTTCTTTTCCGTCGATCGGGTTTGGATTCTCTGATGTAGGCGCGAGAGCGGTTGCTTACATATCCAGTGTCGGGTTCGATGTACACCGGCAGCGTATCGGAATCGGAGCCGTCGACCGTCAGCAACGAGTACGTGATTTTGGCGTTCTCGGCGGCATCCGTGTCGAACGCTTGTACTTGGATCACGCTGTGGCCTTTCTCGACGTTTTCGGACACGCTCTCGTGAAACTCGGTAGCATAGAATCTTGGATCGTTGTCGTTAATGTCAAGAACATTTACAAGGACATTCGTTGTGTTGGACCTCGATGGAGAACCGCCGTCCTGGACGCGGGCCACCAATCGATAGTTTGTCAGGGTTTCGTAGTCCAGCGGCGATACAGCGCGGATCTGGAATCGATTCGAATCGTGGAGCATTCCCGGAGTAGTTTCCCCGAAAAGAGTTGCCCAATCAGAGTCGTCGGACCAACGAATCGCTCGAGGTACTTACGCTCCCAGTTAGAGGATCTATCGAGAAATGGCCTTGGGTGTTACCCCCGATAATGCTATATCGCAAAGCAGCATTTTCGTTCTCGTCGGCATCGGTAGCCTCGATTCTGGTGATTTCAGGCTTATCGATCCAGCTGATGTTTTCCGGGACCTGGAAAAATCATTTTGGATTGGACGGCGGTATCCCCAGAGGACATGTACTCATATCAGGAGGAATCGGCCGCAGCAAATCTTCCCATCGGACACAGAGAGGTTCTCTCCTATTCTAAAAAAACTTCTGAAGTATCCGCAACCTACCTCGACGCTGTAGGTCCTCTCACTGAACTGGGGATAATTATCGTTGTCGTCCTGGATCACGAGATGCAGTTGCGCAGTGGACGTCAGACGTTTCTGGACCGGAGCTCCGTCTTCAGCTCGGATGATTATCGAATATTCGGGGATCTTCTCGCGATCCAAACTAGCTTTCGTGTATATGACTCCAGATGTCGCATCGATAGCGAATATGTCGGTCGCATCCTGGAGAAGAATATTGTAATCCATTAGTTTAATAATTTAGTTTGTGAAATCGATGTTGGTTTCCTGTCCCGTTCCCTATTCTTCAACACTCGCTTGCTCGATCTCTCGAGAGAGGCTGCGGAATATTTCTGCAAGTACAATTCGCTTCGGGGATGGTGCCTCGCTACGAAACCTACCTGGAGAGAGTATGAGATGACGGCGTTCTGTCCGGCATCGGAGTCCGTCGCCCTTGCGGTGAGAATCGTTGAACCGACGGGACTCGACTCTCGAATGGAGGCCTCGTAATAACCCTGCTCAAAGTGTGGAGCATGGTCGTTCTCGTCGAGCACGCTCACCTGTGGGAGGAAATTCGATATTCAGTCGATCGCGGAGTCGAGAAGAAAATCGTAGGCGACTCTCAATGGATAGTCCGTGATATTCGTGTAAGACTGACCTGGAGCGTCGTCGTTCCGGTTACCGGTGGCAGTTCGAGGTTGTCTACGGCTAAAACTCGTAAATAGTGCGTGGGCATCTGTTCCCTGTCTAAAACTTGAGTCGTCATCACTACTCCGGAGCCCGAATCAATACGGAAGAGGGCATTGCTGCGAGCGTCCAGGGCAGCTTCCAGAGAATATTTCACCGACGGATTAGGATGGCGAACGTTTATGGTATCGACGAGATAGCCCGGATCTTTTCCTTCGGGAACGCTAGTCAAACACATGGTGCTGCTGAATAAGTTGTCCCTATCCGCACTCCGCCGAACGCGCGTCCTATCGTGCGTCCAATAGATCGAGAGTGGAATCACTTCTCCTTTGCAGTCCAGGGATCCACGGAAATTGATTTCCTTCCTCGGGAAACACCTGTCCTCCCCGTGGAAAACTATGTCCTGACCCACGGGCTCGAACTTGAAATGAGATCCTTCACTTGTGTTCAGAAACCGGCATCCCTCAGGAGAGACCTCCCCCAAGCGGACGATTAGCTGAGCTGAACGAAGGCACACTTGGCTATGGCTGTAGCTGCGTAAAGCGAGTTCTATAGATTGCTGGACGGTCGACTCCTTTTTAGATTCGCTTCCGCATCCCTCGAATCGTAGGCGGAATGGTAGAATTAGGTGCGCCTCATTCGAGAATCCGCTCACTTCAAAATCGGCATCCGGACCGTTGTCACACAAATAGCGGTCGCTCAGATGTACGGCTCCTGTTCGATTGTTCACTTCGAGAATTCTTGAGAGCCAAGAGCCGTCGAGCCTGTGGAGGGTAGGGAATCAAGTAATTAGGATCAGAGCCATCATTGAGCGGGGGACTAATCAGGGATCCAGCAAGTCGAGACTGTTTGCCCACCTTCGCGAGAGCGTGAAGGTCAAGTTCAAGGAGGCGAAGCGAATTCCCTCCGAAATTTCGTGGAGCCTACGGTTCTGCTCTTCATTTATCTTAACCGTGAAAGCCGATATGGTGACGGTCACGGAAATCAGGAGCGGTAGAATCCGCAGGATCTTCATCGCGAAGTTCGATTGTCAAACGGAAGGTGCGTGCATGTCACAACCAGAATAGCGTCTCAAACCTCTCCGTTCCCTGGAGAAGAATGCCTCGAGTTAATATGGAGGTGCTGGGAGATCCTCCAATTTCTCTCTCATGTGCGGGTCCAGACAGAAGCTGCGTGCGATACGGACTTCCACTGTATGAACGACGTTTCGAGCTGATGTCGACTGCGTTGAACGCCTGTGTGAAAGTTCCCATCGATCACAATGGCACACGAGCGGTAGCCCAGTTCTCAAGACCGGCGACACTCATTGATTTACGTCTTCGATGAGTCTCAAAACTCAGAATTTAGTTGAGGAACTTCCAAGAACTTCTGCGCAGACTCGAATGTAAGCGAGAAGGTCCGGCCACAGAAGTCTTATAGACAGAAATCCGATGGGCCCATCACGCCCGGTGCCGTACACCTGTCGACCGCCCAGTGGCCGCATGACACGCGGGTGCCGACATCCGCAGTCATGGATATCCATGTTTTCAGATACCCTCTAGTTTTAAAAATTTTGAAGGACGTCCAACATTTCATCAGTGAGGCGTCACCGAATGATCTCTCAGAAATTCTGATTAGCCTTGATGCGATCCATGATATATGCTTGACGGAGACTCCGCATTCGAGTTTTATTTTTAGAATACATCTCTCCGTGACAGTACTCAATGCCGCTGCGCCCGAGTATACGTCAGTTCAATTATTCTAGAGAGGAACGCAAGCGGCTTCGAAATACGTTGGGTCGGTCCGCGTCGTCCACGTCTGTCCGATAGCCAATATAGTATAACGGTCGGTATAGTGCCCGAAGGAGTCAATGACTCTTCGTGACAACAGGTAAAGCCCCGACACGACAGAATAAGTTAGACTCGACAGCCACGCGAGGGGTATCCACACATACCATTGAGTGCGTCCGAACGATTTAAATACGTTTTTTCCTCATTATACTCCGAAACTGCACAGCGACAACGTCCGAGTTTCAGTAAATTTTATGCGACTCCAGCACTTCATTTATTTACAACAAGATGGCGGTTGAGGGCAGACGCTGAAGGAGCGAAGACCTGTCGCGTTTGAGGGAGAGGATGAAACTCATGGGAGCTCATTTACCGCTGAAACTTCGGACCAGACGAATTCGGGCTTTATTTATGTTTTGTCTCGGTCGCCGGGGGGATGGGGGTTGATCCGGGGGTGGATGCGCCCATACGATCGTGCAATTCTCGGAGAGGTGTTAATTCATGCGCGGAATCATAAGTCCATCCTCTCATTTCATCCCTGGGGTATACGTAGAGTGTGAGTTCGGTGGAATCGACCCAAGATAAGATCTTCCGGCGTGAGTGCAGAAACGTTGTCGTCGATGATCTTTGTTTGAAGTTGACAGCGGAGTCGGGCAGCTCCTTCTTCTGGTTTTTCATTCGCTCCCTCGAATCCACTGATGGCTCCTTTCTCTTGCGATCACTCTGTGGGATTCGTAAATCGGACCCCGGCGTACCCAGTGTCTCAACCGCGATCGTGCGTGCATGGCAAGGCCAAGAGCTGCAAGGCAGATTGCGTTTCAACTTTCTAGAACGAGAGCAGCGGCCACTCTCCCGTTACCTCCGCCTGCAGGTACTTTTCTTCACCCTGCCGAGCAGCTATATACATAGAGCAAGCGGCATCGGCCTACAACTCCTGTCGTTGATCGTGAAGTCCTTCCTCCGGGTCAAGGCCCGTCCGAAGGCGAGAAGAACTGGGAGGAACGCGAGCGCCGGCGACACTTCTCGAGTCGGACGGAGAGACTCGCCTCGTCTGCGTGTCTGAGGGGAACGCTGAAGAAGGGCATTCTTATCATCCCGCAAGTGAGGAGCTCTAATCTTCGGCGGCTATTATCGAGCTGAACCCTTCATTGTTTTCCATGACGGAGCATGATGAACTTCACCGTCGGCCGCTCACAGCCGCCAGAAATACTGGCTCTGGTAATATCGCCGACAAGGGCCTGATATTGCCTTACTGTGAATGCGTCTCCGGCGTTGTATGCAAATCGGACATACATGAGATGAGACCCATCCAACACAAGGGGTCTGAGGGTGGCAGCGGAAGGAGGCGTTCTGGTTCCCCGGTGACGTCGGAGAGTCACATTTCAAGTGAGATCATCGGGATCATCGGACCTTTTCTTCCCCATCTCATGATTGGATCCTAGTTTCGCTTTATGCTCATCGGACCGAAGACTCGACGAAGCACAAGATCCGCAGAAAGTACCGAAAATAGTGTCGTATCAACAAGTCTCAAATGAAGAAGCGCTGGGACCTCACGATATGGAAAGCGGGTAGAGCCAGCAAGCGATTCCTCCTGAACCAGAACCCGGGCGGAGTCCAGGAGGTGCGCTCAATATACCCCGTTATCATCCTCTGATTATTATCGCAGTGGTTCCCAGGCTCCCCTTCGTGAGAGCCACTGTATTATCGGAAGATGGCAGTTTGACCTAGACGCCCTCCAGTAGCACGAGAGCTGAATATTGCGTATCCGTTCGACTCGGAGAATGGGAGCGCCTTGTCATTTTTCGCCACTCCGCGATTTTCAAGTCCGTGCCGGAAGAGTTTCGTCTGCTTAGGGGAAAGGGTTTTCGGAGAGCATCTCCGAGGACATTCGGAAGCCGGCCAGCAGATTCAGAATGAATAGGAGCCATCCACTCTTGAAGTCCTCGCTTTGAGCTTCGTTGTGTGACACCACTGTGCATAAGGAGCGAAGGAAGGTCCCCGAGTTCCCGCTGCCACCTAGTTCCGAAGTCCGAACGCCCGGACGACGGCGCCGGCTCAGAGAGGGAGAATCCAAACAAAAATAGACCGGGCGGCTTCACTCAACACACGGAGACGATCTTTCCGCTGCCGGGAGGGGAAATGGGGTCTATCGAAGCAGTGAATTCTTTTGTGAATAACATATTACGTCGAGACGCGCTAGAAGAGGCCTTTAACGCCTTCATCGTCCACACGGTTAGTATACTCTTAGAGAATGACTTCGGAAGTATAATTCATCCGCCAGGCGCCCAAAGGGGGACCTCTGAAACCGTGACGGAATTGCGAGGATTTCTTATCTTCAGCAACATTCATGGACGTCACAAGATGACACAGAAGCCAGTCCTTCAGAAGAATTGGCTCAAATCTTTTCGGTGAACGCCGAGCAGACCGATGCGGCGCTGAAAGCCTTCGTCAGCCATGCCTGTCAGCTGCGAAACCACAAGCAATTACGGAAGCTACTGCAAATCTTGGAGACCGCAGTTCTTGACGGTGAGCACCGATAGGTAGAGAGCAATCTCTTGCAGACTCTGACTACGTATCTTCCGTCGAAACGCTCCTCGGAAAACACTTATCGCAAATCTGGATATCTGCAGGTAAAGTTAATGCAAAGCAAGTTTGCGAGGCTCTCCTCGGAGGTCTATGCTTCCAGCATGTCGAGTACTGGGTCCAGGCTCTGACGCTGATCGAGCAACTGCTGCCTCAGGTTGACTATAAAGGCGTGAGAGATTTGCTTAAACTCTTGTTCGACAAGGTGAGTGCCGGCGATGACTTCAAAACATCCTCGGCGGCTCGATTCCCGAACATGTACGTCAGTGAAAAATTCTATGACTCCAGGCTCATCACATCCCGTCGACCGTGAACTTGTCCTGCATGCGGCAGCTGAATGCGCTGCAGTCACTAGTGGAACTGATACTCGACCGGAGTGCGGCTCTGTGTCCATCGTACCTGGTTTTGGATGACATGCAAAAACGCCTCAGTGCCCAGGTCAGACCCGTTTCGAGAAGCACTTGCTTGGTTCGATCCGAGAGCTACCGCCCTTTGTCTTCAAAGTACTACGTTTCGTCACGTCTTTTACGTAGACTACATTTCTTGTAGGATGGATGGCCCCACTGGAAAATCGCAAGGCTGATCTCAGCCTTTGTGGATAGCTTCCGGCCTCTGGCCCAGCTCGTGACGATTGTGGGGAGGTAAGAATCATTTCACGTCCAGCAGTCCGAAATTCTCAGAGCGGGGTCCACGAACCTTTCATCTCCGCAGAATTAGAGAAAAAAATATCCTCGCTTTTCAAGATCTCGTTTGGTCCCGGTCGTCGGACATTCGCCTCACGGTGCCTTCGCCTGGAAGATCGACGCCGCCACCGCTAAATTCACACTGAAGGGACAGCTGCCGTACACCGTCGAAGCTCAGCAGAGCCAGACCGTTCTCTTAAGATTCGTTCTGGCGCAGCCGTATTCCCGAGATATGGTTTGTTCGATGCTGGGCCTGGTGAAAACTCAAAAGCAAAGATGCGTGGTGTTAGAAAATCAAATCGTCGATCTCATGGTCACGGCTATGCAGAGGTATGGAGACGATTTCCGGCATAAAGGCCCTTCCGCTCATTGCGCACCGAATGGTTTATGGATCATGAGCAAGAATTGAAGAAAAATAAGCAAACTTCATTTCCGTCTTCGATCCGCAGATCGGAACAGGAGCCTCTATCTTCAGACTCCCTGTGTCAGTTCTGGCAGAACATAAGCTCCCAACTGATCTACTTCGTTCTTTTCCAATATGCGTCCTTTCCCGACATGGTGAGTATTTGCTTTCTCGCCTTGAATTTTCCGAGTCTTCCATTTTCGGAGCTCGGCCTCGTCGACCTATATAGGGGGCCTACTCAACCAATTGGTCGCAAGATTTTGAGCGATGATGTCTCTTCGCAGGTTATCGCATTGCACACGCAGCTCTCAGCGAGCGCTTTGCGACGCGGGAGAGATCATCTCATGTGGGTACTTCTACAATTCATCTCGGGCTCGATCCAGAAGAACCCACTGAATGACTTCCTACCGGTTCTCCGTCTCTACGATCTATTGTATCCGGAAACGGAGCCGCTGCCGTTCCCTGACGTAGCAGACCCGAGTTGTACACGTCAACTTGCTGTCACTTGTATATGGGTTCACCTAATGAAGAAGGTATTAGACCTGAAGCTCAACGATTTTGATGGAATGAGGAGAAACAAGGGAGAAGGGCAAGTGAGAACTTGGTTCTCTTTCTAGGCACAAGGGGAGCGCGGATTGCAGAGACCTGTTCCAATGACCCTTAAAGTGCACTGGGACAATCTTGAAAAAGCATTGTCGTCACATCTCACTTCCGATTACTGGACATCTCTACTTTGTAATGCTTATTCCACAAATCAAGAATTCTTCCCGAGACCAATGGGGGTTCTCGTCGAAGCGATAAAAGGTAGAGTTTTTCTCTTGAGAGATTCTTTGATGACTCTCGATTGACCGATCCGTGACTCCGCCCCTTCCCCGCCTCGATAATAATATTCATACGTATTTTCTTCGCCAGGGGGAGCGGGACATCCCACGCCGACGCAACCATTGTCCATGGGACTGCTGGATTCCTTGACCGTGCATACGAAAATGTCCCTCATTCATAATATCGTCAGTCAGGTCATGCAAGTCATGAAGGTACGTGCAGACATCGAGGGTGAACTCCAATGATGTCGCGCCTCGACTCAGAATTAAGGGGGGCCACTAGAAATGCTTCCACGATACTAGATCATTAATTTTCACAGATGACACCTCCCGCGGTCTCGAAGCAAATGAATCAATCCCAACAGAATCAGCAGCAACCGATTCTGTCTCCAGCTCTAGTGGAGACTTATTCGCGACTCTTGGTAAATTGAAGACTTTGCTTCCTCATCAGATACCACTCTGCCAGACGTCTCGGTCGATAGAGTGAACAACACTTTGAATGGACTCTTCCAGGTGTACAACGAAATCGAGTCCCTCGGTATCAAAGGATTCATGTCGCATTTATTACCTGCTGTGTTCCGACAACAGGCGTGGGCTATACTCCACACGCTCTTGGAAATGTTTTCCTACAGATTGCATCATATCCAACCCCACTATAGGTATTCCTCCCTCCCCTCTCCCTCGTGAATATTTAAGAGGAGCATATCAAAAATTCGATGACTGGAATATTGAGATAATATCGGCTTGGCTGTCGAACAATGAAGGTTCCCATCCACAGAGTACAACTGTTGTCTCATCTCCATTCCTTGGCGTCGGTTCCGCAGACCAACCAGACGCAGCTCCATGTGTGCATGGAATCGACCGCCCTGAAGCTTATCACCAGCCTCGGCAGTGGAGAGGTTCGTATAAGCTCATTCAACATGTATTTAGCAAGTGAGCTCGTCTTGGTACCACGAAGATTATCCTTATTTGTGTTTATGAATTTGATTTCAGGTGCAGCCTCAACTCTCCCGTTTCCAGGCTGAACCTAAACCTTTACTCTCTGCCGATTCCGAAGAGCTGAACAAGGTAACGTTTTGAATAGACGACCGAAAACCAGGTCATTTCATCCAATTCAGTTGATGCAGAGCATTGACAATCCGTTCCTTTCCAGGCTTTGGTGTTGACCCTCGCTCGTGCGATCCACGTGACCGGATCGGAAAGCTTATCAATGGCGTGGTGCAAGGTAATTTTATTCCAGTCCAGTACCATCTTATCGATAGGACACCATTCTCAAGGGAAGTCCCTCTCACATCGACTCCTGCCGACAGGATCTCCTTCACGCCGCCCTGAGCAATACGCCACACAGTTGGAGCAGTGCGACTCTATCCTGCTTCCCCAGTTCCTTGGCAGAATTCTTCCGGACAAATCAGGCCCAGCGAGAGAATAAGGTATTGATGTGGTGGGAGGCAGCACGCGCCGTCGAAGAGCAGGCGAATGTTCGGGGCTGTACGACTGATGATCAACTGCTCTTCCTTAAATCGTTTTCGACATTATCAGGCCCAACTCAAACGTTCCGTGGAAGAAGAATATCGCAAATGGAAAACCATGTCGAACGAAAATGATATCGTGGCTCACTTCTCACAGCAAGGTTCGCAAATTATTCCGGCCATTCCCGATAATCTTCAGCGATATGGAATAAACATCCGCTAAATCAGGGCTACCCGAAATTGGAAGCTCTCTTTCAACATCGATTGAAATCTAAGGGGATGATCAATTCCAGGCACACCTCATCTATTCATATGTCTTCTGTGGAAGATGTTGATGGAGAACGATAGAGTGTCTCCGCTCGCTTATAAAATTCTCGACAGATTAGGATCGAGAGCGTTGTCTCTACACCTACGAACTTTCGCCGACTTCTTGATTTACGAGGTGAGCCGGAGACGCCCTGCTGAGGTATTGATACTGTCGGCTATAGAAGGGAAGAGCTCTCTCTAAATTCATCCGTTCCCAGGTGGCGAACTGTGGTCCTGGTCCAGTGGTCAACAAAAGCATAGAGGCCTTGAATGATCTCATATGGAAGTGTTACGTGGTTCCTCTTGACCGTTTCATACTCACCTTAGCATTACGTTCGTTTGAGGGGAACGAGTCCCAGGTATGTAGCGTCGCATCCCGCGAGCCTCTCCTGGGGGAACTCCACGTTCCTTTGATCCTCGGATGAGCTAACGTGATGAATCATTTTTCAGGTGTGCTTCTTCATCATACAGATGCTACTCATCAGATTCGGAGAGTTCAAATCTCGCGTCACAGATTTCGTCAAGGTGAGATTTCCCAGGCATCACACCCTCGGGTGATCTTTCCTTTCCGATCTCAGTCGGGAAACCACTCGTGAGAGTGTCATCTGAGTCTAACTTGAGTTAAACATCCCAGGAAAACTTGCCGGAGCATTGGACGCAGTCTGATTGGCACGAGAGACATCTCCAATTCCAGAGGAGATACCCTGAGAAGTTTTATTGGGAGAATCTTCCTGATTCTAGCCAACCGCACCAATATCTACCTGTATATTTCGGAAACATTTGTCTGAGATTCCTACCGGTGAGCGTCAACACGAATCTTGCTTCTGTTCGATCCAGAGCTTTCAATCAATCGTTCTTTTCTCAACAACCGCCGTTTGATTCGCGCAGGTCCTCGACATCGTGCTCCACAGGTTTATAGAATTACCCGTGAATTTACCGAACAATTCGATTTCGATCGAAACGATTCTGGATTATATCGGCATGCTGTATCGATTCCATGACCGTCCGCTCACATACCTGTACAACACCTTACATTATTATGAACAGAAGGTACGAGCGAGCTTTCGCGATTCTGTGGGCGATTGAATTGTTCAACGTGTAGACTGCGCTCAGCCCATGGCGATCCTGGCTGCGACCGACTTTCATTCCAGCTCCGTGACCGATGTTCCCTGAAGTTGAAACTCGTGCAAGCGATCACCGGCGGACTCGCTGACAGTTGTCTCACTGAAAACTTCCGCCAGTATCTGAACAAACAGATGTCCGACCCCCAACCAATGTCTTACGCCCCTCCCGACATGGAATATTACAGGTGAATAACTTAGGTTTGGAAGACATAAATCTAGACGCAAAACCCGAAGCGGAGGAATGCTCGATGCTAATTCAGTTTTTTTTCTCTGAAGATTCATCCTTCAACGGGTGGTGGAAGCGATAGGCGGAAAGAAATCTTCCATCATAATCGATTGGAGGTAAGATCTTTCGTTTACCCTTTTCCGACCGCTTCAATGACGAGAAGGAGCTCATGGGGTACGGGAATATATTTTCTCCTAATTTCCAGATTCAACGAGTTTTCGAATTCGGCTGCGTACACGATCCAAATAACCTGCATAGAGTTGATGGCACTGCCCGTTCCCCCTGCGGTTGTTGCCAACGGCCTCCTTGACGTCGTTCTGCTCGGTAAGGCTTGACTGGATCAAAGAATCTTCGAGTGGTGGTGGGATCCGACAGGAAGCTCCCCGTAAAAACACGAATTTATTCATGGAGCCTTTCCCATCAGGTCACACACGAATCCCGAGGGATCTGATTCCGGATTGGATGAATGCTATCGGCCTACTTCTCACCGCATTGCCGGAATCTTATTGGAGCGTTCTCAACGACCGGATCATACAATTAATCGGAACACTGCCAGATGTGGAGGATATTTTCCAAGTAAGAAAACACCTGTATTGGTTGTATTGAGGTATCTATTCCGGCTTCACAGCTGACGACTCTTCATTTCTCTTGCAGTACATGGATCTGACAGCGAAGCAGAGAGCTTACACGGAATCCTTGATGTCGTACATTGTAGCTTTAGTGCACTCGGTTTGGTATCATGCGTCAATCGGCCAAATTTCTCAGATACCAGCCTTCGTCAGCGAAAAACTGAAACCCATCATCAAACGAGAAGAGCAGGTGCGAATCATTATCGCAGACAGACTCCGTAGTCATGCTGTTTGACTTCGATATCACGGACGTACAGCTCGGGCCGAGTTTCACGTCATAATTTGTCTTTGCAGATGCTGCTTTTATGCCAGCTCGTTGCGCCCTTCTTCCAGCGGATCTCATCCGAGAGAACTCGCTGTCTCATGGATATCACTAGAGAGCTTTACGAGATTCTCGAAATCGTCGATAAAACACAGGTGAGAATTCCTGATTGTCGGGTAATTCAGAGCCTACCGTCTGATTTCTGAGGTCCGACTCACATTTGACTCTCCCTCCCAGCCCCAGCTGAGGTACATGGACAATATTGTGGATCTTTTCTACCACATCAAGTACATGTTCACCGGGGACTCAGTGAAAGCCGAAGTCGAGCACATCATACGGAATCTACGACCGGAGCTTCAACTTAGATTGAGATTTATCACCCATCTGAATGTTTCCGGCCCGCAGCAGCCGACCGAGTCTACCGCACCAGGAGCCTCGACCCAGCAAGCGCCGCAACAACAGTCCCATCAACAATCCCAACAGCAGCAGCAGCAGCAACAGCCCCTGCAGCAATCGCAGCAACAAATGCAACAAATTCAACAACAACAGCAGCAAGCTTCGCAGCTACAACAACAGCAACAGCAGCAGCAGCAACAACAACAGCAAGTAATGGGCAATAGTGGTCAGCTCCAACAACAGCAACAACAGCAGATGAGCACGAATGGACAACATCAACCGATGGTGTGAACGACGGTTCTGCACTCATCTCCCCAGCGATCAAACGAGTGATACTGCCGAATACTTGACTTTTGACTTCGAGAGACATTCGCCGCCACCCGAGGACTAGAGTTACGGGAAAACGAGAAAGATTCGGAACAACAATCCGCCCCAATAATGAATGGTATAGCATTCATCTGTATCAACTGGGTATACTCGGAGTCCGATTCCGAGCCCTAATACCATAACTGTGTAAATAAACCCTCAAACCTGCGCGGAATGGTGTCTTTGCGGTCCCGATTCAGACTGAGAGGACAGATAATCAAATTAGAATCGCTCTTCTTTGCGAATCGGGGAAGGAATCCCCTGATGTCTATCGTCGAATCCATGCAGTGGCGTACACGGGATTTTTCTTGGGGGGGGGGCT